AATCTGGCGGTGAACATCGGAAGATCGGAAGGAAACGGCGCTCGCGAAACCCTCCAGGTACCTATTTCCAGCTTCAGGCCATTGTGGCAATGGCGGCAGCGCCTATGGCTTGAGGATGTTCGCCCAAAAAACCCCACTTTGCCACCAACTTCACGGAGAGAAAATCTCAGGTGCGTATCATGATTTTATCATCTCATACTATTACTGGTTGGTGGTATACCATGGTATACCTACCCCTCTGGTATACCTACCCCTCTGAAAAATGATGGAGTTCGTCAGTTGTGATGATTCCATTCCCAATATGATGGGAAAGTCATAATCCAGCCATGTTCCAGTCACCACCAACCAGGTAACATACATCTGCCCCTCTGAACTTCACGTTGATTCAAGGGTACCGTATGGTTGACTCATGTTGATTCGGATAGATTAAACCCTAAAACCCTCTGGTAAACCAATACAGCTATGGAAAATCAATGAAAACCACCATTTTTCGTAAATCAAACGACTACCAAAAAATTGGGCCTCAGGCTACATTAACTCATTTTTTGATATCAATGGAAAATCATGAGTTTCCCATTAAGGTTTCCTGTTTGGAAAATACAAACGATGACTCTTCCACATGATAAAAACTGTTGGTGCTTCATTGCTTCATGTTGTCAGCAGCCTTGCTGGGGACAGGTATCAAAGTGACATCATTTATACATGCTGCTAAACTAACATAACTATGGGAAATCACCCATGTTTTTATGGGTAAATCAACTATAAATGAAAATGTTCAATAGTTATGTTGAATTACCAGAGTATATGTAAATCACATCTCTTCTCGATTTTGGAAACAAACTGTTATAAACTATTTCGGACTGCCCGATTTTGAAAAGTCGTAGAAATCATTGGTCTTTTCAAATGCGGCAACTTACTTCTTCCATCACGTTTTTACCCAATCCTTTGAAAGGATCCAGCACTTGAGTTGAAACAAATGTCTTTCAGCTCACAGAACGAATCAAAAGAGAGAATAAAGCAACGGGAATATTGCAAATAGTGATACAGTAATATACAGTACCTGTTGACAAAATACAATACCTATATGGCAGTGTGTCAAAACCTTGTACCCCTTTTTTGTTCACATCAAAATTTAGCTGGGATTTATGGATGTGAATAACCCACTAAAAATGGTATTTTTATAGGTATTGATCCATAGCCATATTGATACAACAATACTTTTGTTGAGAAAATCCATCTCGAGAAAACCTGAAAAAACACGCAAACCTGCCACAAGATTCAGCAGGGAGCTATTTTTCGAGTATCCAAGGTTCACATCTCTCCATGACAGATCCATAGGGACTACCCTCTGGTTATGACTAACATAGCCATGGTATAGATGGCCCATTGAAATTGATGGTTTACCTGGCTTTACCTATGAAAATAGCATGGTGGATCTTTCCATGGCAAACTGTTAGTCATCTTCGAGGGTTCATCCGATCGTCCCGCGCCTTACAGGGGACCAACTTGGAGCAGCCCCTGAAGGTTACCTGTCCGGCACCCGATCGGACGAAGCTGGAAACATCCTGCAATCGTTAATTGGTTGGCAAGGCAGATCTGAAAAATCTCAGTCTGCAACCAATCCTCGCTCACTATGCCAAACAAATCATTGATGTCTGCCAGATTCGGCCAGGAAAAGAACATTTCGGACTTTCCCTGTAAGGCTTGTAAGTTCTCGAAGTCCCCATTCGGCAGCATCTCGAAAAACGAGGGGGCTGACTCCGGGTCAACATGATTCCAACATATTCCAACAGCTCCCTTCCAGCCGAAGAAATTCTCCATTGGTCAGTTCATTGTTGCGAACCCTTGCCTCGTAGCTGCAGTCCGGCTTCACGGTGCAACTTCGCTCCGTAAATCCTGCACCGATGGGTTGGACGATGGACGCTCCAAACCTCCGAGCCTAAACTGCGTGCGATGTTTTCGTTGATCACGGCAATACACCAAAGTTCTGCGGTGTCAAAGTTCTGAAGGATGTGCAACAAAAAAAAGAAGAAAACAAGAAATGATCAGTTTCATAATAAAAACAATCTAGAGCTACAAACAATTTTCAGTCATTAAAATGAAGTAACCCAAAGTAATCCCGTTGTCACTCCGACCGATTTTTCTTTAACGCACCTGTGTAGCCTGTGGCGCACTTGTAGTCGCTTCCGTGCCTTGAAAATACGGAAAACATCATCATCGAAGCCAAAGACATGGCCATCACTTGAAAAATGATACCCTCTGGTGAACTAACATAGCAATGGAAAATGGCTATAGAAATAGTGGATTTTCCCATTAAGAATGGTGATTTTCCATTGCTATGTTAGTTCACCAGAGGGTAGTTCAATCTTGATTGATGATGATATGAGTAACTAATGATGATTATATAATGATGATTTGATAAAGAAACTAGTCACAGCTTTCACAGCTTTTGGATGTGATCATCCTGGCAGAATAGAAATTGCAGTTGCTCTGAGCCTTTCTGTCCAATTTCTTGCATTTGCAGCTGCGGACAAAACACATATGTATATACATATGTGTATGTATGTTAATATATATATATATGTGTGTGTGTACGTACGTATGTATATGTATATGTGTATGTGTATGTGTATGTATATGTATATGTATATTGTATATGTATGTGTATGTGTATATGTATATGTATATGTGTATGTGTATGTGTATGTATGTACGTACGTATGGATGGATGTATGGATGGATGTATGGATGTATGGATGTATGGATGTATGGATGTATGGATGTATGGATGTATGTATATAATTATATATATATATGTGTATGTATGTATGTATGTATGTATGTATGTATGTATGTATGTATGTATGTATGTATGTAGTATGTATGTATGTATGTATGTATGTATGTATGTATGTATGTATGTATGTATGTATGTATGTATGTATGTATGTATGTATGTATGTATGTATGTATGTATGTATGTATGTATGTATGTATGTATGTATGTATGTATGTATGTATGTATATGTGTATGTATCTATATATGTATGTATTTGTGTGTATATCTATATATGTATGTATATGTGTGTATATACATATGTATGTATATAATTATATATATACATAGCCTCTGGTATATTAACATAGAATAGCATAGACCCTGCCAGTCATCGAGCTTGGAAGAATAGTTTCCACTCAAAATTGGTGACAGGGTCGAACTGTTTGTTAATTCCGATCCGACCCGAAAGACTGTGCCTGATATATCCAGCTGGTAACGGCAAAGGATCTGGGCCTAGGACAGCCCAACGATCTTTGAAAACGTGGTTTGCCGCCCGCCATTAGCATAAACTGTGGATAATTTCTTGGTACCAGCCATTTCTGGTAAGTCATTTGGGATGGTTTACGCAGTTTACGATGTTTACGGCATGGGCTTGGCCATATGAAAATTGGAAGGTTGTTTTCAAAGAAATGCACAAAACAAAAACCCGGTCCCTGGAAATTCGGATTGAGCTTGCTGCAAGTCAACGCGCACCAGGGGATTTCAAACCTTGGAGTCCCCAACCTCTAACGGCAAGAAAATTGATGATATGATATGTATCTATCGACATTTATACATATATATATATATGCGCATGTGTGTAATGTAATACTTGTGCGTTATAAGTAGATGTATACTATAGTTACTATGGTACACTATAGTTATATACTTACTTGATGGCGCCAAAGCAATTCCACTTGGATAAAATGTCGCTATTTTCATCGAACATCATCGAAACAACGTGAGGTTCTTGGCCACGTGGGAGAGTTTCCACCATGGGATCCCATTGAGATGGGTGATATTGGCATTTGATCATCCGACCGATGGCAAAAGATCCGATCTTTCAGGGTACCCAAAAAAAATCTCAACACAAATTCATAATAGATTCAAAACCTTGAAGATCTATTAGATGGATAAATGATGATAAATGAATAGATCACAATAGATTAAGGAGACTGACTAAACTTAAATGGGTTCCACGGAGAAACTCAAAAAATTGTGTCATGGGATCACTACGACAAAGCCTGAGCTGTTGAAAATCCAACAGGGGCCCAATGATGCTCGTGAACCATCAAATACCATCCATTGTTCATCTATGTACAGCTACCCGGCCTGGTAAACGTTTACAGGTTGCTATTGAAGCCATGACCCAGTCGAAATAGGGGATTTTCCCATTGTTTCAATGGTGGATCTTTCCATAGTTATGTAAACGATTACCAGAGGCGATTTTTGGGAGTCACCAGCAGCCCCCGTTTGGTGACCTTTGCCGTATTGGAATCTGCCAGGGAACTGAAGCGGCGAAGTTCGGTTGGAATTGTTGGCTGGACAGAAGGTTGGAAAGCCGTCACCTGCCGTGGAGGATGCGGAGGTGTGGGAGGATTTTCTGGTAGGGGTCCCCCAACAACTACTGGTTGGTGGTTTCAACCCCTTTGAAAAATATGTGTCAGTTGGGATTATTATTCCGATATATGAAAAAAATACATGTTCCAAACCACCAACCAGATTAGTAATCCGTAGTGTCTTGTGAATGTTTGTTATTGCATCTCTTCAGGGACCCCGGTAGACTCTATTTCGCGAATGGTCTCTTCCACATGGCTTTTCCACATGGAACAACCGAGGGAGTCAGATGGATGGAACACTGTTTGGAATCTGTTCCCTGTGGAATTCTGATGGAATTTGACTAACGGTCTATGTATGTAAATCTCTCCAACCATTGCAGAAAGCTCCATGATTGTGTGTGTGTGTGTAGCCAGCCTGTGGACAATAGATTACAATAGCAATTGTCTGGTGGGGTGTGAATTGCCTGGAGAAGCTTAGATGATACCCCATATTTAGGCCATCATCAATATCAACCTTTCAGCCCCCCGAAACCTGGGAGTTTGGCCAAAGATAGGCCGAAATCGATGTTCAAATCAATACTTGAAGAAGTACCTTCCAGTAATCAAACGTGGCAATGGACAATTCACCATTTATGGATGGTTTTTCCAGCTAGAAACCTCCTAAGGGGCCCAGCTTGCCACGTTTGAGGACACCGGTGACACCCCTCCGGTGTGATGTGCTGCCCACCAGCGCTGGCCCAGTGCCGTCCTTCGTACGGACTGCGGCAGGTGATGGCGCAAGAGACCCCGGCAGATAGGTCGCCACAACTGGACCAATCATACCTCCCAGAAGGAGCGAACTTGCGATCTTTTCTTCTTGATATGAGGTACTAGGCTGTGCGATTTTGTGGTGTAGAAGCCATATATAAGTGGAGACATTTCCATGTATATATAAATTATATATATATATACATATTATTGTACTATATTGTATTATATTGCATTATATTTGTTCCCCCTTATTTTATATCATTATATTATAACTATAACGATAATTATAGTTATAATACATTATATTAGGGTATATTATATTATATTATTATATTATATTACCCTCTTGGCAAACTAACATAACTATGGAAAATCACAATTTTTCATGGGAAAACTCACTATTTCTATGGCCATTTTCCATAGTTATGTAAACGTTTACCAGAGGGTATATTCATATTGTTGTATTGAAAGCCTGGTTTTGGGGATGCCCTCTGATTAACGAACCCAACTGGGCGATGCCCCCAACTGGGTATCCCTGGGCAAAACGCACGCACCGAGGGGCCTGAATTCTACGGGACGTCTTCCGCAATGTCTAGATGCAGTACGTTGAATATCAAATATTTCTTATGTTAACACATACATATAATATAATATAACATAATATAATATAACATAATATAATAATATAATATAACACTATATAAAATAATATAATATATATAATATATAACATAATATAATACAGTATAATTGAATTTGATTTAATATATAGTATATATAATATTAACTGTATATCTACATAATATGATATGTGTATGTAATATGATATGTATATCTCATATGATACGTATATAATACAATATATAATGTATAACATACAATCAATATATTAATTATGTAATATATACATCATATATATATATATATCATATAAATAAAAGATATACCCTCTGGTAAACTAACATAACTATGGAAAACCATCATGTTTAATGGGAAAACCCATTTATAAATGGTCATTTTCAATAGATATTTTGACATAACCAGAGGGTATATCCCATTAAATCCCATTAAATCCCATTAAACCACCATTTTCCTATGGTTTTCCTATGGTTTTCCTATGGTGCCTTTACGTCGGACCCATGACCTGACCCCGTGTGCCCATAGAGGAGCGCCTGCAACGATCCAATTCAGGTTCCGCACAGGGCATGCGAGGAAGGCATCCGACCATCTCCACGACGCGCTGACACTGCTGGGTGATGTCACATTGCTTCACCTTGAGAAAGCCAGGGCCCCAGCCATGCTCTTGAGAAAGCCATCCCAAATGCCAGCCCGAAAGGATGAATCATGATGAATCCCAGGGAATTCTGGTGTGAGAAGGGTGTGTTATTAGGGCTGTTCCATAGAGGATGGTGCCCCCCAGTTATGTTTGTTGGTTTATAAACCCCATTAACTAGTTCGTTATATCTGCCATAAACCATAGTTACTGGAGTTATGTTCACCAACTTAGCTAACGAACTGGGGCACCACCTTGTAGCCATATTAATATGAACTCACCAGATATCAACGGATAGATCCGTGGATTGTTTCACGCCGCGACGACTCGCTCTCCCTCTGGGATCATCATGGATCATCTGGGTGCCCCGAACTGCTCGGCCCGTGTACTTCGGAGTACAACTCCACTGCTTGGTGAAAATGTCGTAGGAATAGCCTGGTCCTGCTTCTTCCACCTGCCAAGTTCGACCAAGTCGTTTAGGTTTGAAATGGCGGAACCAGCTGGAATAGATGACTGTCGAACGACTATGTCTTGACTTAAAGATCCAGTGTTTACTAAGAGCAGATGAACGAATATTTTAGGATGAACATGTCGAAAACGTCAACCCCTATCTTCGCTGTGAAGATCGCTCTTTGGGATTGTGGTTCCTGGTGCCACGTGGTGTTTCCGAGACAAAAGGGCCCGTCATTCTATGTGTGATACCATGAAGATCATCATGAAGATCATCATGAAGATCATCATGAAGATCATCATTGGACACAAATCCACATGGTAAACATTGGTAAACCATGAAGATCTTCATATATCTTCATCATTCTATAGCATTCTATGTGTGATACCAGCTGATGAGCCATGATGATCCACTTGTTGGCCACGAGTTGCATTGGATCCACCAGGAACTCCACCAGGAGCCCGGGCAAGAGGATCCGGGCAGATCTTGTCACAAACGGGTGTGCTGTAAATCCTGAGAGGTGAACTGCTGTAAATGGTGGAAAAATGCTGGGAAAATGATGGGAAAATGGTGGAAAAATGGTGAAAAATGCTGGAAACCCAATGTGACTGAAGCTTCAACTGCCCTTTTTTGTGCTCAAATTCTTCAGGAAAATGGAAAACCTGACTGCATGACTCTGTCAACTATGCCCACCCAACAAATGACAAATACTTGAACATTCAAAAAAGGTGACCTGTATACACGTGTCAATTCCCTTGTTCAGCACAGAAAAAGTTACAAATCAAAGTTGCACATCCAAATGCTGAACTTCACAGGCAACAATCGGCATCCACCAACTGTCAATTCAGCTCAGTGTCAGCTTTTGATTTGGGTCAGTGTTGGTCTCTGGACATATGGCCGTCACTGGCACACCGAAGAACAAAGGATCTTTGCAACCGATTTGGCACGACTGACCATTCTGTACCTCAGTTTCGAGATGCCAAGGTAAAAAAAATGCCGTGCTGTTGATGTCCAGACCTCCTCAATTTTTGAAATGGATGCATAGTATAGCCGTGTATCTATATATTATATGATATATCATATAGTATTATCAATGGACCAGAGTTATGTATATTTGAGCATGATACGTAAATATCTATCATGTAACCCTAACTTCAAAATGAGTGTATCCAAATTAACACATAAAATGTGAAGACACGTCGCAGATAATGTACCGTATGCCATATGCAAAATACAATACTACAGCACACATGATACTATATATATACACATATGGTACATGTCTCATGTCATGTATATATATATATTAATATAATATATATATATACTAATATAATATGTATATATATATATATACGTTGTATATATATATATGTTGTATATATATATATATGTTGTATATATATATATGTTGTATATATATATATTAATATAATATATATATATGTTGTATATATATATATGTTGTATATATATATATATATTAATATAATATATATATATATTAATATAATATATATATACGAGTATATTGCGTCTGTAGGGGTTGTAAGCTCCAGCAGCCACTGTTGTAAATGAGTTCCTGAACTTCAAGGATTATACCGGCTGAAGTTCATCAACAAGACCTGCAGCGTCAACACATCACTAAGAAACTTCATGAGGTCCTTGTTAGGCCTTGTAACATCTTGTGACTGACTGAAAATATCCTGCCAGAATTCAATGAAAGCGGTTCGCCCTCGGAAATCCCACCCTACCAATGATGAATCCCCCCATTTTTCGTACCCGGGGTGCGATAGCAGCCATCAGAGACCCCTCAACAAGACCAGACACATTCTCACAGCCAGTGGTGTCGTAGCCACATGCAGGCACATCGGACCTCAGCAGTCAGAGGAGCTGTTTTTGACATCGCTTCTACAGTCGAATTTTGGCCAGGCACAAAGGTTTGTACATTGAATTTGAATAGACTTACAAGGAGAATCAGAGATATACATAGATATACTATATACTATGTAAGTCTATTATTCTCTGACTATAATACTATATAATATCTATAGAATTTGATATACTATATACTATATACTATGTAATTAGTGCAAATTATATAGCGGCTCCATGGTGTCTAGACTTGTCTAGGCCTTTCCGCATTTGTTCCGCATTTTTCCTGAAGGTTGGACCCAAAGGGGGCAAATCCACTACGTGACTGCCATTACAAACATGTAGATGTAGAAGAACACACGTAGGAGAAGTTACCGTAGTGGTCGGAAAAAAACAAAAACAGCAGGACACTTCTTTCCTGATAAGCCAAGTCCTTTTTCTGCAATGCCGGACCTGCGTCCATCATGAGTGTGGCCAAAGCATTCACGTCCGATTTCCAGATCTGAAAAACCAGCTATGCAGCTCCGCTCCCATGGGGGGGCGATACACCCATAGAAACGGGAGCTGGTCTAATTGCAGTGCCGGGAAACGCCCTTCCTTCGGGATAATCCGTGGCCGGGTCGGGTGCAAGACAGCCAGTCAAGGCAAAGCAACCAGAGAAGACAGCCTGGATGAGATCAGCAATTTTTGGAGACCAGAGAAATTACGAAGAAATGGCTTTGTCAAAGGTTGGGTACCCCAATCATTGGTTAATATATTGTTATATAACACTAACAATATGGCAGTGTGTCAAAACCTTGTAGCCCTGGTGAACATCAAAATAGCTGGTAAATGGATGTTCATCCCACTAAAAGTGGTATTTTTATAGGTATTGATCCATACCCATATAGACTCAATGTCTAGTCTCCGAAGTCTGAAATTTGACCCATCTCCCAATAAGGCGAGAAGAATGACTCAAGCCACAGATTTGCCAAAGATGACTTGGGGGGTTCAGTCATGGGGGTACCCCAATAGCTGGATGGTTTATAATGGAAAATCCCCATCTCAAATGGATGATAACGGGTACGGTACCCCCATGAATTGGAAACCCCAATATCAAAATATCAACCAACCAATCATCCAACCATCTGATTCAGGCTGCCCTGGCCGAGTTCAAATCTTTGAATGGCGGCATGGCTATGAATGTCAGCATGGCAAGTTCAAAGGGAAAACAATGGACAGGAGATGAATGACGTAAAAAGGACGTGCTTCGATCTTCATTACCGGCCATGTCAAATATTCCAAATATTCCAAATCCATCCAATTCCAACGGATCTTCATCAACTTGATCAATCTCAAGTTAAAGCACAAACCTCAAAACCACAGAACTTTCGATTTCAGTCTTCAAAATCTTCAAAATCAAAGGGCCGCTGAAAAGGGAACATGAAAAAACCTAATTTATGATAGTTATAATAGTATTACACTAGTATTATAATAGTATTATGCTAGTATATAGTACAATATACACTATGATAGTTAATGATAAAAAACTAATTAATGATAGTTATAATATACCCAGGCATTCCAAGATTTTCACGGGCGGCCCACCTGTAGAAGACATGCCTCTCCCATTCGTATCACCGTGCATTCCCGAAGAGCCTACGCCGCGCATCTCGACGCGAAAATCCGTGAGGTGACGCAAAATTTGTCAATAGATTGGTGGTTTTAAGGGAAACATCTACAGGGAAGCTGGGTTTTTACTTGGATGTGTTTAATTTTTTTATATCAGGGGTTCCTGTAAGATTTTCCCATCATCCAATTCTGTAATATTGACTTGTCATGGCAAATAGGTCGAGAGATCACAATGGCGGAGATGGCGATCATGGATCGCTGGCCTGTCATGTGATGCTTGGATGGTGAGACTGCGCAAATCCTTCAGACTCTTCGATCTGAAAAACCGCCTTGTTTCACAATAAGTTTTAAATCCTGCAATTGACCACCATGGCTAGTTAGCCTCTGGTACAACAAAACGGTTTGCTATTGAAAATGGCCATTCAGATCATTGATTTACCTTGATTTACCAAACATGGTGATTTTTTCAGCATCGTTTTTTTTTTTACCCTCTGGTAAACTAACATAGCTATTGAAAATGGCCATTGAAATAGTGGAATTACCCATGAAAAATGGTGATTTTCCATAGTTTTTTGTATGTTTACCAGAGGGTAACTGTTAAAAAATCATCGGAAAACCCACCGATTCCATCGGGTTAAACCTGTCCGACCATCCCAGCGTCCCAGCGTCCAACCAACCAACCCCGGCTCGCACCGTCCCGTGGAAGCCAGGAGCACAAACCCAGTCGCCGGTCTCCTAGGCACCCGATGCGCGGTGACTTTTTGGGCCCCGGATGGGGTGGGATCTGGAGTCCCATGAAAAACCACCATAAAATCCCATTCAACCACTTCACTCGCCCTATATCTGATGGTAAAAACCCATGGGTTTCCTGTAGATTTTCCCTTAAACCAATCCATTGAACTTCACTTCACTCGCCTTTTAGGAAAACCAGAAAACCCAAGGGCCCCTAGGTCGTGGTCCAACATCGTCCAAACCGCACCTGCAACTGCCGGTAGGCCTTTGGAATCTCTGGAGGATTGGGACAAGACACCTGCGGTCGGCCGTTCCAGCGGCTTTTCGGCATGGATGAAATACATAGACCCCGGCAGTCATCGGGGTTGGAAGATGAATTTCCATTAAAACTACTGTAGGCTATTTTCAGGGTCAACATGTTAATTTACCAGAGGGTACATCAATTCATCTAGCATGGAACGGATTTTCAATGGATTCTTAGCCTCTATCAATTGATGTATCATCAATCATGTATGGCAAGATGGTGTAAGAAGGTACATAAATCAATGGATCTATGGACGGATCTATGATTGATTTACCATGATATTTACATCATAAATTCGGATAAATCATAAATCCATCATAGATCCATTATGATCTCACTGGTTAAATCATAGATCTATTTAAATGGAAATTATATATATCCATCAAAAATTTATATTTACCATGATATTTACATATATTTACATCATAAATGTATATTTACATCATATTTACATCATAAATCCATAAATCATTCTTACCATCACGGCCATTTATTCATCGGATTTTCCACCGGCGAATCATCGGCGACCCGCCTGGTCTTGTTCCAAGGCAGCCACACAGCTGGGCACGAGAAAGGTGAGATTTTCCTGCGAGAAACGTGGATGCATCTGGGGGCCCATGCCTTGGGGCAAGCCACAAAAAAAATGAGAACATGTCTTACTGTATGTATATAGTAGATGATATTATATCATATATTATAAATATATCATATTATATCATATTATATATCATATTATATCATATTATATTACATCATATTATATTGAATAATATAATATACAGGATTGTATCATATATAATATCATATGCTATACTACATCAAAAACAATATCATATAACATATTATATCATATGTTATATCATATATTGTATCATACCATAGATATTGTATCATATATTTAATTACATGCTGTACTAAATATATTCTACTTGAAAATATATTGTGTACTACATTATTTCATATGTCATGATATTACATCATATATTGTATAATATATGTAATGGTATGTATGAATGTGTATGTACATACATGTTTATATACTATTCTATATACACATACATACAGTATATTTATATGTGTGCAAATCTACGACAACATATGGTACATCATTATCCAATATTTCTTCTCAACCCATAAGGCTTGTCATGTTGCGAACATATTATCCCGCCTCAAAGCCTGAGTTTCCGGAGAAGGGGCAAACAGCTTCCCTCGAAGCCCCCAAGTAGGGCACCTGCATAGGCTGATTTTCGTCAGCATAGCTTGGATTTTTGTTGATCTTTGAACATCTCATCAACATGTCATCAACTGTTCATCAACTTTTCACAACCAAAAAAAATCTATGAACATCTACTGTTCATCAACTGTTCAATCAACTGTTCATCAACTTTTCATAACCCAAAAAAAAAACTTCCACTTCCACTAATCTAATCTATGCCTCGGAGTCCTTGGAGACCTTGGACAATTGTCGTAATCATTTGATTGGGGGAGAAACAACGACATCTGTCGGGCTTCAGGGCTGCTTCGCCAATGATCCAGTGGTCATGGTCAACGTTAAATACTGTTCGTGGTTATGATGATGTTGTGATGTTTGTGATGAACATTGTTTTCCATCTACATATATATATACATATATACATATATACATACATATATATATACATATATGTATATATATATGTATACATACACATATAATATATATATATATATATACACACATATACATATATATATATATACACATGTATATATATACATGTATACATGTATACATATATATATACATGTCCGGTATTCGACCAATGGCAGTGCATTAAGCTGCTAATCGTGGTGTCAAGATCTAGACAAACAAATTTGCAAACTGTATTCCGACTCTAGCTGCTCCAGCCCTTGGCAAATAGACACCCCAGGGCCCCATGATGAAACCTTCTCTGAGGCTGTGCACAGAAATTCTGTCCAGGCTCTTTGAAGGGCCAGCGAAGCGAGCCGTAATTCCCAATAAAGCATGACCATTACCGCCATCATATGGGTATGGATCAATACCTATTAATACCATTTTTAGGGGGATGAACATCCATTTACCAGCTATTTTGATGTTCACCAGGGGTACAAGGTTTTGACACACTGCCATATTTCAGCATGTTTCAGCCATTCAAAGCGCCACTTCAGTGACACAAGAAACACCCTGACTGGCCTTGCATCGAATTCGACATGATCCACCCTGCGAAACTCTGCTGCATTCAGAAACATCGTAGATGCAAGGGTCCAGTTCGGGTCCTCTGGGTCAACCCTTCTGGCAGATGCAATGGAACAATCGAGAGGGAAACATTGGTGTGTTTTCACCTTCAAAAAAACATCGGTGTCCGACGTAGATTTTCCCAACAACATAACAAAACGACTCTGAAGTATATAACATCGTGCTGTTTCCGATTCGCAAATGCAATTTCCTAGGCGATCTGCACGCGCACACACTCAAATAAAGCATGGATTGAATTGGTTTGACACACTAAGGGAACCTCTAATATTCACCCGCCACTTAAACCAAGACATGTCGGGCAATCTCAAGCACATCAAAACATGTTGCTGGAAATAGTCAACTTTGAGTACTTCAAAATGCACCAAAGTCATCACCAAAACAAACACATATCATATACCCTCTGGTAAACTTATAAAAAACTATGGAAAATCACCATGTTCAATGGGTAATTCCACTATTTCTATGGCCATTTTCAATAGCTATGGCTTCTGACATGGTCCGAACATGTCTCTGTGTTGGCCCACAGGGGATGTGACGACTAAATCTGGTGGAATTCTTAGAGCGATGTTTCGGTTATCGTGATAGGGTCCATATCGTCTATATCATAATCATGCACATATATATATATATCATATTATTGTATGTATATATTATATAGTGTATGTGTACAATATACAATTATATATATATATCATGTTAATGCATAGGTATTTACACAATAGTAATCGTACATAAACATAACGTAAAAGAACATAGTCATCATGATCGTGAGAAGGACAACGCTGCCAGGCCCGGTTGGGTTGTCTCCTCTGCAGTAGGAACAAAGCTCCAACGAAGTCGGTACAACCTGCGAGTTGAACGCGAGTCGAAGGAAGTCGGGCATAATACCATGGGGATACCCACTTAAATAGCATTGGAACCATATTAAACCACCATTTCTATCCATTTTTTATAGGGAAAATGATTTCATCCATGATTTCATCCATTGGAATTTACAGGGAAAATGATGAGAATTTCATCCCTCAAATTCCCGACGAACTAAGCACAAGGAAGTTTGTTTGAGAGTGGGACTGCTAAAATCCAACAAAACACCCAGCAACTAATCCCTGGTCGACATGGGAATCCACACATGACCATACCCTGCAGTTTGTGATCTGCCCTGAGAGGTTTGTCATCAGGTTAATTCGTAACAACAGAATATGACATATCTTATGACACAGGGAAAGGAGAAAGGACAACTACCCTTTGCAGGACCAAGATGTTCAATTGCAATTTCGGAAAAACGCGCCAGCATTTCTATGCATTTGTAAGATAGATTCAAATATTCACAGATCTGCATGGAGTGAGGTGAAGATGGTGAAGTTTGACATATAAATTCTGATATAAATTCTGGGATTCCATCGCAAAACATAGATCCTGACTTTGATATATATTTGATCTGAGAAAAATACTATGTATTTGGAATATATTCTGACATAGTATCGGGCGTGTAGACAAAGATATGCTATGGGACCCAAAATGCTAATTTCACAATGGTATACCACTTTTCTGAATTCGTGTGAAATGCGTGTGAAATGGTTGAAACATTGCCAATCTTAGATACTGTACCTTGCAAAAAAAACAATTCTTTGCTGGTTAGTAGATATTCCCATTAATACCAAAAGACAAAAGGGTTAAAGTACCCATGTAAGATTGACCTAGGAAATATCATGAAATTGAAAGGCGGTGCTAGAAATGTCCCAAGGCCGAACCCAAGAAACCCTGGCCAAAATCCTGCAACGTGAAGAGCGTGCTGAGCACTCAACGTGGTTCGATCTGTGTTTGGTGACCGGTGGCTTGTAGTATCTACCCTCTGGTAATTTGTTACATAGCTATTGAAAATGACCATTTATAGTGGTTTTTCCTATTAAAAATGGTGATTTTCCATAGTTATGTTAGTTTACCAGAGTGTATAAAATTGGTAAAACGACCGCAGCATGCGAACATCAGACTAGCAACTAGATGCGACTCGAATTTTCAATGTGCTAAAATAGCTTAACAGAGTATTCTATGCTCAAGTACCCTCTGGTAAACGTTTACATAGCTATTGAAAATGGCCCAGTCGAAATAGTGGATTTGCCCATTGAAAATGGTGATTTTCCATCCTTTTTTGTATGTTTCCAGGGAGTTTCGTCGGGTTGAAACCCCACCTCCGGTCTCGTGACAGACTGGCCATGGCTTGCACAAAGCTCCGAACGTTTCGTGTTGAAACCTGGCTGTCACAAGGGTGAAAACGATGTGTTTTTTGGGGGAAGATACCATCTGGTTATTTAACATAGCCATGGTATAGATGGCCCATAGAAATAGATGGTTTACCTATTAAACATGGTGATTTTCCATGGCTATGTTAAATAACCAGATGGTATCTAAGATATGCTGCTATCTTCATTACTTATTGTTGGTTGTGTATGGTCTTATTGGTCACAATATCACGATATTTCACGATATATCACGATATATCACGACCTCACTCGCAAGATTTGAGATTTGGGAACAATTTCTATGTGTACCCAACAAGAAAAAGAAGAGTAACAATCTCACTATACTTGCACGATGAATCCGTTTAGGGCGTTACTTTACTAAAGTTGTAATATTTAATAATATACCATTCTTAACCTTTAGGCACTTGCAACAGCCCAATCATTTCACTACTTGCCAAAGGAAGAAATAGACATCAATGTTAATGATTTCCTTCAACAAATGAAAGCCCAATAATATCCAATAATATCCTTTTTCTCTATAGATGTTGCCATGTTTTTTCATGATTTGTTCACATCTTCCGTAGATTTTCGCATGATTTTTTCAGGAGTGAGGTGAGTTCCAAATCAGCTTTCACTGATTGGAGACCCCAAACCCAAAAAAAAGACTAAGGCAAGCGGCAAGCACAGAAAAACGTAATGAAACGGACTTTTTCATTAAAAGCTAGTCAATGGTATATGTGTATAGATATATAACATGTATATATATATATATATGGTCATATATATATATATATATGGTCATATATATATATATATATGGTCATATATATATATATATATATCAAATATACATATGAATATATATATATACATATATATACATATATATATATACGTATATATATATATACATAGAGTATCATAGAGTTATACGTGTGTGTGTATATATATATATTGTTTGATGGGTTTTGATGGGCTGTGCCCCCCCATCTCAGCCATCCCAGATATGTTGTGACTCCCTTGGGATAAAATGTGATGTGAACCGAACACCGTCCATGACTCCTAACGATCAGATGGGCGGAATTGGCTAGATTGGCTAGAAAGCTGTTCGCACATTCATAAATTTCATAGCGAAAGTATGCTATCAATTCAGAAGTAGCTATAAAATAGCTATAAATTGCGACATAACTCCATAAGTAGCTATCAATTGCGACATAACTCTTTTTCAGATGTGGGTATGGGTCAATACCTATAGATACATTTTAGTGGGATGAACATCCATAAATCCCAGCTATTTTGGGGTTCACTAGGTACCAGGGTTTTGACCCATCCCCATGTCTATTAAAAAAAATGCTATAAATCCTGTTCCCACTCCTGGGCACCACAGCTCCGTCGCGGCACCTGGATCTTGCGATGGACCAATCTGCAGCTGTCGCGACGACCTCGACCTCCACTTGCTGCGATTTGCAGATCTCCTCAGCGATGGCGATGTGGAAAATCAACGGAAGATTTTATGGTGGTTTAATGGGATTTTATGGTGGTTTAATGGAGTTTTTTGGTGGTTTAATGGTATTTTTTGGTGGTTTAATGGGATCTTATGGTGGTTTAATGGGATTTTATGGTGGTTTAATTGTATTTTTTCGTGGTTTAAAGATTTTTTTGGTGGTTTAATGGGATCTTTTGGTGGTTTAATGGGATCTTATGGTGGTTTAATGGGATCTTATGGTGGTTTAATGGGATTTTATGGTGGTTTAATGGATTTTTTGATGGTTTAATGGGTTTTTTTGATGGTTTAATGGGATTTTTTGCTGGTTTAATGGGATTTTCTGGTGGTTTAATGGGTTTTTTGGTGGTTTAATGGGATTTTATGTTGGTTTAATGGGATGTTTTGGTGGTTTAATGGGATTTAATAGGATCTAATGGGATTTAATTATTAATGGGATTTACCCTCTGGTAAACATACAAAAAGCGAACTGGAAAATCACCATCTAACTAATAGGTATTTAATAGGTAAATCAACGAACTAAATGGGCCATGTTCAATAATATAGCAAATTGTTCAATAACCAGAGGGCTATTATTTGGAAAATTACTGCGATGGCTCTGGCCAAATGAATGGAATGTGATTATCAAACCAGGAAAAATCAAATTGGAATGTCATGAGACAGCAAAAGTCCAGTGGCTGCGGTATTGAGGATGGGTTAACACTACTTGAAGCGAAACGCGCAGAGAACAGCTGGCAGAAGATCTGCCGAGGATTGCAATGATATTGGAATGATCTGTGTGAGTGTCGATGATGGAATCATAGAAGCATCAAACACTCCTCAGAAATCCTTGAAACACTTGGGCATGGATCAAAGATTCCAATTGCAAGCTTCCCCAAAAATCCCATGGATGAAAACCATTTTTTTTGTCCCTATCATTTGCCATGTCCCAGTGTATCCCCTATGAGGACAAACCCAAATATACTCTTGTTGGTTAGCTATATCCCATGATATTCCATGTTACATCAATCTCATATCCCCGTTGATGGTGAAATCCTCCTAGTGTATCCCAGTATATCCCATTTCTTTACCTGAAGTCTTCACGTGAAGTCTTCCTAGTGTTGAATCCTATTGCCCCATGGCTTAACCCAGCATTTTGTTGCTTATAGAAGCTTAATATTGGTTATATTATAAGTCTATCCCCAATTCCTAAATTTACAGAAGTTATGTATAAGCTATATATACATATACATATAACATATACATAATATATATATATGCATATAATATATGTATATAATATATATATATACATATGACGGTTTGTCAAAATGTCTGTTCCCGGTTTTGTTGATAAATCGCAATTCCATGCGTGCCGCCTCATGTTTGCCTTTAAAAAACATGACCTACCTTGATGACGTGAAAACGTGGAAATTCTTCGTTACCTTTGGAAATCTTTCTAAAACCACAGGAATCGGCTAACGCACGTCGGTTTTCATTCGCTGTCGCTGGTACTATCTCCGGAACTGTGTGTCTCTGTGTGTGTGCCTCTCTGAATGCAATATGCTTCTTGACATGCCTCCTGATCAACGCTGTTTCCTTACTGTAAGCTACCAAAGTGTGAACATGGCTGTGCCTCTGAATGGGCTGCGGGTGGACCGGGGCATGTATTTGCAATTTTCGCTAGCGCATTGCTAGCGGCGATCTAGCGCGTAAAATACGTAAAAAATCGAAAATTTGGGAATATGTGGAAACTGACAGACTTGTGAGAAAAGCTGGCAAGACATTCACGACATGGAGGCCATGGCTGTCAATCAAACCTAGCGCAAACCTAGCGGGTTTGCTAGCGCTGCCTTGCAGAATTGCTGAATTTAGTTGCGTGCCGCCTCATAACGAAGAGGAAAAAACAGTAGACCCAGATGAATTATCAACAACCAATACTAAACTTCTAAACAACTATTTTTGACAAATGGTCATATATATCCCCATGACATCTCCCATTAATCTGGAAAACTCACATTGAGACAGCCAGAGTGACTGACTCTGCCGAGTGGCTGAATCGTCTGTGACACATTTGGTCGCCAGTCGATGTCATCGATCGCATGAAGCCAGGGAAGGCAAAAAAGGTAGAGCCTGGTGGGCGCAAAAAAAAATGGAAATGGTGTCAAACTAGACTATTATATATATATATATAATATATATAATATTATATGATTGTATGATTATATGATTATATAATATTACTATGATTTAGTAATTATAAATCAATTTTATATGAGTTTATATGATATTAGTAATGATTGGTATGATATTATGTACTGCAATATTTATATCAAAAATTGGTGCCACAAATTCTTTGAAACATGTCTATCCCTTAGTGGATGCATTGGATGAAAGAGGGTGACTGGTTGAGACACCAGGTGCACCAACCTCATTTTTGCATGTTCAAATCATATTTCTGGTGCTACACCCTGAATAACAAGGTATAGCTACCAGGGTAACCAGGGTACCCTACATTTCTAGCAGTCAACTTGCTTGTTTTCACACATTTCGGCGGCCAACTGGTTTCAGCCGCCTCGATTTCTTCAAATGGAAGTTTTTTCCGCATTTTGCAGTTTTGCATCCAACACCAAGCATAGGCCGTTCCCGTTTTTCGTCTGCATTTGCATGTGGGGAAGACCTGGTAATTTTTACCATGGGGACCTGATCTAGCAACGCGGCAACAGCAGGGCGTGGAACAGAAGGTCCATGGAATGGAGTCAGTTGCCATGCTTTCCTTGTCATTGTGCGTATGAAGTCAAGGCAAAAACTACACATTAGTCATGTGTAACATGTATTAATTAGCAAACAATAAAGACATGACGTTGATACAAATGGCAACACGATGCAACAACTACAATCGTTAGTCCATGTCTCTGTCCGAATCTTTCCGCTCTTCTTGATTTATCTGACATGATCAAGACACGTGCTGGAAGGGTGTTATACAGCTATTACTACCCGCGAAAAGCCACTAATCGACTTTACAAGAGCTTGTATAGAGCTAATCTATGTCATTGGTTTCGACCGTGGAAAATAATGCATGTACATCGAACCTATTGTGGCATATATATATATGTGATGTAGTTGCGTAGGCGTTGCCATACTAGCATATCCATAAACACACGATACACATCATAAATGTTTGCAAGTATCTCACATGGTGCAAGGATGAGCTCTTGAAAGTGATTCCCAAGTGGCTGTAACAAAAAAAGAACACTTCCCAGTTGTAAAATGGGAGATTAATGTCATGTTTACCATCCCCCAGTCATCACCATGTTTATAGGTGGTATGTAGGAACCATTCGTAGTCACGGGTGGTTTATGACATTGTTTTACCCACATTAGATAAGTTTTGATAAGTGATAGTGATTCACCGACCTGAAGATTGAACGTGATTTTGGATGATTCCCCAAAAACTGAAAGCTGCCTAGTTGCCATATTAATGTTGCACTCCGCATCCTGTCTGCATCACCAGCTGTGGCAGTTGCGCGAATGCAGTGCGCAACAGCTGGAAATTATCCGCACATCACAGCCGAAGCTGAAGCTCAAGTGCCATGTCAAGTTTAGACACGGCACTCCTGTGGTGGTTTTGATGTCAGGGCTGAGTGAGGATGTCTAGAAACCTGCGACTGAGTCAACTGTCGCGACCTTAGGATTTACTGTCGGGCTGCATGACTTGCAATCGTTGGGTTTGGAGCCATAGTCGGCCATAGTAATAGTTCATGCATTTCATGCTAAACACCTATCTATATACGGATTTTTTTTATATGTGTGTATATTCCATTCACTCCTAATGATTGATTGAACGTGGCTCTAGAGCGTCTTGGAGAGCGGTGAGATTCCGTGGCACTGAGGTCAGGAAATTGTTCAGCTACTGTCCCCTTGGTTGGCAAAAAAAACCTGGGTGTGTTTTTATAAAAACACCAGCCAAGGATTTGTGAAAGCAAAGTACAAGTCCTCTCAACTAGGTCTTGACAGGCGCTAGGTCTAGTTCAAACAGTCTTGGATCGGTCTAAAACAACTTAGTGCCTCATTGTGGTCACGGACACTGAGGTACGCAATGCCACAATCTGGAACGAGACATGTATATCGGAGAACCTAGTGGCTGGGCCACTTGCCGGAGATGCTGAAACTTTCCTAGGCCCTAGGCTTTTAACACCATGACTGGATACAGGGGCAACATCTTGCAACTAAAGAAAAGGGGCCCAATAAAAACTGACAACACGTTCAACAACAAAGCCTGCAATCCCTAGAAAGGCATTGTACAAACAAGGTAGTCCCCACAACCACAGCACATAGCGGTACCATTTTCGCACTGCAATGCGACAGTCGCAGATTGCCGCAGCACGTCGACCCCTTTCAAACGGCGCTGCTAAACCTGCATTTCTTCAAGGTTAAGTTGGATGCCATGCAAGTCCCAGATTGTCCCAGCATCCCACCAACTTTCCCAAAGCAAGTCTTAGCTCAACATGGTTTAACCAATTGTCCCGGCATCGGCATGTCGTCTGTCCGCAACGGCTCTGTAGGGCGAAGATGTATCTCCGTTCGACAGCAAAGCAACATTGGTCAGGAGCGCCCCTGTCAGAACTCTGATGTTCATCTAACATCATCTAACATTCATCTAACGACTCCCATCCACTCAGGATGGAGACATCTGGCATGTCAAACTGCTGAGAATCGCAGGCCTGAAACTGCAAGGCTCTGGTGTTAGCCTCAGAGGCTGAAGTTCTGCTGAAGTTCTGCACTAGAGATGACACTATGGAAAGAGCAAAAAGCATGTGCTTTGCTTTTCGAGATGCGGATCATGATGTTACGTGATCTCATCAACCAGCCTAATCGTACAGCAACCACTATCATTATTGGAAACAGTGTTTCATATTATTTCATAGTCGGGCATAGTACTGACACAGTGGTATACACCTATTACGTAATAATACATAATACTGTATATGATTTTTATCTGAAAAGGTTGAGGGAAATCTCAAATTCCATCACAATGGCAGAGGCAGCTGCAATGTTGACCATCATGGAAACAAAAACTCATTGCAGACTAATATCCAGACAGATCCAGAAACGGAAACAAACCGAAAAAAAAAAAGAAGGAGCACCTAGTGAGTATGAGAACTACCCTCTGGTTATGACTAACATAGCCATGGTATAGATGGCCCTAATCGAAATAAATGATTTTCCCAGCTAGAAACCTCAATTTACGGGATTTTCCATGGCTATGTTAGTCATAGATGGTACCAGGAACTACCGTAGAATCGCCTGGAACGCCATCTTTGGGCCTAGTCCAGGTCTCGGATCAGGCGCGCGGCCTGCGCGCCGGGCACGGTAGTAGCAACTCATGGCGGAAGTTCTGGTGGATTTTCCATGGGATTTTCCATGAAAATCCACAAGTCCTGGAAAAATCGGCAGTACATCTTCACATTCCAAGCAGGACACGGTGCAAGTTTTGGATCTCTGGCAGGATGCAATAGGAGGTCCCCTGTTGAAGATGAACTCCCGACCTCCACACAGGCCATCACAGGCCTATTTATATATGTTTCATGTGTTTTCGATAATTTTGCTCATTTCTCAAAGTGTACAGGCTCTGGTAGGGTAGAGCTTGGCTGCCCTCGAATGTAATTGGAGGCTGAAACAGAATGACTCAGCAAGGAAAACTTGATTCACATACTTCCAGACTTCCAGATGATGGGGTTTCTTTTCTCAACATTCATAGAATTGGATGATGGGAAAATATTAACAGGAAAGCCCGATCAATTTGATGGTAAAAACCATGGTTTCCTGTAGATTTTCCCTTAAACCAATGAAAAATAGGCGAAAACCACCTGATTCAGACGGACTCTTCATGATGATCATCGGATGGTCATCGCTTCCCCCTGGCCATGATTGCCACCTTCGCAGACTTGGCAGGCAGCCCACCATCGCGTTTGGCCTGAAAAATCGGTGATTCTGGCCGTGATTGATGAAATAAGTCCCGTTTGGCCATGAAATAGTTGGAAGTAGTTGGGATGATGATTCATCAATGGATGAACCAATGAATGGAACTGCTGTACCATGGTGTAGCCTATTTTTATCTATTTTTCAGACAAGGCCATGCGCGAAAAGGATCAAACATCTTGAAAGAAAACCAACATCTAGAAGGAAAGCTGATCTTGAAACAAGCAAAAAAACTTACGGTATCTTGAATAAGAACGTGTCCTAACTCCCGATCTGCTTTCAATTCATCTTCTTGGCCCCCTGAATTGACAGTAGAACAGGCATCGATTTTTCTAGAGAAGTCCAAGTGCACATCAACTTTCACTGATCTGAGGCCATTTCAGGAACCTAACTTGGAGGTACCTACCACAAAAAAAAGGCCTCTATAGGGTCCTGAATTCCCAATAATCTGATTTCAGTACCTACTGTGGATGGAAGAAATCCTGCACCAGTTGATAGATGGTTTATCCCACTATTTATAGGGTTTCAACCATCCTTTTGGTGGTGCAGGATTTCGCAACCATCAACAGTAGGTGCTGGAAGTATCAGCATGTTTTCACTCCCTGCAATGCCTTGCTTTTTCCTGCAACCTGAGGCAGCATCCGCACCCGGAGAGTCACAAAATGTCGCAGTGATAATTGGGACCCAAAACGGGAATTGGTCAAACGTGATTTGGGGATGGGTCAAAACCTTGTACCCCTGGTGAACATCAAAATAGCTGGTAAATGGATGTTCATCCCACTAAAAATGGTATGTATAGGTATTGATCCATAGCCATTTGCTGAAAAATCAAGAAAAAACTATATATAGATCTATGGTGTAACCCCAAAGAGTATCTTTCTTTAAGTAATTATTCAGAGAGTTGCCTCATTTTAGATCAGATTCAAGAGGGTACCCTGCTGAGCTGAAATGGATATAAATGATGCAAGCCTATGTCTATTTGAAATTGTCCTTGCAGGAACCTTAGCGGTTACATGCTTGGACTTTGACTTGGGATGTTCAAAATGTTGGAATCACTTGGGAAAAAGTGCCTCCAACAAGCCTGCAGGTCTGCGCCTGTTTCAGTCTCTGCTGGCGTTCTTTCTCGCGTTCATGGCGCATTCTTTCAATCTGCAGGGAATTCGGATATTTGGATACTCGTGGATACTCCAAATCCACTGCTGGGCAGTTCTTCGTGCAGTGGGGCAAAATCACATTCATGGGTGTTCATCGTTTTTTAGGAAGAGTAGGGATGCATGAAGTGTACTTGAAATAATGTCCAAGGATCTCAAAATGTACCCTCTGGTAATTTAACATAGCTATATAGCAACATGGCCATAGAAATAGTGGATTTACCCATTGAAAATGGTGGATCTTTCCAGTTCGCTTTTTGTTAGTTTACCAGAGGGTATTTGCTGCTCAACCGAAGAATGAATTGTGTTCAAACATGGTTTCGTGTAGTTCCTGAAAAAAAACGTCCGACCTTCGTAGACCTGGTCGACCAAAGCCTTATCTGAAGCCACCCTTATCTGAGCTCACGTTTTTTGGGGTCATTCATACATGGGGATGGGTCAATACCTATAAAAATACCATTTTTAGGGGGATGAAGATCCATTTACCAGCTATTTTGATGTTCACCAGGGGTACAAGGTTTTGACACACTACCACATGTCCTTCTTCCTTTACCCGTGTTTTCTTTGGCTTCTATTCGCAAGCGTGAGGTATTGAAGTGCATTTCCTATGTAAGCTCGTCCAACAAAAGTGCACCCAAACAAGGTTACAGAGAGATACAGAGAGGCTGATCTTGTCTTACTCCTCTAAAAGATCTGAGAACTGATTGTCACATCATTTGACATGCGTTAGAGTCATGTCAATCTTCACACAAATATCCGGGACATGCATTGCCAAATTGAGTTCAAATTTCTATGTTCAAGTCCCAGAAAAACAAGTTCGGACCTCACTCATGAAATATTAAATGCTTGGATTTAATGAAAAACATACTAGAGACCACAGGATCTTTTTGCACCAAATACATATATATATATATATATTATATACACATAGAAGTTATAGGCTCAGTATATATGGGGAACATACTGATAAACATAAATAAACAATATATATATATTATATATTATACAACTTGGTGGTACCCAATTTTTCAGACAGAACCACATCAAAAACGAACATGGCGCCTCTTCAGGCACCCGATCGGCTGTCCGCTTCAATGGGTTAGTGATGGTGCCCACTTCAACCCGACGATGGTCGTTGGACATATAACTCGTACGTCAACCACTCTTTGGTGATCGTTACTTTTTGCGATGGTACAGTCGTCACTTTCATCAACATGTTTTTCTACTTCTACGAAACTGTCCTTGAGTTTTAAAGCAACAAATCTTGCATCATATTGCTAGGAATCTATCACTATGGAAGGAGCTTTACTCCAGTGTTCATCACACAACATACCAGAATTTGTGCCACTTTTAAAGTCCCACTGAACCTGGGCCAACTCAGCTGCTAAAGCTTTCTTCTCTTGCTTCTCCTGAACCTGGAACATTCCAACAATCACAACGATCATCCAGGATCTTCACATTCCGATGCTTTTCGATGCTTTTGACCTATCAAGATCTATCTTTTGATCGTGAAAAAATACTGCCAATCCTCTGTGGCACAACGCGTGGGCAACATGTTCTGGTTCCGAAAAACACTCCAGTTATCTTCGGGGAAAAGTGGAAAAGCCACAAACAAACGCGATCTTTTGCTCATTGGACCTACTCATCCTGACACCAATCCCAGCCTTGCAGGATTGGGATACATTGGGATATGTGAGATCCAATGGCACATAGATAACCATTCTTTAAGATCCGCAAATCATGGAAATGACATTGAAATGACAGCATTTTAGGCGCCTTTTTCTCCTTCAGCTCTTCCTTTTCCTCTGGTGTCTGGATGGCTTTGAGACCCCTTAGTGGCGTCTGTGTCTAACTCAACTCCAAGGGGATTCCAACGGGGCGAACTGGGTTTTTTCAGGATTTGGACGAAGCGTCTCCAAAAGCTGCACCGAAAAACGCCTTTTCTGCACCGAAAATAAACTGAAACAGAAAACAGTAGCGTCCATCAACGGCAAAGCTGCGCCATGCGTTTCAAATGCTGTGCGTCAAGTGATTCAAAGTTCCAAAACAAATCCAGGTGAGAAGAGTCTTACATGCTCGACGCTGAGCTACAAAGACCCCAGCATTTCCTGAAAACAAGGCTGGGGCAGAAATGCAACTTTTTTTGTGAGACTGTCCGCAACTTTCATACCCAATAAACCTCCAAGTTATCAAGTTTGTGGCTACACCATGGAATACCATGGAATTGACATGATTTTCCAGAGGTGTGCAGTATTGAGTTCTTGGAACTTCAAATCACTCTCCTTGGCAGGCCACATTGCGGCGAGGGATGACAAAGCTATCAACAAGCAAGAACCAAGACGGACCCGCCTCAGCAGCTTTGAGGCTGTACCCGTTTGAATCCTTCTGAGGCAGGAATCTTGAGCACTTCCGTGCCGTTCAAACGCTTCACTCAATGGATTGGTTTAAGGGAAAATCTACAGGAAACCATGGTTTTTACCATCAAATATAGGGCTTTCCTGTAAATTTTCCCATCATCCAATTCTATGATTCACCGTTTCACGTTGATAGCTTCAGAAACTGCGCAACCAGCAACGATCAACGGCGCCCAAATAGCGCACAAATCGATCGACAAACGGAGCCCCCTTTGGGACCATCAAAATCTGCCAAAAGGGCATCCCGGTCTCGCTGTAGGTCCAGCTCATCTCGTGCCTCGCCAAGTGAAAAATGGTCAAAAAACATGTGTGCCATGGTCCTCCATGTCTGCTATATGGGGTCATCCATCCACAATTGGAATCCTTATATAATCCATGGATATTAATTATATATATATATATTATATTATATATATTATATATATCATATATATTATATATATTATATTATATATATACTTATAATATCGAGTGCTAGGAGGAGATAATTGAATGAGACCTTTGCAAGCTGCCGCAGCGGGACACGCTTCTGGGTGCAGTATGGCAAAAAAATAATATATATATATATTATGTAATTATATATATATACATATCATCATATCGGGACGCTATCTAAATGGGCAGAACCTCTAAAGGCCATACTCCTCCTAGGGTTTGAATCTTCGCTGGTCGGTGGCTGGCCCTGAAATTTGATGGGGTTGCCACAATGGGTCATGACGAGCTAATAGAATCAAAGATCTTCAAGTGTTGCGCCCCTGAAAAGATGCAAAAAAAATGGTAACCCTTTGGTTATGACTAACAGTTCGCCATGAAAAATCATCACTTTTAATAGGTACATCATCTATAAATGGGTCATTTTCCATAGCTATGTTGAATAACCAGAGGGTAAATGTTGATTCCAAAACAATGGTAAATGCTATCGTTTTGGGAATCTCTTTGGGGGTTACGATTCCAAAAAGTACTCCAACGGTTTGGAGATCTAAAATTCGAACCATCTCCATTCATCCAACATCGAGTATTTCTTATGAAAAATCTCCGAAAAACATGGCTAGCTTGGAAATCCCCTACCTAAACACGGAGGTTTCTAGGGATTTTTTTCATGGGAGATGTTTCCAGTAAGCCTCGTTCGACTACCAGAGGGTATTTCAATCTGGTTGTGTATTAATGGTATTCTGCAAGAATTCTCTGTCGCATCCCAGTTTAATATTCCAAAAAATATCTCCATTCTATGAGATTTTTTAATGTTGAAATATTCAATTGAATCAGAGGATATGTTTCTAAATTTGGATATCAAAAATTGGATATTTAAATTGAATATCTAATAAAAGTGTTTATTCAAAATAAGGAGATATAAGGAGTATGTTTCTGGGTAAATTGTAATATTTCACTAACCTAAATCTTGCGGCCTCACATGGGGATGATTTCCCGTAACTACCATTATTCCCAGTGAGGGAGAACAGTGAGGTCGTTGTACTCAGATATAATTGTTATATATATATATACACATATCATTAGTGACATATATCATCTTATATCTATACTGGATATATCTTGGTATAACATATACCACATATATATATATAAATGACTATGATTATAGTGGCAAATGTTTGGATGTTGGAGATTCAAAAAAAGGTCTCCAACATCGACGGGCACCTTTCTGAGTTGCTCCTTGGCGCCTTTGAGCTCTTCAGCGAGCCGTTGACGCCGCGCACGTTCCTGAACATAGCGATGATCAAACGTCAGATGCGCAAGCGAACTTTGGATTGGTTCAAGGGAAAATTTACAGGAAACCATGGTTTTTACCAGTAAATATGGGGGGTTCCGGTTAAGATTTTCTAGATTTTCCCTTAAACAATCCAATGATTGCTGCGAACTTTGGTTCAACTTGCACATCTCCTGCTTGATCCTGCTTCAAGCGACAAGAAAAAAAAAGTGCAATTTCTTGAAATCGGGTGATGTAACGAACAATGGCCCTGAACCAAAGCTGGGAAGATTTACTCTGCTGTAGATTATTGGTGCCTCCGGCCCAGAGTATGATCTTATAGCTATTTGTGGAGATATCACATTGACATTACTTTACAGATATACATATACATATATATATATTATATTATATATATATATATTTTTTGATACTTATAGTATAACACATATAATGGCATATTATGTATATATATACATCTTGAGCATGACGACGCTGGAAGCTTGGGAGACAAACATGTGGGGATGGTCAAAACCTATGATTACCATATGAGTTGTGTTTTTTTTCCTTGCTAAACTGCAATACACAAATTAGGACACCTACGCGGGGCCTACGCAAACCATTCCTCCCAAGCAAAACTGCCTACGCGAGGGTTACCTTTCAAGAAGTGCCTACGCGGTTGCCTCCGCGAAAGTTGCTGCAACGATCTCTTTACTTGACGTGATGTGATCACAATTCTGGTTCAGAAGAGGAATAGAAAGAATTGGAAGATGACGATTCTTTGGGTGACTTGTGAAAGGAAGGCGGAAGCCTCATCAAGAGTGGAGCACTGTGTCATGATGTGATCGGCAGTCATGATGAACTCATGGAAACATTAGAAAAGTGAAACGGTAAGACTTTGATGGGCTACGGACCACAATTTGACCTAGGGCGTCCGCGTTTCCTACGCGAGGGCCTACGCGGAGCCTACGCGAAAATCCGAACCGAAAATAGCTGTTCGAAAACTTGGCACTTGTAATTTTCTGAAAAAGCGGTTGTTTCTTTAATCTCCCCTTTCTTCGAGCTAAACATATGAACCATAGAATCCAGTTTGCATTTGAAATCATTGTAAGCCACCAAGAAAGCAAGAGTTCGAGGTTAGAAACAAACAATCTAGAACATCTAAACAAGTGCCTACGCGAGACTGCCTACGCAGCCTCTCCTACGTTATCCTACGTATATGCCTACGCGAAACCTACGCACCAAGCAGAATAGCCTACGCATGAATGATGTGAGTTCCTCCTCAATCTAAATTCCATCATCTGGAAAAAAAACGTGGCTCATATGGCTCGGGAAATAAACATCCATTAACCAGCTATGTTTCAGATGTTTCAGCTATATATTCACATCAATATTATTAAATTGAATGGTAATATGGTTCATATTGAATATATAGCTGAAATAATTAATATTGAAATATATTGAATTCAAGATGAAATTCAAGTACCATCCGGATCCCAGCGTTTTGACTCAGCCATGTGGGAATTGTAACCACCACAGTGTATTCTGTGGCAGACTCCCGCTTCTTAGTACATGATGACCTGTGAATCCATAGAAATCCATAGAAATCCTACAACTTCTGTTTCCTTTTTGAAGTGCATTGAGTTCATTTCCGGAAAAAAAAAACGTCGGCAGTCCTGCATCAGTTCCATGCGTGCCTGACGCACTTCCGCCTGGCTGGACAGACTGTGGATGGACAAGCCATCCTGCAGGCAGAGTACCCTCTGGTAAACATACAAAAAACTATGGAAAAATCACCATTTTTAATGGGTAAATCAACGACTGTTCGATCGCAAACGGTTCAATTGCCAGGGTCACCATTGGGATTCCTACAAAAAACACTTTAAATCATGGGAGTTTTGAGGGGATTTTGCCCATCGACCAACTGGTGTTCGGATTTACCACGGGATCAGAGACACCCACAGGGGAATCTTCACCCACTGCGATCCAAAATGAGTGCAGGACTTATAATATGGTCATTGCCAAAAGAACTTGAATAGAGAGCAGATATCATAGTTGTCCTCGGAAAAGAGTTGCATCGTTGGCTTATAATGGCTTATAATGGCTTATAATGGCTTATAATGGCTTATAATGGCTTATAATGGCTTATAATGGCTTATAATGGCTTATAATGGCTTATAATGGTATATAATGGCTTATAATGGCTTATAATGGCTTATAATGGCTTATAATGGTATATAATGGCTTATGTGTGCCTTAAAGCTTTAAACCTTCGCAAAATCAGCACTGGATATCTGCCGAACACAGGGATGGTAAAACCATGTAAAACCAACTCATCCGAACAAGCTGGGCCGCTGGGCCAGTTGGGTCAATCATCCCATGTTAGGGATGATCATTGATGATCATCTTCTCCGGATCTGCCAACATTTTGTTGGCGACTTCCATTGGAATTCAGGAAACGGCTTGCTTTGCGCCGGCGCTCAGTCTGGCCTGGGAGTTCACCAGAACAAGCACTGTGGTCCCTGGGGTCCCTTGCAAACATAAAGTGCACAAACATGTCAACAAAAACATCAAGATATGCTAACTCCTTGTAGGCTGATGACAATACAATCACAATCGGATTGGATTATCATAGAGCAGTATATAGTATACGCAAAGTTCATATTAGTGTCACAGTATTCAGCGCTTGTCATCTGTGAATGGGATGGATGTACCATGATGTACCATTCGGCGAGGAATAGCGAGGGATGCTACGAGTAATCTGTCTAGCTCACCATGTCCTCAGAGCGACCCGCAGGGGTCCGTTCAAAGCACTTCATCAACCTGTCCAAACTCACTGTATGTTTGAAACATTCACTGGGCACCCATGCTGTGTCTTGTTCGATTCTCTAATGTCATCACATATCACAAACCTTTATACAGTACATCTTATATTACATTGTACACATACGTCGACGTATAAGTTACAATACGAGACGCGTCCACCAAGCAGTTCCCCAGAACTGCTAAGCTCAAAATGGGTTTGTCTGAAAATGTTGGGTTAATCTTCCCAATGAAATAGCCATTTAAAAACGGGATTGTCTGATCAGCAAAACCATTGGGTTTAGGGGTTTTCACAACATTTTCAGACAATTTCCAATGGTTAATACTATATTACTATGGTTATAATGGTTCAATATTATGGTTAATTACCAATGGTTAATGATGGTTATATTACTATGGTTAATACCCATTGGGTTTAGGGGTACACTATTTTCAGACACACCCAAATGGGATATCTGGGCATCCAGCCGCGCATCCAGAATGTTCCAGCCGCGCTGTCAAAGCACCAAGGCCTTGGTGTCCTTTCCGATGGTCACCTCGGTCGATCATATGGCAACAGTCGGACGGTCGGACAGTCAACCAAGTCAACCATACGGTTTTTGTTGGGGGGTAGCATGGGGTAGCTGATTTTGAGACATACCCATGATATGATCATAGAACATCATCAGTACATAATCATACATATAATCTATATTCAGACATGGAGGATATACATGGATATACATAAACAAAAATATTCAGACATGGAGGATATACCATCATATACCCAGTATCCTCCAACTAAAATCCGTCACTTGACAAAGGATGTTCGCAACATTAGCAGCACCAGAGCTTCGGGGATCTTGGACCTGTCGGCGAAAAAATGACTGATTTGACCCAACCCCCCAACAGGACCGCTGTCCAAAAGCAAAAGCGGATCTGGTTAGCGGATATTGGCGGTACAAAGTACAGACCAATCTGAAGAGTGTTGATTACATACTTGAATTTGTCAGAAGATTAAAGGTAAACACCAAGGACTGCTACCGTGGAATCACTAAGGCTGATGTTTTGGCTACCACAACGAGCCAGAGATGTCGCCAGTCATGGCCAGTGCTCGCCCCAATGCTTGTACTGCTTGGTGAAATGAAAACTCGATGATCTACGATCTACAGTGACAAACTACTATAGACATGACATAGTGGTGCAACTAGATTTGACATGGTACGATGATGTACGATTATATTTGAGTCCAATAAATCAAAGATGCATCAGCTTTGAGCTTCCCAAAAGAATATTGAGCCAACCATACAGGATGGTGCCCCCCAGTTATAAGTTGGTTTATAAACCCCATTAACTAGTTCGTTATATCTGCCATAAACCATAGTTACTGGAGTTAGTTGCACCAGCTTAGCTAACGAACTGGGGCACCACCTTGTATTGTACTATAGTAATCCAACCCAACAATTCCCTTCAGTTGAGACCCACAAAACCCATCGGGTCACTGCTGTTTTGGAATGTTTGGGCTCCAAAGCCTCCTCCAGAAGAAACCTGGGGCAAGGCATGGAAGCTACCCAGAAGGTGAAGCGCTTCCACTCTGCCATGCGTTATTGATGGTCAATGATAATTAATGATAATTAATGATAATTAATGATAATTAATGAGAATTAATGATAATTAATGAGAATTAATGATAATTAATGACAATTAATGATAATTAATGATAATTAATGATAATTAATGATAATTAATGATAATTAATGATGGTTAATGATGGTTATTGATGGCCATGCGATTTTTAACCGGTACTCTGCTATTCACAATCTGGAAACCCAGGGCCTGGAAACCCAGAATAGAAAGATCGATGCGATGTTCTCCGAGACACCCTGCAGTTGGAGTATGTTCTCCTTTTTCTCTATTTTTCTTCCGTGTTTTTCCTGGGTTTCAACAGGTTTCAACAGGTTGAAAAACGTATTTCAACCATTTCAACCGGACCACAAACGCCGCAGCCATCATAGCCAAAAATGCCGCTTATGCCCAGCAACAACGCCACATCCTCCTTGGCCACAGTGATCTCCAAGGCTCCTTGGCCTCTGCCCGTGAGCAGCGCATAGGACCCGCGTTGAGGCTCCGCAGGATCGATGCCCATGGGTCTCACCAGCAGAAAGTCCAGGTCGGTATTGCGCACCACGGCCTCATGGCATGGCTGGTTTCAACGCTTGGAATATCATTGGGATATTCATTGTCAAGGGAAATCACTATTAGTAGGTATTCGGGCTTCAAAAGAACACAGAAAACAATTATATAAACAATTCTTGGGACCATCACAGGATATGGATGGATATGGAACATGAAAAAACACTGGAACAAAAAACAAGCCAATGTTGATGTATGTCACAGCTATGTGCAAAATTTACATCCCATTACCAGCACCCCTGGACTCACCCAACTGAACCCCTGCCCTTATGGCACCTCCATTTCTTGAAGGTCACGGCGGGTGCTGGGCCAAACCACCCGGAGGAGAAATCCCCAAAAGTACCTCAGTTGCGAAAGGATTTTTCGCAGGACCTGGCAGGATGTCGAACAAAGTCATTGGATTCACTCGAATTTCCGGCGGCAATTTTGAATATGCATGAATATCCATTCAAAACATGGGTACTTCTTAAATTCACAAAAATAGACATAACTACTGGGATATACTGGGATATTTGGTTTGTCTGATTCATGAATATGCAGAAGCTGGAAACTCTGTGCAGAACAGTAGCTAGGCCTGCTAGGCCTTAATATATCATAATATATCTATATTTGACAGATAATCCCACTTATACCCGACTTCATCTGGACAGATCTGGACAGGGACCCAAATCTTCAGGCTCCAACCTCCTACTGCACACATGGTGGGTCACCCCTCGGCCAAGTTGCTTGATGCAGCTGCCAGGCAAGTAGTCGTCGCCAATGCCCATGGAAGATAGCCTTCCGGAGGAGGCCCTCTTAGAGGTGGACAGTAGGTGGATAATGACCTATGCATGACCTATATGCAAGTGGGAAACGCTGGTAGTACTTCATAGTATTTCAGAACCACAGCTGGATTGTAAGCAGTAATCATGGCTATGAACTATGTCCATGTATGTAGCTATTGGCTATTGGGTATGAATCAAACCAAACAGTGAACCGGGTTTTCACATCAACTTCTGCATCCCATCATGGTGCCAAGCAACACCACCAAGCGTTTCACTTCCGCAGTTTTCATGGCTGCCACCACCTGGGGGGCAAAAGCCACAAAGGTGCTGACCGCTGCGGAAAGAAACCCTCAGATTTGGATGGAACCATCAGATTTGTGTTCGAACTGATCAATCTGGAATAAACCAACCTATGATCATATATGAATCATTATACCCACAGACGCCGTGTGTCTGGATTCTGGATGACAAATATTGAAATTTTCACAAGACACCTGTTGGGGTTCAACAGGGCCCGGGGATATCCGGGGATACTGCGTTTCATTAGTTGCGTAAATGCCGCCTGGTGGCCAAATCCCTGTCAAGAGCGCTCCCCTCTTTACGTTTTTCTAGTTCCTATTTTCATTGACCAACTTCGCAATTCTCATTGGTTTTCCAACTCATGAGCGCATGAAAAAAACGCTGAAAGTCTAACAACTTCGGATATTTTACCCTTTAGCCTACAACCAAAGATGGCTGGCTGACTTTCCATTGCCAGGTTCTTTTTTACCAGAGGGTAGGGAATCCATGATCCCATCCCTTTGAACCCCAGACCGTCAGACCCCAAAATGATTGCAGCAGACGACCCAATACTAAATCAATATTTCTTGCTGGGGCATAGTCTTTAAATTGCATCAAATTGCAACTTTTCTGACTTCACAAACCCAGATTTGCTATATTTAATTAATTAATGTTTCTTTGTGTTTCTTGTGGCATGTGGTTTCAAATCATGTTAAAAATCACGTCGTGATTTTTGCGATGCTTAGTCAATCCGCATTGAAATGGTTGAAATCTCCAGGTTTGAGAACATCAACCCTTCCACCAATGGCCATGACTCAGGAACCGATTCATTGGAGGTACCTACCACAAAAAAAGGCCTATTTTTCAGGGCTAAATTTATCCCCACAAAATATGGCCTTATATTATATGGTACTAACGTACCTCCATTTTAGGATCCTGAAGATCTCCCATTGACAAGTCTTCCCCTCTGCCAGGGCCCCAGAGGCCCCCGAGGCGCCTTCCGGGCTCCGATGCCACAGGTGCGTGCGATGCCACTCTGACGGCTGCCTGGGCAGGCGATGACGCTGTCGCAGCCCTGGAAGGTCTGGGCCAACTGCGCCTGGTGCGTCATCATCCACGTCATCGTCGTCATCGTCATCGTCATCGTCATCGTCATCGTCGTGGTGATGATGATGATGATGATGATGAGGATGATGAGGATGATGAGGATGATGATGATGATGATGATGATGATGATGATGAACTTGAGAATTACATTCATGGGTTTGGCGAATGTGACCATTGACATTGAATGAAATTGACGCACATGTTGAGAATGACTATGAGGACTATGACAACGACTATGACTATGACCTCAGCATCGTCACTGTTGATGTTCAGCTTCAGAATCTCCACCTGGAGCCCATCAGTGTGCAGCTGGGCAATGCTGGGCATGTCCAATAAGTCATACACAGAATAAACCGAACCAGCATAGTTTGCCAAAATTAACCATCAACATCCATGAACTAATGGATTTAGGATTATGGAACTGCGCCCACAAACGATGGGAAACTGATCAACCCAATCATTGCCTTTATTAGTCCAGTCCCAAGATTACTGTATCAGTCAACCTTATTGATTCACCCTTCCGGTATCTCCAGAAAATAAAAGTCTTTCAAGCACACAACAACCGCACACAACCGGCCCGGCCAGTTGTGGATGGTTGAAAGAAAACAACCGTCCTTGCACTTGGGTTTCCTATGCTCGGCAATTCGCCGCTCTGGATTGAAGTGATTTTGTGCCACACAATCACAATGAACAAAACCGGCAATGTTAGGAAATTTGCCTGTAATTCCCGAAGCATGTGTGCCTATTTTGGACATATCCCCATTTTGCTTGGTCTTTCCTTTCTAAATAATCCTCACCCCGACATGGGCATGTCCAAAAAGTTAGCCCCACTAGTGATCCACAGTTGGTGATCTCTTTTTGCAATCGAAATCAACCAGTTTCGGGGTCCCGAATCTTCAAAACCTGTTCAAGAATAAATGCAGAAACGCTGAAAAACAACTACGTACACCCACTGGATATATTGAATCACAAATTTGGGGTGGTTTCGAGACCAGTTTTTCCTGGTGAAATCCCCTTGAAATGCTTCATGAGTTGAGTCCTCCAAGTCGACAGCCCCATTATTTGCTGGTTAAATCCTCCAAGAATTTTATCAAATATACCCAGTGTCACTGGTTGTAGATCACTAGACCATACTAGACCTACATACACATATTTTATCATATTGTATCATTTTATATCGTATACTAATACACATATGAATATACATATCGTATATGTACTGTTGTCATATACCTACCCTTTGCTCTTGTTGCATAAACTATATCCCAAAAATCCCAAAAACAAGATTCAACACCAATTAGATTCTCACTGTGGAACAGAAATGGAAAGCCACCCAACAAGTGTTGGAAAGGGAGAATAGACAGGGGAGATATATACTGTTGCTGAATGTGTTAAATTTCGCAATTACTTACCTTAAGGATGCAATAAGTTGTTTTTACCTACTTTTCAACGTTGGAATTTAAGAAGTTGTTGGGACATATGGGGGCGTGGGTATCAACAACTTATTTGATTCTTCAACGAAGACAATGTTCCTTGAAGAAACACAAAACTCGCATACGTCGTTGCAAGATGATGGACGGCCCAAAAATGCAACGCGCACAATTGTAAGAACCAAAAATGAAGACTGATACTGATACGTTTTACCCGAACCCAGAATGGACCCGACACCAGAAACATTTTTTGGGCACTGCATGTCAAAAAATTGGGTTTTGCTGTGATGCAGCCAAGGCTGTCAAATAGAATTTAAACGTGTACAATGAGTGACTAGCCAAAATTCAAAAGATTAATTACTTGAAGACGAAATCGGCTCACAATCCGATCACTCCTGCAATGCATGTGCGTGTTGTCAGATCCCAGTGACGTTTCCAAAGAGGCCGACTGCAAAACAAACAAAAAACCTGAGCTAAAGGCTGGGACTTCACTACAACCCATAAAAAACATGTTTTTTTCACAAGTCAGAAGTTCGTCAAGCTCGTCTGAGGTTCATCAAGTTCGTCAGAAGTTCGTCAGAAGTTCGTCAGAAGTTCGTCAAGTTCGTCAGAAGTTCGTCAGATTCGTCAGAAGTTCGTCAAGTTCGTCAGAAGTTCGTCAAGTTCGTCAGATCTCATTTTTTAACAACAAAATATATAAGTTGTTTGGCCACCCAAAAATCAAAAAACAAAAGATGTTTTGCCCACCAAAATCAAGAAAATAAGTTGTCCTGACTCCCAATTAGGACCCCCACCCAGGCCTCCGACGAATTTGACGAACTTCTGACGAACTTGACGAACTTTTGACGAACTTCGAACTTGACGAACTTCTGACGAACTTCTGACGAACTTCTGACGAACTTCTGACGAACTTGACGAACTTCTGAGATCTCAAGAGGAACTTGGTGATTTAAGAAACTTCAGAAGACTTCTTCATAAATAGAATTGAATACTCATCTGCCAAAATGTTCAAACTACTGGTGGTATGCTGTGAAAGAAAGCTGCTAATTTTGCGAAAGTTTCCGAAGAGTGGCATATAAGATTATATAAGTAGATATTTCGGGCAAGAAACTGGCAAAGATTTGGGAATCATTTATACACTCTTCTGACCATGCATCTGCACAGTGAAAAAAATAACAGGCTTCACTTCAACGTCACTCCCCCAACAGAAAAAATAAGCAGTCACGTACTCCACACTCCGAGACAGCAGACCACATAAAGCCCAAACGAAAAATACTCCAGGATGCTCCAGCTGCAGTAACCTTGTCAGGAAACAATTTTTCTGGCCTTCTAATTGGTGTTATGTCTTTCCTGCGCCATAAGGCCTCAATAAATCTCAATAAGTTGTTTACCAGTTTCCAATGCCCTATTTTCATTGCACCTGGATGCATAGAATGTGTCGACAACTTATTTTGATTTTCAAGCTTCGAGCAAGCCCACCCACCCTATTTGCGAAATTTAATAGCTGAATGTTGTTAATTTGGAGATACAATGACATTAAATGTATGTACAGCATGTATAATAAATGGAATAATGATTATATAATTATATAAATATCTAATTTATATTATATAATATTATATATATAATTATAATGTTCCGTTGTTTATCCCAGTAACCTATTGCTTGTTGGTTAAATTCCATAACATCAATCAGTTAAACCCCATGAAGTCAAAAAGAACACCGTTTTTTGGCTGGTTAAATCCCACAAACGAAACACCACTGTTTGCTGGTTAAACCCATTAAATCCTTAATTTTAATGGTTGAACCGTTGAACCCCCCAAAAAGAAAGCTGTTTGCTGCTTTTGTACAGCCAGGGCACATCTTTCAAGATCTCCTGCACCTTCTCCAAGCGTTCCGCCGGCTTCACTTCCGTGGCATCGATGCCGCTGTCCTGGCCGTCCTGCAAATGATTGAACCGTTGCCATGGTGGATGACCGCAGGGGGCCGGAGGGGAACCATCGACCAATTTCTTCACAATAAGAATGTATGATTAAAACAAAATACTGAAAAATGATGATAATGATGAGGAGGATGAGGATGAAAATGAGGATGATTAAAATCATCATCATAATGTTTTCATGACTACAATATAATAACAATTAAATCATTGTAATATATTATAATTATATTATGATAACAGGTGGTTCAGTATGGATGATAAACCCTGGAAAAAAAAAAACGTAGAGTTGATGAATCCGGCGGTCACGTTGTTTGAGCATGTTTGAGTTAGAGTGGATCAGCATATGTTCAAAAGGTGCAAGTCAGCTGAAACTGTGAAAATGTTGGGAGAGTCTATTCTTCTTGGTTTTTCTAAGGATGCTAAGTACCAGCCAACCATCTGATCATCCAATCATATATCCTGGTAGGAGTCAAAACCCTGGTAACCTTGTGTTCACACCAACATGGCTCCCCATAGGTATTGATCCATTTCAATTCAGTTGAGGCTTGCATCACCATGTGTTTCTTTTCTTTTTGGCGTATCCATTCTGAATCCTCTCTATATCCCCCATTGTGATCATTGAATCCCACTGTTCAATAGTTATATAAAATTATATAAATAATGTTAGCTCCAGCATTTTTGTGAGCGAAATCCATCATCTTCAGCGATATTTTCCCCATCTCTCCATTCGCACCTCAGACACCGCCACAGCACGAAATCTCAGCTGCTCAGAGCCTTTGGCAGCTGCATGCATCGCAGCGAACTTGCCCACATCTCCCAAGCCGCCCTGACGTGGCTTGTCCAGAGCGGCTTGATTTCACGGGAAGAATGAAATCCATTCAACGGCTCCATGAATAAAACAGATTGAAGTGAATGCCTTCTTCCAACTCTTCGATCTGATTCAGTGGATTCCAAATTGAAACGATGTAAACTATGATTACCTATGATTAGTATATGCAGTGCATCTTTCATCTGCCATTTAATCATCAACCTCAACATACTTCATCCATTTTCACGAAAAAACATCCAGGTGTTCCCGCCTTGGAAGCCCAAACGATGGCCACCAGCTTCGACGCCTTTGCCACGCTCATCGCCGTGACGCCGTTGCGCCACTACGCGCGTTGCGGTGGGCTTGAGCTGAGACCGGCCATGGCAGCTGGTTGTATCAAATGGTAAAATTGGAGGGAAAACTCAGGGATTTTAATGTAAATTGAAACAACAAAGTGTAATATGTTGAGATGCTTATCTTGTGGATTCTTTTGGGGGATTACTGTACGGTATTACCAAAATATTTGTCAGTTGTCATTTGAACTTCGCACAGCTGGATGTCAAACAAAGGAATGACCGCCAATACGACCCCTGGAAACTGTCGACTTTGGTTGGATCCCTCATCTAAAGCTGAATTATCCCCCATGGTAGGAATGGGGGTACATGTTTTTGTATCATATCCAAATCAATTGCATCCGATTCTTCATTCAAAAGGAATTGGTATAGGTGATGAACCGACCAACCTGCGAAACATGCTGTTGTTAGTTTGTAATCTAAACTGCGGACACTACAGTATGTTACACGTTTTTTGTCACAATTGAACCATAGATTCTCTTTTCTCTAGAAAAAGTCGTTTGGGGCAACCCCACAAGGATTCAGAACAGCTGAATGTTATGTTCGTGTGTTTTTCTTTTTTTGGGATGGCTTTATGTACCGGCTATCCCAGAGCAGGTCTTCAGCGCACCTCCAGATTCCTCTTTCCCCAGGTTGAGAAGGCATCGGCCCTGGGCCACCAAAAATGGCGCTAGGACATCCCCAAGAATTCAACGGAAGGATCGGGAAGGATCCAAGGTTTTTTTTTCGAACTGACGTCAAGGGGAACAGTCACCACTATGGGGATGGGTCAAAACCCATGATTACCATATTTTTTTTGGAATCAACATCCATTATAATCCAGTATTTTAGGGTACCTGAGGTACCATGCTTTTGACCCATAACCATATGTCTTAAGATGATTACTTCAAGATAGTTTCCCTTTCCATCGGAATGTTCAGCCTGGATGAGCTTGCGGAGCTCGCAAATGAATTGCTGGCAGGAAAGGCCTCCAAAGGTGTTTGAGATGGTAAATTCAAATCCTGAAAGAATCATCCAAATTGGGTGCTTGCTCTTGTGAAACTCAAATGTCTCTCGCAAAATATGATGTATATTATAGACATAGATGTAACTGTAATATCATCTAATATTCTGAGATAATATGAGATCAGATAGTGATATCATGATATGAATGTATGCAAATATATCATCTGGTTCTCCTTGTTCTCTTTTTGATACCCAGAAGAACTGCTTGCCACTGGGGTCAGTCATCCCAGGCATAGATGGAGTAAGAATGGAATTTGGGGACCAACCACATGACCAAACACAACGGGCCGATGGAGATGTCTTAATAAAGTAGTCTACACATTTCTACACCATATCACCTGCACCTGGTGATCTGATTGCGAAAACACCTCAAATACCAACACAAATTTGATCAAACATGATCAAAGTTGACATGCAAGCATATTCCGACATTCTTGGCAGCCCTTGGCAAGCAGATCAGAACCAAATTTTCAGGATGTTTCCATATTCCTCAAAGTAAAAGAGCACCAGCTTGTCGCCAGCGCCTTTTCACTACCAATCTCAGCTGCGATTTCGAAGTTCGTCTCCTGTGCAGCAGCCGTTTTTTGCTCTTGGAGACCACAAAACGACAGCGATGCACCAGCGCTGACTTCATCATATGTCTGGGTCATATAGGGCACAAAAATCCCGTTCGGTACTGAGAAAATCACAGAAATGTCTGTTTTGCCCACAGATCCACTGATGCACCCTGCAAAAAACCCTGGCCCCCTGTGGATCCCCTGGCGGTGTCTCCTCCATCCGAACGTAACGCTGTTTCTGGCAGGACGAAAAAACACGGAGATTACCCGAACGACCATCATAGCACTGGGTTTCCCATCAACTTTCCCAGCGTTTTTTTGGGGATCATTGTCCAAACGGAAAACCATGGCTTTTTCCACATCTACAATGTGCCCCCCCCAGTTATAAGTTGGTTTAGATTCGCCCCAGTAACTATAGTTATAAGTACCATAAACCATAGTTATTGGAGTTATAAACCAACTGAACGCTATCTTGGGGGGCCTCACATTGTACGTTAGGAAAAACCCCAGGTCTTTGGCTGGCCCAACGACGCAATGCTAAACACGGGAAACAAAAAATCAGAGACGAAGGCTGGAGAGGAAGTCTTCTTCTTAAAAATAGACTGCAGACGTGTGCATTTTTGTTGCTCCATATGACAGCGAAAGGTAAGCAAACAACACATGTATCAAATCTATTTCTAAATTGTACCATCTCTATCATATATATATATATACATACATATATGCAAATGTGTATTGTATTGTACTGCATTGTATTGCATTGCGCTGTCTGTATTGTGTTCTATCATTATTATTATTTTGTATCAAGTTAGATTAGATTATTCCTTTTTTATAGTATCGCATGACATTTACTTTTTTTGGTTTTCCATATGATATTTCATTACCTATTATTTTCTTACATTATATGTTATATAATATGTCATATATATATATATATCATTCATCATTGCATATCATATTATATGGTGTTTTAGTTCATGATGCTCCATTAAATATTGAAGTCTGTTGTGGTTCATTGTATGATACGAGTACTACATATTGACATATTGCATTGTTTTATATTGTTCATCTAAATGTATTTCATCATGTCATATCAAAAATCATTGTTTATCGTATGACTTTATGCTACGTACAATATTACACCTGTATGTATCATATCATACTATATTCCAGTATATTATACTATATTGTCTTATATTATATCAAAGTATGATGTACTATATTATATGACTTTCTATTAATGTTGATATCAATTATTCTCTATTATATTCTATTCATATTACATTACAATATCAGTATTGCTGTTGATATTGATATCAATATGCATGTTTACATTGATATATAGTATATCTGCTTACATTAGTTCAGTATTATTAAAAGATATCAAAAGTATCAACACCTAACGTTGATATCGAAATATCTATTTATATTATATTTATTATATTAACACATATCCTGTTCCTTCCCAGCTCGAAAGTTGGCATTCCAGCCTCAACAGCCATCCGGGTGCAAAAAGTCTCTGCAAAATGCGGCCTTTTTTTTTCTGTGCATCCCTAAGCCCTATGCCCAAGGGTTTCTGGCAACATCTGGCTGTCCAAAAAGAATTCACAGTGGAACAAATGTGGAACACATATGGAAAAACTTCAAACTTCAGAGGGGAAGTTAGATCTGAAAAAGACTGGGAAAGACCGCTGACACACACAGCTTTGAAACCAGACACACACACACACACACATTTGCTCAGAACTGTCTGGTATTCCGTCGCAGTCCGACATGTTGTGTTGGCTGCGGCTGATGTCATGAACGACCATTTTTGTGAACACTTCTGTGATGATCTGATCTGCAATTGGTGATTCAAGGCTTTGAACCGGAATGTCACAAGATGTCACAGAAAAAAAAAAAAACATATTGAATGAGCCGTCATCCAAGGTCAGGTTACATGGTTTGTCTTCCTACAAAAGGACATGGTCGTCAGTTCATTGGGGTTTTCATATGTTCATATGCCATCATATGCCCATGAATGGGAAATCCATAGGATTCTTGTTCATGATGGTGGATATTGATTCAAGTAGAGAACCCTTTGGACTGGATTCTTTGAGCAGTCTTCGAAACCCAAAATGTCGTTCCAGTATACAGTACACTGGTTATATGATAGGGATTCACATAGTTGTGAGATGTTGTAATGATAATCCCCAATTAAATACAGAGATATTTTGTATAGAGGATATTCAAAAATATCAACACATATAAACACAGTACCTATAGACCTCGAAATAAGAATCTGCCCACAGGGGTTTTGTACCCCTCTCATCCCATCTTCCCCCACATTGATCTGACATTCTGCTGTCTGTACACTGCAGTTCCTTCATGTTCCTTTGCGAAAAGGCTCCAGATCCAGCAAAAGAAACCCTGGCAAAGCAAAGCAAGCGGTCAGCAAAAGCTTGCCAAACATCATACTTATCGACCATCGTTGCATGATGTTCCAGAGAGCATCCTGCATTACAGCCAGAACATGCCAGAATTATTCCTCGAACATTATACTCACATACAACCTCCTGTGTGCAAGCATCTTCAGCCAGGAAATATGTTTTTGCAAGCTCTAGTTGAGTCGCATATCCAAAAGAACATGCACTCAGGCAAAGCTTGCCAAACATCCTTGCATGATGTTCTAGAATACATCCTGCAGTACAACCGGAACATGCCAGAATTATTCCTCGAACATTATACTCACATACAACCTCCTGTGTGCAAGCATCTTCAGCCAGGAAATATGTTTTTGCAAGCTTTAGTTGAGTCGCATATCCAAAAGAACATGCACTCAGGCAAAGCTTGCCAAACATCCTTGCATGATGTTCTAGAATGCATGCTGCATTACAACCAGAACATGCCAGAATTATTCCTCGAACATTATACTCACATACAACCTCCTGTGTGCAAGCATCTTCAGCCAGGAAACATGCTTTTGCAAGCTTTAGTTGAGTCGCATATCCAAAAGAACATGCACTCAGGCAAAGCTTGCCAAACATCCTTGCATGATGTTCCAGAATGCATCCTGCAGTACAGCCAGAACATGCCAGAATTATTCCTCGAATATTATACTCACATACAACCTCCTGTGTGCAAGCATCTTCAGCCAGGAAATATGTTTTTGCAAGCTCTAGTTGAGTCGCATATCCAAAAGAACATGCACTCAGGCAAAGCTTGCCAAACATCCTTGCATGATGTTCTAGAATGCATCCTGCAGTACAGCCAAAACATGCCAGAATTATTCCTCGAACATTATACTCACATACAACCTCCTGTGTGCAAGCATCTTCAGCCAGGAAATATGCTTTTGCAAGCTTTAGTTGAGTCGCATATCCAAAAGAACATGCACTCAGGCAAAGCTTGCCAAACAGCCTTGCATGATGTTCTAGAATGCATCCTGCATTACAACCGGAACATGCCAGAATTATTCCTCGAACATTATACTCACATACAACCTCCTGTGTGCAAGCATCTTCAGCCAGGAAACATGCTTTTGCAAGCTTTAGTTGAGTCGCATATCCAAAAGAACATACACTCAGGCAAAGCTTGCTAAACATCCTTGCATGATGTTCTAGAATGCATCCTGCAGTACAACCGGAACATGCCAGAATTATTCCTCGAACATTATACTCACATACAACCTTCTGTGTGCAAGCATCTTCAGCCAGGAAATATGTTTTTGCAAGCTTTAGTTGAGTCGCATATCCAAAAGAACATGCACTCAGGCAAAGCTTGCCAAACATCCTTGCATGATGTTCTAGAGCGCATCCTGCATTACAACCAGAACATGCCAGAATTATTCCTCGAACATTATACTCACATACAACCTCCTGTGTGCAAGCATCTTCAGCCAGGAGATATGTTTTTGCAAGCTCTAGTTGAGCAGCAACAGTACAACCAGATGCATCCACTGAGTCCTCTCTAACACCTTCATCCGAGAGTGCCATTGGGCCATGATCTGTCGTTGACAACAAGTGCTGTTGGTATGCCCGTCTCTTTGGTTCAGTGGTAGGAAAAGATCAAGAGATATCAAGTGTGTAGACCTGGGACCTCCAAAATTCAGCAAGTGCAGAGAAGGTTTGATTTGTTGTTAATATCCACTAGCAGTCACGCAACTCATGCCAGCATCATCGTGTGATGAGCAACATGTTCTGATACATCCCCCTATGTTTTGGAAAAACATGATACCGCTAGCAAACCAAATCATCGTCATGGGTTTCCAGCATAAGAACTAAAGTATATAATTTAGAACAATGGACAAGTTGCTTTGGTTATTACCCTCTGGTAAACTAACATAACTATGGAACATCACCATTTTCATTGGGTAAATCCACTATAAATGGTCATTTTCAAGTTCGCAAACTGTTAGCCATTACCAGGCCGGGTAGATGTTACGAAATTCCAGAAAAAATCCATGCTGCCTGACCAGAATCGACCGGGTTCTCGGACTTCAAGGTCTCACTTGCTTTTGTCTTCTGCTCTTGCAGTGCAGCTTTGCTTTCCTGAAAAACTCACCCATTTTGTGCAAGGCAAAAAACGCTCGTTTTTGTGCCAAAAAGGACAGTTTTTGCAAAGGCGAAAACTGAAATTCGACGCAATCATCAAGCTTCCCTTCCTTTGCGATCTAAGTTTTGCTTTGGAAAACCAAAGGATCGTGAAAAAATTGATTGAACTATGTTGAACTAAACATCTTCAAATAAAGAAATTCTAAAAAATCGGGCGCTAACTATTGTAAAGATCTTCAAATACAGTAAGAAATTCCAAAATATCTCCCATTTTTCCGGCACTTTTTTCGGCCTCGGCCAATTCTTTCTCTCGTTTCTTCGCCTCCTCAGCTGCCTGAAAAAAAAATGGACACGTCCAAGGCTCTCATTTGATCCCCACGAAAACCATAGATCTTTACCATTCTTTACCGACATATTCTCACATGCTAAAAATGTCATGAAGTATCAAAAGTTATTCTCTGATACTCTGATTGAAATGGCATTCTATATCTGACTTTTTTGGCTATAATCGGAGTTCTTTATGGCATACTGTCTGTTTTTCTATTTGACACTTATTTTGACACACTGTGGAAATAGATAAATAGATGTAAATAGTCCAACAAAAATGGTGATGCAACGGTCAATAGCTGTTAAATTTGTTAATAACCAACTTTAACGGTTCATCATAGCGTCTTCACAGCGTCTTCTCAAGGCCTTCTTTGCTGCTTCAAGAGCTTCAGCAGCCTCCTTTTTCTTCTGCTCAAGTTCCAGGAGCTGAGTGACAGGGCCACCCTCTGTCAAATCCCATGTGGCATTTCGTAAGAAACACACATGACATACCCAAGAAGACAACTTAGAATCCAAACATTGCCATTTCTAGCCACTGGGAAACAAATGGAAACAAGTCTTAATCCCTAGGCAATCCAATCATTCACATCAAGTTTAGTTCCATGACAAAGAGGATCGACAAAGAGGGAAACTGACTCCCATTCTCACCAGGTCGATCGGGGCCCGCGTTTTTGCATCCAAGACTATCAGAACCTTCAGGATTGAACATTTGCCAACTATTGGGGATATAATTGATATAAAATATTCATATATACAGTCAATTCATTATATATAGAAATATATAATCATAATATACATATATACATATACAGTAATCTCCAAAAGATACTTGAAAGTGATCACCGAACAATTCCACTCACTTCCTACCAACTGCTCCCGCTGGTGAAACCTTCTGATTGCCCTCCATGTGCAACTCGAGAACTTTCACCTCAGATATCTTTGAGCATGAAATGCTGGGCTGTGTGAAAACTCCTGGGTATTTTAGATCCTGACAACTTGTCGGAAATGTCAAATTTCATCGGGAGAAGCATCGTTTTTTTGTCCACCAAGCTGTGGAGAATCCCCTTCATGATGGATCGACAATACTGTGAATGGGCCAGCGAAATCCGAATCACCAGTTGATACCAGTTGAATAGATGGTTTATCCCATATCATCCCATTATTTATAGGGTTTCAGGTTCGGGATTTCGCAACCATGCACAGTAACCATCCCAACCATCCCGACCGTCGATTGGCGCCAGAAATTCGGAAGATTATAAGCCACATAAATATGCTAAATCAACCGTATACATAATATGTATACATAATATTACAACATGTTTCTACTTATAAACTACCATCTGGTTATTTAACATAGCCATGGAAAATCCCTTATAAATGGAGGTTTTAATGGGAAAATCATCTATAAATGGGCCATTTTCCATGGCTACGTTAAATAACCAGAGGGTAACAAATACAGGAGAGAAACCATAACTAGCAAATCAAAGGAAAGCGCAGCTCGATCAAGGCTTGGCCACATTTTTTTGTCACCTTGAGACCAGGCTAGGCCAAGCGTTGCAAGCGCAAGCGACGCGACGAGCACAGATGGACACAGCTTGTGAAAGTCGGAGAAAGTCAGAGTCCGAGCACGGAATAGCATGTAAGTACAGAGAGGAGGGCCAAGGTGACAGGAACATTAGAACAGGATAGCATAGGGTTGCAGCAAAATGTTCACTGGGAAACCTGCAGAATATCCATGAATTGATATGAATTCTGATGACAGCCAGATTCGTGGCTCAAACATCGCAACTCTATGAAGTTCTAATGTCACCCTATGTGAGAAATCATGCGGTCGCAAATGTCTATCGTTTCTCAAATTTGCTCAGGCATTGCGTCCGTTTGGGAGAACGCTCCACCGCGGGGCCATGATCGCATTCGTCCCTCAAAAAAACAGCTGTCAGTGGGTCTGATGGACGACGATTCACCATCCCGCTACAAATTTCGGTCACATTTCAAGTTGCTGAAGCTCCGATTTCCTGTGATTGTCCAACCGGTGTCGAACTTAACTGGTGCTCAGAATCCTGTTTGACAACTTACGTTCACAACCCTGAAATGATGTTTTTTCTGGGGATTTCCCTTAGCCAAAATCTGATGGTGATGTCGAGTGATGTTCAGCCCCAGATTTCAATTCAAGGCTGCGGATGCAAAATGTTGACGTCAAACGAAACAACCAATTTCTGGGAAAAAAGGACTCCATGAAAAGATTGAACCGTTTTTCATATACCAAGCTCCTATGTACATATAATATTGTACATGTATAATATTGTACATATATATATATATATATGATTGCGTAAATATATATATATATATGTATATGTATATATACATATATTTATATTTACATATTATATATATACATATATATACACATATATTTATATTTATATATTATATATATACATATATATATAGTTAAGTATCATGCAATAAAATCTACAATAGTTCTCATTCCAGTAAAAACATCTTGGAAACTATGTATATCTTCCCTGGCCCTCAGATCCTGTCTGTCAGTCCCCAAGACTCCTGCTGTCTTCTCAATCTCTCCACGGCCAGCAGCTGCCTCCGTCGTCGAAAGGACAGCCGTTGTCATGGTTTGAGATGTTGTTTCAAGTATGTTTTCGTGGGAAAAAACATGAAAAAATAACTAGAAATCAATGGATTGGTTTAAGGGAAAATCTACAGGAAACCATTGATTTTCCCATTAAACTTGAATAAATGGTGAGTTTTCATCTCCTCAGTGTCAAACAATGCCATTGCCAAAAGTTGCCAAACAGTGCTGTAGTTGGATTCACAATGTTTGGGGATTGTCAAGCGAGTAGTGCCGCAACCATCCATGACCTACTTCTTTGTTTCCTCTTGTTCAATCTGTGTCAGAATCAAAACGTTAGAGTTTCCGAGGTCAAAACCTTTGCAGCAATGTATGACTATGGATCAATACCTTTTAATACGCACAGACCCCATGGTTTGTCCGGACTGCAACATTGAGGATTCCCTGTCGTCGAACAGAAGAGAAATTGCAGAAAATACTGCGTATACGCAGTGTTTTCTGCTTTCGGATTCAGAGTTTTCAGGGTTTTCAGGGTTTTAGGGTTTAGGGTCCGTCGTCTGGTAAATACCAAAACACTGGCCCGACTGGCAGGTTTCTGAGAATGTCGAAGGATAATATTCGCCTTGTGAGTCTCCGAAGCGGCTGCAGCCCTGGCAGTTGTAGCTGCCTGGGCGCTAATATGCCAAAAGCCGGCTCTATGGTGTCTAGAACATGCAAACAGGATGAAATATGGTGTATATAATTATATATATATACATATTATACTAAATCACATTAAATGACATTGAATGACATTAAAGTACATTAAATAACATTAAATTATGTTAACTTACTTTAAATTACGTTAAGTTACGTTAAATTACGTCAAACTATGGAATTGTGTCTTATATCATTATATAATACTATTTCATTATATTGTAAAATATTATATTGAAGTTCATTTTCTTCAAATATGGCATTTGTATTCCAGGTACAAAAGCATTCAAATATGGATAGATGATACACATATATATATATGTATCACATAAATACATGAGCCAAACAGTGCGCGGGAGTTTGTTTGGCGTCACTTCTCCAACAATATTTTGCCTGTGCTCATCTTACCCCTACCTATAGAACCTATAGCAAACGTGAATGACCCACATCACACCGGCGCCCTGTAAGGAAGTTCCTGTGTCTTTCTTCATGCATGTGCGGCTTTTAGTAGCCACTGGTGTTAATTCTTCGGTTCAGCCATTGCTGTTCATTCTTCTGTGGATCCAACAATCCAAAAAACTGATAGATTGCGCCGTCGCGCGAGATACCAGACATGGCAGCATACCCGCAAACTCCAGACTCATGAACAGTTTCAATGAATACCCTCTGGTAAACTAACATAGCTATTGAAAATGGCCCAGTCGAAATAGTGGATTTACCCACTAAAAATGGTGGATCTTTCCATAGTTCTTTATATGTTTACCAGAGAGTATCTCAAGAACAAGTCCCTGTTTTCACGGCAAAAATCGTCCGTGTCATAGCCCCCCCAGCCGTTCTGCCAAGGGTTAATGGTTCATTAACCATTATTAAACCATTAATATTAATGGAGAATTAATGACCATTATCATTAACCATTAATATTAATGGTTCATGAAAATTGTTTATTAATAATAATGGTCAATGGTTAATGTTCTTTTATTAAGCAACAAGTCTTCTGTGGTTCCTAACATCCGCCCTCTGGACCCAGCCTTTAGCTTCTCTAAAGCAACGTCCTCGCGATGAACTGCTTCCTGTACCCTGGGAAGCGACACATGGACAGGATCTGAGGAGGAAAAAAAACTATGGCCCTGTGACACTTTGAAGATCCAAATTTTGGGCAGTTCTATGTACAATCTTGTACTTGTACAGCATCATCGCAAATATTATATATATATATGTATATCTATATATGTATATCTATATATGTATATCTATATATGTATATTTATATATGTATATATATATATGCATGTTTTGTATAGATATATATATATATACAATTGTTTAATTGGATGGTGACATGAAATTTTGTGACACATTTTTTCACATCATCTATGCACAGCTGGTAGCTTTGCTGATCCCCTGAAATGGCCACCTCTCAGCTGGTTAAGTGCATTGCAAAACTGCCTGGTTGGTTGTTTTATATGGTTAATATACTGTTAATATATGGTTATTATATGGTTATTATATGGTTAATGATGGTTAATAATAATATCTGGTTGGTGGTGCAATAACAATCTTGAAAAATGATGGAGTTCGTCAATGGGAAGGATGACATCCCATATATGATGGAAAATAAAAAAATGTTTGAAACCACCAACAGCTGCTTTTCTGCCTTGAAATTGACTTCTCAATGAACGGATTGTCATCAGTTTCTTCATTGTGAATCTACGTCCAATGCGCAAGCAGCTCCATTATATTTGCTTTTGGCAAGTGGCTGCCAGCGGGGTAGCCTCAAAATCAACTGGTTCATAATCCAGTCTCTCCTAACAGAGGCAACTTTGGAGTATAACTTGGTATAACCCATGACAAATTCCAGAGCGAGATTCCGAAAATTGGCCTGTGACATGGTTCTTTGTGGCGAGTTAATATCGGCAATAGCATTTTTCACCGCAGAATATATATGGTTTTGATCTGTGTAGATGTATTCAATTGTATTCATCAATGTGGCAAAGTATACATGTATGTATACATGTATGTATACTATTATACATGTATGTATACATGTATGTATACAATGATATAATATATATATATATAATATAATATATTATATATAATACATCATTACATTGTAATCATTTATAATCTATGTGATCTACATTCCCCACCTCTTTGAGGTCTCAGCAACGGACTCCCTGACCTGGTGATGGAAACCCCAGGGGATTTTTCAGGAGAAAATTAGATGACAATTAATGATAATTAATGTATATAGACATAGAATATTAACAGATCAAGGCATATGATTAATTCTTAGATATGTGATTTAGACGGATTTAGAATGATTCGGCTACTTTGATGTCAAGATTAGTGACTAGTCTTACGAAGTCAAAATATATCAAACATCGAAAAGATCAAAAGTGTCAGCAACTGCTCATCCAAGCTTACCAACAAAATGGAGCTCGCTGGAGACAGGTTTCATAAGACGTAAGGTACTTGGACACGCCAGATATACTGTCTTGGGATCTAATGGGAGACACAAACTATCACAAACTTCTCCAAGAGGGCCCTAGTGTGGCACGCTTTGTCCTGAAGCGAGAGTCCCAAAATATCACTACAACTGAAGTTCAGTGGGAAATCACATGACATCAGTTGTGGTGATAGATTCTCTGCCGGATGAGTGATTTCACTAGAACTGAAGTTCAGTGTCCCAAAGAAATTCTGGGATCGTTTTTTTTGTGTTTTCTCTGCCAGTCTGCCAGATGAGCGAAAGGTAACACATGTAACACATGTAACGCGGTTCCGGTGCCACCAAGCTCTCTGGCACCGGTGCCCCGTTTACTAAACTTCGGGGCTGTCTCAGCTGAGGCGCCTCCTCCTCTTGTTGATCCAGCAACTTCTCTGCACCTGTCATGGGGGAAGCATATGGGGGTTTCCGGAAATAGGGCTACCCCAATAGCTGGATGGTTTATAATGCAAAATCCTACTCAAAAGGATGATATGGGGGTACCCCTATTTCAGGAAAGCCCCATATGGAAGCATTGTGAACCTTCAACTTCGCAAGAATGTGTGATCATTCAGCAACCACACAAGGCAGCACAAGTCCCACTTCGCAGTACAGAACAAATTGTCATAGGGTAGACATTCAAAATGGCCTCTCTTCTTTTCTGTGATGACACTACTTCGATGCCAAGACAAAACAAAATGTACCGCCTCCTTGCAACTTGAAACAGGGTCCCATGACACAAGGAGGAACGTTAAAAATTGCCCTTTCACGTGTGAACATGTCTTTCTCAAGTCAACATACATAAGGTTGCTGCAAACAATTACACAGGCAAACAGCTACGGCCATACAAGACAGAGGTGCCACTGGTGCCACCAGTGCATTATAGTCCTTTTTAACATCACCAGAGTTGTTACATCCCTTTCTTAGTATCCAACTCTCCAACTCTCCTCACCAACGGAATCTTTTGGACGGCTGGATGCCGCTGGCAAACGGACTCTGATATGTTCTGATCACGGAATGTGTCACTTCTTGGCTTTTGGGGAGTTGCCATGAAACTCATAGAAGGCGCCGATCCTTAGTTCGCTCCGTTCCCGCGAACTAAGCTTTCAGAAATTCTCAAAAAAAAAACAATGGCCCTGCACTGCAGTACCCCAAAGTCTACATATTCAACCTGGACCCGATCTTTGTCATTTCAAATGTATTCATCATGAATTTCATCAATCTAAGTCTTGCCCCTGTACCCATCTGTACCCATCTGTACCCATTTGTACCCATCTGTACCCATCTGTACCCATCTGTACCCATCTGTACCCATCTGTACCCATCTGTACCCATCTGTACCCATCTGTACCCATCTGTACCCATCTGTACCCATCTGCCATGCACATCATTGGTATCCGAAGATTGTTGCTATTCAAATAACTCAGCTGAACATATCAATGGATTGGCTTGGAAAATCTGCAGGAAACCGGAAACCATAGATTTTCCCATGAACTATGGGGGAGTCCTGAGTTTCATGTAATTTGGCCCAACAAAAAACAATCCATCTGACCCAAATTGCAACAAGTCACAAACCTGGGACCTAGGCCCATTTTGGGATAGTTAGCACTACTACCCTCTGGTAATTCAACATAGCTATTTTTCAAATGGCCCAGTCGAAATGCTGTAGATGGTTTACCTATGAAAATAGCATGGTGATTTTCCATGGCAAACTGTTCGTCATAACCGTTAATAGTGAGTTTTCCCATTAATAGCATGGTGATGTTCCATAGTTTTTTGTAAGTTTACCAGAGGGTAACCATCATTGGCTTCGAGAGTGGTGATCCATTTTTCATCCCATCCCAAGCAACGATGGGTTTGTCTTCGCCAGCTCCTCTTTGCCGGGCGCATAGAACACCTGGCTCTACTTGCACGGTGGTTTTCACCCAAAGCCCAAAAGCTCTGCAATCAGCATCGGAAAAAACATATAGAATGGTTTAGTATTGTCTAGTACCCATAGGATCCATGGTGCTGCTATATATGGCAACATTTACCATCACCCCAAATGTTAGCATACATACCATACATGGATCCTATGGGGTATAGTTTTGTATGTTTGAGTATTGAATCAATTGATTTTGGGATCCCTGAATTTTGGGTGGATGGGATTACTTAAAGAGAAGGAACACCGGAGAAAGAGCCGCTGGTTGAAGCCAAGCTTCTCAGGACAAGACCAACTGAGTGATGAAAGTCATATACTATTGTGCCAAAATGTCGGAAAAAGGAACAAACCGGTTTCATCAGACATCAAGTTTCATCAGACATCAAGTTTAACAAGAAGGAATCTGCTCACAATCACTAAAACAATCACAAAAACTATCTGTCGATGGTAAAGACAAATCCCGCAACACTATTTGACTCAGTCGGAACCCCTGAGACGTTTCGCAGTTTCACTCGAACACACCACCCCTGTCTGGAGTATCCACCAGCTGCCTGCGGGGGATTGTGCTTCAAGATATACTTTGAACGCAGACCTGGGCGGATCGAAATTCTGAGATCCCAGGCCATGATGCCGTTTTCGGACGAAGTTCCACCACTAAAGTACATGAAGATACATAAAGTACATGGCCATGAATAGATAACAGTCAGATAACCCCTAAAGTTACTCGAAAGATATATGGAAATATGGGGATACAATGGGATACAACTTGTGAAAGTTGCCACAGTACAATTGTACGATAATGACAAAATGGTACCTGTAAGACCCCCAGGTGCTTCTTAATAGGTTTGTGCCTACTGGATATAATATGATAAAATAAAGATTTGGAAGAATCAAAAACATAAGAGCAGTTCCAAAAATCATAGTTGCATATAGTTCCATCATTCAGAATATTTTCCACTGTCTTGTTTGGTTTTGGAGAAACATTGGACACCCTCTGGATTTTTTTGGGGGGATCCATCCAATCCCACGCACCACGTGGCGCAGCTTCCATCCGCTGAGGTCGTGGCAATGGATGGGATTCATGGACAAATATGTTGCGGGGTTTGTCTTCGCAGCTTCCGCAAAAGAGATCGAGGTGTGTCCCTCATCCTCGGCAAAAAGGTCAAACATGGTCAAACATGGTCAGGTAACCGAAAAATAGAGGTTTTCTATGGTTTTCTGATGTTTTGTGGTTTTTTAGTCATCTTGAGGATGATGGGCTCATCACAAGTTGAAGTGCTAAGTTTCACTGGGGACACAGGTGACAAAACCCGCTTCCTTTCAACCATCCCAGCAACAGCTGCCGCAACCCAGCACAAGAGTCGGCATCGCCCAAGGGTTTGACAACGAATTCCAGCACCGACAAATGCAGAATGAAGTGCAAAACCATCGCTCCACCTTAGATCCAGATATCAACTAGGACATGCATTCCACTTAGTGAGCAAATGTAAGCAGTTTATAATCCACAAAACTGGGGAATCCTGTGGATATTCCATGCATACATGTGTATGTGATTTACATGGAGGTTTCCTAAAATGGGGGTACCTCCAAATCATCCATTTTAAATCATTTTAATAGGATTTTCCATTAGAAACCATCCAGCTATTGGCATTTTGGGGATCCTCCATTTGTGGAAACCTCCATATGTATGTATATATGAAGCTATGGGGCATGATATTGCTATATAAGTGGGATGCACAACACTAATTCTTAGGGCTCTTGCTGGTGCGCCGTGCAACCGCTACGACTTGACCAGCAATTTTGCTGCCCAAAATACAGCAATCATCGCAACTGTAAAAGTGGTGTTCACCTTAAAATACCTGGAATTGATGGATTTCGACTCCCAAGTTTATACAACAGTAAAATACAATACAATGCAGTAGAATACAATATAATAATATGGTTCATTTTCTTATATTACAACATGGTTTTATTATATCAAATAAACAACAAGCTGTACCATAATATGAAATGTGTGATTGTTCTGTGTTATGATTGAATATGCCCTGGCGCTTTGACTTGAGTATGAAAACATGCTTCAGGTGATATCACATGCCACATGATATCACACGCTAATCCAGGAAAGTGGTATCGAAAATATGTTTAAAACGACATTACATGGTAAAACAAATAGTACATAATGTTACACCTTACATGATACTGTCTTGCATTGAATCACATACAATCTGGTAAAATTCAACATCATGATATGTTGATACTCTAGTACATTATATATTTAAATACCCGAGAGAAACTATTATCTTCAATTACATTGAAACAAAAAGTGTTGTTTTCTGTAACATGAAATAACAGTATGTTAGATCTTTTAGTACCCAATGAGATGTACAATCAAATTTAGGGAAGATTGTGTTTCTTAAAGTAGATAGATTGTCCAAATATATCTTATTGTATTGCTCAAAATCAGATCACATCAGGCCAGAAAATGATCCGATATATTGCGTTCTACTACACGGTTGTTCTTTACATGTTTGCGGTGCACACAAAGTGTTACATCCTAGTTTAGAAGGAATGTCATATACACCGTATTTAATTTAAGTATCAAGCAAATGCACCCTATATAATTTATGTGTATGTCATCTACATTATCTGTACTGTGAATATTTCTATATAAATGTCTCTATATATATGTGTGTATATATATGCACATTTATGGGTATATCCTAGAGCTCATATTCAAAAGCTCTCATTAGTGTGTACATATATTTACATAGACATACAGATAGATATACACATTATCCGTTGTTCAAACTTGCCAAGAAATCTGCTAAAGTAGACATAAAAGTTCAGATTTTGTATATAATATGAAGCATGTCTATTGAATATTTTCTATTGAAAACATTGGACTAGTGACTAGATGCATTCTACGTAATTTTAACATATTTAAAAAAAAAACTCAAGTACAATCATCGATATATACGATACTATATACGATACTATATGTTTTTAATGTATGTGTATATACATACATGTATATATATATATTCACGCTTCAAAGCATCTCCTTTGACGCAAACGCCAAGGCACATGCAGCTGCACCCAAGCTGTAGCCCTGGACGGCTCGCAGCTCATGAGTAAGTCATTGAAACCTTGAAAACATACAAGAAATAAAATCGATATAAATCGATACTGGCAAATATCAAACGTATCATGCATGCAATGGCAAGGGTACATAATTATATGTATATATTATATTATATATATATCCTCAAATATATAGAATATGATGTAAAATGACTATATATATATATGGATATATATGGTACCACCCGCACAAAAAAAAACTACCTTCTCATCACGTTTACTGGTATGGGCGGTGTTTCGTGTCTATTTTTCGGAATGGTTTTAAATGGACAATTTGGAGAGTTTTGGGTATTGGTTTTTCCTCTAGGGGGTACCATATATAAAATATGTATATATATATACAGATGTGAATACACACACACAGAGGGTAGTAAGCAGAATGTTGATTTTGATTCTTCCTTGTACTTAGGGCATTCTGCATTCTAAAGGAATGCATTCAGAATGCATTCTTTGCAAAAACCCAAGATCCAAGATTCCCACAAGACTCCTGATCAAAATCTTGGATTCTTAAAGAATTTTGATAGGGATTGGTAAGGGTATTCTGGCAAATCCCAAATCCAAGATTTGCACAAGACTTATCCCCGCAACTCTTGGATCTTGGATCTTGGTTTTGGGGAAGAATGCATTCTGAATGCATTCCTTCAGGCTGCAGAATGCCTAAGTACAATTCTTGCAATCTTAGTTCGTACCCCTTCCAAACTATGTCTTAAGTATAATTTACATTAATTTACGCACCTCCAAGTACCTCAACCTCTCTGCACAGTTTCCCTTAAGTAGTGATTCAACCCACATGAAAAAGATCATTCAACTTTGGGTCTTTTCCCCAAACCTGAAAAGGCAGTGAAACCACTGTAAATGACTACAAGAGATGATCAAACATGCATCCTTCTCTTAAGGAACCAATTCTAAGTGACAGGAGCAGGCTTTACAAACAGACACTTTCATTCAAAGGGTGTAGCATTCCTTAAGCAAAAAGAGTATTCCTTTTCAATAGGTAGCATTCCTTTGCAGAAAGCCACTTCTCTTAAAAATATATCTCTTCATTTCGCTCAATCAGTGTTTTTTTCCAACATGTAAATATGCATTCTTCATTCACAGACCCATTTCATAATGTACTAAGTACAATACTTCTGGAAGGAAGAAACTGGTTGCACAAACAGTCCCTGCAACATACAAGGCATCTTCCAATCAAATGCAGTATCTCTTCAAATCAAATAAGATTATCTTCAGAAATGTAGCCATTACTTTGAAGAACATACATGTTTTTCTCTAAGTGACACTATATTTGTTGAAAAACAAGTTGGATATTTAAAAGAACATGCTGCACATGTGGCACAAGTACTGCTACATTGTGCTTTCTAGAGTCAGTATGCCCTAATGTTTTGACAGTAATTGTGTATACTTGAAATGAACAAATGTGAGCCGTCTTTGCTTAAACAAAAACATCACAAATGCTACCTTTGTGAGATTGACAGTGCCCCTTCTGAAGAAAAGTGACTTGAAAGGGCACGGCATAATAACTTCAATAAGAAAGCTCTCTTAGTCTATGCAGTATTCACTGGGAACAATAATAGTTCCAAAAGAGTTTTTGTGTAGCATTACAAGCAGGCAAAGCTAGGTTTTTTTGGGGGGGCTAGCATATATATATATATATATTTATTTATTTATTTATTTAACTTGGGGTATTACATAAAATACGCAGTTCTCTCTTGACGGACTGATATCTATCTTTTTTTCGAGGTCAATGGGCGCCGATTTCTGCACAAAAAAAACCTGGACAGCACCCAGCTGGACAGTAGAATGAGATGAACCATCTCTGTGGCACTGTGTTTTGGGGGTTCCCAACTGTCCAATCAGCGCCAATTTTGCATTCCTGTCTAGGATTTTCATTGTATGATATATATTCTACAATCAACAATAAATAAATAACTATAAATATACAAAATTATACGGGGATGGGTCAAAACCCTGGTACCTAGTGAACCCCAAGTCATAGCTGGGATTTATGGATGTGAATAACCCACTAAAAATGTATCTATAGGTATTGACCCATACCCAAATATCTAATGATTCTAATGAATATGGGCCTGGTTTTATCCCGTTGACAAAAAGCCTTCATTTACGCATGGCGCTTCCGGTCGACGAACGAACCGTAACCGACCCCTCCGTAGGGTCCATCGCCTCGCCTTGAAGAATCCAGAGCCCAAGGTGCCATCGCCAGACATCTGATTGGCCTTTACTCAGCGGGGTCGAAAATTTTGAGCACCAGAGAATCTTCCGCAAAAAAATGAAGTGATACAAGGTGGTGCCCCAGTTCGGAATCGCTAAGTTGGTGCAACTAACTCCCATTTCACTATGGTTTATGGCAGATATAACGAACTAGTTAATGGGATTTATAAACCAACTTATAACTGGGGGGCACCATCCTGTAGGGTTTTAATGGATTTCATGTTTTGAAATAATCAAAATGATGATCAAAATTTGATGATCTCTAATCTCTCACGCTGTCAATGAATATCAATGATATCTAATGAATACAAATGATCTCTGTTGATCTCTAATCATCTCTCACGCTGTCGATGATATCTAATGAATTCAAATGATTTTTACTGATCTCTCATGATCTCTAATGATCTCTCATAATCTCTACTGACCTCTAATGATCTCTAATGTTTAGTTTGGTGGTGATGATCCATTGGATATGATAGTTGCTTTGAAAATCAGAGGTTCTTTTAATCGCTCCGGTTGCCCTTACACCATCTTACACCCCGAACAAAACCCCCGCCTTGAAGACCAATGCACCCGCCAAAATGCTCACAGGGATGGCAAACAGCTGCATGCCCAGCCAGTGCACCTCGTCATAGTGAGACATCTGAGATTGAAAGAAAAATGTAGGGAAACTTATACTGTATGATGTATATCTATAATCATCATGAATTATCTATTTATATATATATATATAATCCTATATATATATATATCATTAATTACATCATATTTGCATCCTCATATCATGCTGTCATTGGACTAGGCACCACGGTTTCCGCCAATTTCATCCCCGGCATCTCCCGTTAGACACGCCTCCGGCCCACTGAAGTTGAACTTCCGGACATAGCGCAAGACCTGGTTCAACATCTTGAGATTTTTGTTTTCCATCTGGGTTTCCAAACAAACTGGGGGTTCCGAAGAACCACATGGTTTCCTGATGAAAATTCTGGAACTCTTCGTTGGGAACACGGGAAAACTGACTTCTTTCCAGAGCGGCCTTCACAGTGTCGTAGAGGTAGAGGTAGATGTGGGAAAAAATGAGAGCGGCAAAGGTTAGTGCCATATATGCTGGCGAAATGAACGGAATACCTGGGGCCAAGATGTTCCGTCATGATCGAAAACTAAATGCCGCGATGATACAGGGATAAATGTCGTGATATCACAGCTACACTTCGAACAATTTTTCGGCTGATGGGTTGATATATTTTTTGTCATGCCCATATTTCGATCATCTAGAATTTAACCAGCACGCAAGCAGAAACTTATGCTGGTTCAGGTGTCTTCTGACCATAGGAGATGACAAGGCTCAACAGTCGACATGGTTTTGGCCATTGATTTTGCTACGGAGTCCATGTGACGCACGTGTACAACTGTTTGTAGTCTGACATGTTGAAAAACCATGAAAAACCTTCGTAACTCTGCAGTGCCTTCAGTAAACATATATGTTTAAATTTGGCCAGGCAAGGCTTGGAAAATGTAACGCATAGGAAGCGAAAATTGTTCTTTGAATGGTCATGGTCTTATTTTCGCTGGGTGTAGAAGCTGATCGTCTGATCGTTTTGTCCCAGCTGATGTTTCGCATCGCGGCAAGCTGCACACCACCAGAATGACATTGAAAATGCAATCCTTGGATCATCCCAGACAGAATCATGTGGAAATATCGATTCGCAAAGGATTCCAACGAAAGAGAAATAAGAAGAGTAGGCGAAAAAGGACAGGCAAACCATTCAAAATCCGACCGCAGGTTTTTGTCAATTCAAGACTAAGATCCTTTTCAGTGGTGCCAAATTTTCAGCCCACAGTGTTTCGAGATATGTCAATGTCCCTCAATTCCATCTATGGCCATCAATGTGGCAGCTGACAATGAAAATCTTTCCAGGATGGGAATTTGCGCCGCTTTGAGCACAATTGAAGGGACCATACCAGGCCTAGTCAATTAATATCTTGACCTGTGGGGTGGCAGATTCAAGGTCCAAACTTCTACCGCCGTCTCACAGTTTTCAATCAACTTCAAAGTTTGATCAAAGGTTGACTGATCGTTCTGGCCACCAAAAGGAATCAAATATGGAAATTGATGGGCGCACCTTAAACGCCACCGACTAAGGCCTTGTGCTTAAAGATTGTCCGCCGACCCCGCCTGCAGGGGGAGCGCATCAGAGAAAAAAATAGGCCCAGAGGCTTCGGCCCCGACAGTGGATCGGAGCTGTGTAAACCAAGGGCGCTAGCAAGTGAAAGCCGGTCTTCACGAGGTTCAAAGAGCACCGAGCCTCCAGATTAGCCTGGTGTTTGTGCTGTTTCGGACGCGTAAAAAGCTCCGGCTGGAGGCTTCAACGGCTAGCTTTCTAGATGCAGAAAGAGTAAGCAACGTGACGCAAAGGCACGTGTGCCGAGCATTGGCACGTTGCGCCCGGAACTGGGTTAGTTAGCACTGCCAGGTTCCTCCTGCCACTGGCTGGTTTTGGGCCACAATTTCTCCGTGACTGGACTTTCCCTGCTGTCAAGACGCCGCGGCTTGCCCCAGGGGTCGGCGGAAGGGGCGGCAGCCCGTGTATCAAGTCCCATTTTCCGGACTTTCAGTGACTGCCAGAATTTACAGCTCCCAAAAAGATGTCCAGGATGCTACTGTGGATGAGCCAGCGAAATCCTGCACTTCATAGGACGGTATAGAAAGCCATCCTAAACCATGGGATAAACCACCAATAAACCACCTATCCCATGACGGATCCATGGTGCTGCTATATATGGTAACATGGATCCCATCAATATACCCCAGTCATGTTAGCATTAATATACCAGCACCATGGATCCGTCATGGGTATGAACTGGTGCAGGATTTCGCAACCACCGCTCGACATAGCGTGTTCAAGGCTCGGCATAGCGGCCCTGCTCCATCTCGCCGAGCTCGAAAGCCTGCAACGAAAACCAGCTGAGGGAAGTTTAGTTAGCAAAAGGATAGAATCGAAGGAAAATTAGAAAACTTTAATTAAGGGAATGTTTGATCTGTTTTGCGGATTGACTCATATTTATATTATATAGTGGATATATATATATATATACTGAGTATATATTAAATTAAGAAAGTTTAGCTAGCAAACTTCCGGGTTTCGGTAGCCAGGGCTCGCGCGGCTCCAAAAATGACCAGTTTTTTCGGGGTTTCGGACCATCTTTGGAAGGTGAGGTCCGGGAAAAAGTGAATGGAACCAATGTGGTTAAAACAATGTCATAAACCATGACTGGGAATGGTTTATAGAGTTTATACCCCACATTTATGGTGATTTGGGGGATGGTTTGTTATTGTTTTAATTAACAAAAAATTATATAGCAAGAGATGCATTTTGATGCAACATGCTGAAAGACTGAAGGTCCGAGAGGAGCGTGGAAAGCTGCACACTGTGCCGGCTGCGCGCATGGTGGCAGATTTGGTAAGTAGGTGGAACTGCCGTGCCAGGAAAAGGTATGAAAAGGTGTTGGATGGTGTTGGTGTGTCCGTGCCAACCTCCAGTTGCAAAATGCAGCGGAACTGCTCTGCGACGACCACGTGTGGAGTTGTAGGTTCCGAAAAACTTTGACAACAACAGAAGAGGTAGCAGGTAGCTCAGAGTTCTTTGTTCATTCCTGATTCATGGATTCTATGTCGCAGTCGTGCCTTCGGTCACTCACTTACTCTGCAGATCCTCATGGTGTTGTTCTGTCACGTCACCAAAAACATGACGTCAGTGAAAAAATATGTTCAACCGCCATGCCGCGCCATGTCAAGGCATTTATTTTATATATTCATGCAAACATGTGCAAACATGCATTCATTCATTAATTGTTCATTCTATGTCGTTGTTCATGTATAAATTCATGTCATGTTTTTTGTTTTATTTCATTTCATGACAATCAATCAATGCAATCTGTCATTAATTAATGCATTTCATTTCAATCATTTCATTTCATCAATTAATTTCATTCATGCGCAATGATTCATTCATTCATGTGATTCATTTCTTTCAATCGTTGATTCCTTTCCATGTCATGTTATGTCGTTCATTCACTCGTTTCATTCATTCACTCATTTCATTCTTTATTTCATTCATTCGTTCATTTCATTTCATTTCATGTCATTCCATTCCAGTCCATTCCATTTCATTTCATTTCATTCATTTCATTCATTTCAGTTCATGTCATTGTCATTTCATTCCATGTCATTTCATTCATTTCATTTCATGTCATTTCATTCATTCATTCATTTCATTTCATTCCATTCCATTTCATTTCCATGTCATTTCCTTTCATTTCATGTCATGTCATGTCATGTCATTTCATTCATTCATTCATTCATTCATATCGTTCTTGTTTCTTTTTTCTTTCATGACATTTTATTATTTCAGTTCAGTTCATTTCATTTCATTTTACTTCACTTCATTTTACTTCACTTCATTTCGTTCATTTCACTCATTCGTTCGTTCGCTCGTTTATTCGTTCATTTCATTATTCATCTCATTACTCATTTCATTCTTCATTTCATTATTCATTTCATTATTCATTTCATTATTCATGTCATTTTTCATTTCATTAATCATTTCATTCATTCCGTCATTCTTTCATTCATTTCATCACACTCATTCACTTCATTCGTTCCGTCACCCACTCGTTTCATTCATTGCCTTCAATTTCATCATTCAAGTGAGGAATGCATTAATTCATTCATCTATTAGTTCATTTATCCATGTAATGTCGCTGTCACCATTCTTTCCCTCGCGCATTCACCTGTTCCTTCGGAAGGCATTTCTTTCATCCCAACATTCGACTCATCTGCAATCATTGATGCATTTGTTAAGTCGGGCATTCATGGCTTTATTGATGAATTTCGCCGTTGCACTCATTCCTTTGTTTATTCATGAAAAATCATTGATTCATTGATTCATGCATATGATTACGTTGACTAGTTCAGTCACGGCTGGGAACTACCTGGCTTAGCCAGTATGGGATACATCAGTAAGACTGGGCTTGTCCAAAATAGGGCCACAACTTAGGGCCATTGAAAAAGGGTGAATGATTTTTACGGGATTTTGGAGGTACCCTATCAGAGAAACCCATGTCTTGTAACAACCCTACCAGTATGGATGGACATACCCTCTGGTAAACTAACATAACTATGAAAAATCATAATTTTTCATGGGAAAATTCACTATAAATGGTCATTTTCAATAGCTATGTTAGTAATTACCAGAGGGTATAGTCTCCCATGATGTGCCTATTCTATAATATATCTCTTAATATCCCATAGATAGTTGTGTTAAATTACCAGAGGCTATATCCAAGAGTAGCCAAATAAAGCTTGGAGGGAAAGAGAAGACTGGACTTTCCTGCTGTCTTGGTCGGACAGCGGAAGCCCCGGTTTCTGATTGCCATGACCGGACAGGGCGATACGATTCGTCAATGTTGCGGGTGCTTAGACCGGGAGACCCCCCAAATCATGCAAATTCTTGCAGGATGGTGCCCCCCAGTTATGTGTGTTGGTTTATAAACCCCATTAACTATAGTTATATCTGCCATAAACCATAGTTATGAGAGTTAGTTGCACCAACTTAGCTAACGAACTGGGGCACCACCTTGTGTGGTTTCTTGAAAGGTTTGTTTAAATGGTGATTTTCTGGGTCCCCCATGAAAAAGAGGCGTCCACATCTCATGCGTTTCATCCTAACAGGGAAGGCTGACCTAAACCGAACCTGCCCACACGTTCTTCCAATGGTTAGAAGGGTTCTTATGGCTTCATCAATTGGTTGAGTCACCATGTTTGATCATTGTTTGATGGTGGCTAGTCCTATTTTTTCATGGTAAAAATGACTTCATTGTTTTTTAATTGACTATGGTTTACCTATGAAAAAATGGTGGCTAGTCCTTTTTTTTTGGCGTTCCCATTGCATTGCGCTACCTTCTCTGCATTCTCGCCCTTAATCTTCTTGTTGGCTCCGACAATGTACTGGGCCAGGTGCTGCGGTAGCCACTGCACGGCAAAGGGTTCAGCCAGGAAAGGGACGAAGAAAGTACATGGCCAGCAATACCTGAAGCACCAGCATCGCCAACGATTGAAAAAGGAGCTTTTGAAATCCTTCTCCTTGCGTTTGTAAATCCCTAGCTGAAGCAGAGCTTGTGTAATGAAGTGATCATTCTTGTGACTCCAAGGCAAAGCCGCACAAAACTGCAAGAGTCTTTAGTCTTTCCAGGTAATCTGAGGAATCTCTTGGATTTGGATGTCTTGTTTTTGGCAACAAACGTATCCCAGATGCTTCAAGTATGGGAAGCACTAATATAAATCATATAGATAAATCATATAGATAAATCAGTTTACATATCCTTGCTGGCAAATCCAACCGGAGACATGATTTCACCATGATTTCACCATGCGCATTTGATGCGAAGCATCACACCCCCCTAACTGACTCTGAAAACGTGCACTTGATGCTGCACAGCAAGCTGTTAATGATTGTTGTTTTGCTACTTGCAAGTGTTCTACACTTCTACATGATACGCCACACATGGGAGGTCATTTTCTGCCACTTTGTGTCAAACAGTTTGGTGAAATAGCAATGTCAGCCCCAGTCTCAACCTCATCCGGTTGTTGTGTGGGATCTTTGTACTCCTTGCCCCCCGACTCTTCACACTATCGGTCAGGACAAGGAGGGGGAAGAACACCCGTCAAGTAAAAGTGTTCAGATAACATGTTTTAATGATTCTAAATTGAAACACCTGTAAAAATATAGCTCAGAGGAGATTGGTGATTAGTGCAAAGGCACGACAAAAGAAGTAGTTTAGAGAAGACATAAGCCAAAGAAGGGATAACTCAGACAAAAGCTGTTTCTTTGAACTTAATTACTTAATTCTTGCAAGCGTTTCTTTCAACATGTAAGCGCGTGTACATGCCAGAACGATTTGCGCGCACAGGCTAGGCTTAAAATCTGCATGGATTGCCTGCAGTTGTTGACACCAACCCCAAACAACCAAGAATAAACGTCTGTTTCCCTACCCATAGGATCCATGTATGCTATATATGGTAACATTTACCATCAATATACCCCAAATGTTAGCATATATACCATACATAGATCCTATGGGCTATGGTAGTGAAGAATCTCTACATAGCGAACGGTTGGGGTAAACCATGGTAAACCATTTGTTTCTGGTTGTGGTTCCAGGTCGTTTTTTGATCAACCCGCAGCCGTCATAGCTTTGATGCAGAGTCAAGCTTCTTGAAGACTTCTTCGACCCATTACAGTAAGCCCAGTAAACCATTCATTAAAAGAAAATGCACAGAAAGAATAAGGACTGGATAACCCCATGTCAACTTCTTCAAGCAACACAGATGAGACCACAAAAGGTTTGTGGGGGGAACGTTTTGGGTGGCACTGTTGTGGGTGGTGAGGAGGACAGTCTTCGGGATGCGTCGAAATTTATGAGCCGTGCTAACTAAAAAAAGAGAAAGGATTTTCCTTATGCTACCCTCTGGTAAACTAACATAACTATGGAAAATCACCATCTTTAATGGGAAAACTCACTATAAATGGCCATTTTCAATAGCTATTTTGACATAACCAGAGGGTATCTCTTCTGGAAATGAAAAAAATATGGAAAAAGAAGTCAAAGCGGTCCGACAAACGTCCGACATCATACTGAATATCACTCAACGACCATTGGCCGAATGGCTACAACCTCCTCATGGCTACAACGAGTAGCAATAGCTGCGATGTGAAAAGAAAATCCTTGCAATCAATGGTTAATGGTTGCCACCAACAGGTCAAGAATGGGTAACCATTCGGTAACCATTGGGTAGCCAATGGGTAACCAACGGGTAATCAATGGGCCAAAGTACACGAAGAGGAGCTTACCCATTGACTTCTGCACCGGATACGACTCAAGGATCTCTTGAAAACTGTCCTCGTTTGAGCTGAAGCAACTCCGCAGCTGAAACGACTGGAAAAGGTATGAAAACATGCTTTAGATTGCTGAGTAGACCAGTGCCCGGATCGATTCAGTATAAGTATGTATAAGACTGTATAAGTAATATATGGCAGTGTGTCAAAACCTTGTAGCCCTGGTGAACATCAAAATAGCTGGTAAATGGATGTTCATCCCACTAAAAATGGTATTAATAGGTATTGATCCATACCCATATTGGTTAGCAATAAACCTGAGATCAGGTCGTGGGACTTCTGATTTGCCCAGGAACTAAGCTGCCCAGCAGACGGCCGTCCGAGGTATGCGCCCCAACACCCACCATCTGTAGGTAGCTCAAATAGGTTTGGAGAGCCAAATCCAAGATGAGATTCAGAATCCTAGGCTCGGCTCCAGTTGGATAGAGGATTTCTTTCGAATCTGCTGGATGATCTTCGAGATCTAGAAAACATTTTTCTCAGCGAGTGGAGGCTGATGCGAAATGACACAAAAATCCAGTTAGAAACCTTCAGACGACCTGTAGCAAAATGTCCCAAAATTATGCGCAATTTACATGTTTGCCTGTGAAAATTTGGGAAAACGAAGATGTCTGCAGCTTGAAGAGCCTCTTGCGTTCTGTGCCTGTGTGCGCCTGTGTATTCTCAGTGTAAATTGTCCAAGCAACCTAGCAGGTACACACATACTTCAAGTTGGAAACCACCAAAGATAATCGCTGTGCAGTGAATAGTTTTTTTTGAGTCAGGCAGTCATCAATGTGACCAAGGGAGATCTAGGCGCCCTGGCAGCTCAAGGCTGGTTGGTGGTCACGTCACACATCTAGAAAATAAAAGGCAAGTGGAATATTCATCCTAACTGAACATTAAGAATGCACTGTAAGGCATGAAAATACTCCCTGGTGCGTGTCTGTGTATGTAATGTAAGGTAAGATAAGATAATGTAATGTTATGCTCTGGAATGGAATGGAATGGAATGTACTCATGTATGCTTGCATGTATGTATGTCGATGTGTAAGTGTATCTGTGTACATGTAGATATAGATGTAAATGTAGATGTGTACATGCATGTGTATGTATATAATATCATTATTATCATTATTATCATCATTACTATTATTATTTATGTAATCATATTTAATCAATGTACAATATGTCTAATCCTATGTTTGCGTGTGGTTACTTATAGAGTGTGTTTTTATGTGTAGATTGCTTTATTTAATGGATATATGAGATATAGGATGGATTATTTCATAGTTCTCTTACAGGACTTCTTGAGAATACAAAGAAGCGGGTATATAGTGAGTCCACTGTCCATGCCGAGACTCAGTGCTGCGTTGTAGTACATCGTGTAGGCCTCACGAATGTGTTCCCCCAAAAAAATGGGCCTCAAACTACTGCCAAGTGGCTAAGTATCAAAAACATCCCGCCGGACCGGAAACCGTGCTTGCAAAAGCACGTGTTTTTCTTTTTTTAATGAGCTTGGCACTGTGGCGAAACGCGAATTTCTTTCATGAAAATCCTCCAAAAAAAAGATGCCACAATTTGGGTGTGTTCGCGTTTTACCACAGTAGCAGCTCATTTTCATCGGGAAGTTTTTGTGGAGTCTGAAAAATAACATGTTTTTCCGTCAGAAGATGCGTTTCAATGTTTCAATCGTCTTCTGCTGCAAGTTGTACCTCCGTTGCCAAGATTTTGCGTACAGTAAATCGCGGCTTTGGGGGGACATTTTTTTGGGAATGCAATTCCTTAATGCAGACCATGCTGCATCAATAGTACCAGTATGACAAACAAGTTTTTCCCTGCCGCGATATCCTTTTCGCATGAATTCCCCACGGTGGTGGCTCACATACTCATGTAAAATGCCCAATTCTCTTCTGACGATAACAACGAACGTAGTTGCAAGTTGTGTCACAAGAGTCGACAACATAGTTGCAAGTTGTGTAATAAAAGTCAACAACATAGTTGGAACTTGATCGAGAAGATAACAACCTAGTTGCAAGTTGTGTGATAAAAGTCAACAACGCAGTTGGAACTTCATCGAGAAGATGACACGTAGTTGCAACTTGTGTCAAAAGAGTGGACAACGTAGTTGCAATCGGTGTCACAAGAGTCGATGAAGTAGTTCGACTTTGAAAAAGAAGATAACAACGTAGTTGCAATTTGTGTTACAAAAGTCGACAACGTAGATGGAACTTGATCCAAATAACAACGTAGTTGCAAGTTGTGTCACCAGAGTCGACAACGCAAGTTGTGTTACAAGAGTTGATGAAGTGGTTGGACTTTGAAAAAGAAGATAACAACGTAGTTGCAAGTTGGTTTACCCCACCCAACCCCACCCCACCCCATGCAAGTGGTGACAGAAGTTAGTAACGTAGTTGAAAGTTGTTAATAGAAAAGACGTTAATAGCACACCCCACCCCACCCCGCCCCACCCCATCAGATGCAAATTGGTTAGAGAAGTTATTAACGTAGTCGGAAGTTGTTTGTCGTAAAGACGTTAAAAGCCCATCCCACCCCACCCGACCCCATGCAAGTGGTTAGAGAAGTTAGCAACTTAGTTGGAAGATGTTGGAAGTTGTTAGTAGAAAAGACGTTAACACCCCACCCCACCCCACCGCACCCCACCCCATGCAAGTGGTTCGAGAAGTTAGTATAACGTAGTTGCAAGTTGTTAATAAAAATTACCCTCTGGTAAACTAACATAGCTATGGAAAATCACCATTTTCAATGGGAAAACTCACTATAAATCACCATTTTCAATAGCAAACTGTTAGTCATTACCAGAGGGTAAGAAGTTAGTAACGTAGTCGCACGTTCTCAAAAACGTTCGTTTTACGAGCACGGTGTTCGGTCCGCTGGCAACATGCCAAGCCTTCGGGTGTGCCACCGTTTTTTCACGTGACATTTCTGCGCCTTCTGCGTCTCATCTTCACTGTGGAAGGCTGCGTACTTCGCACCCATGGAACTCACAACAAAAAGACCGATCTGCGATCCCACCACCAGACCTCAGTTTTCGAAGTTTACCCTCTGGTAATTTAACATAGCTATGGAAAATCACCATTTTTAATGGGAAAATCCAGTATAAATGGCAATTTTCAATAGCTATGTTAGTTTACCAGAGGGTATGCGTGTCAAAACTCAAAACGGACCGAAGAAAATGTGGATCATTTGGAGTTCCCCGAAAAATTGGAGTAGCCAAGTTTGGTCACACTTTGGGCAAGCCACTGACCATTGAAATCTGAAGTAGCTTTCGCAACTGCCAGTTGCATTGGTGCAGAGTGTGGCAAATATCCCAACTTACTATTTCATGTAGGCTGGAAATCCCAACTTTTGCAGCCCAGTTCATATCTGATTTCACCATATTTCGGTGCTTTTGATCATTCTTTTCGCATAACCAATCACTAATCACATCATATTCTTCCGCCGTCTGTGGTTATCACGCACCAATTAATCACAGATGAGCCACAAATGAAGAGACCCTCCGAGAACTCGCCGGGTTCATCACCATTGGCATAAGAAAAGGACGACATGTACAGGGCATAGGGAATGTAGAGAATAAAGGTCCAAACCGCGCACGAAGCGGCCAGGCCCTTAGCCGACAAGAGATAAGTCCGACTGTCTGAGAAATAGAGAGGTCATCAACCTGAAACAACCAGCTCAGCTGGTTGGTGGTTTGAACCCCTCTGAAAAATATGAAAGTCAGTTGGGATTATTATTCCCAATATATGGAAAAATAAAAGCCATTTTCCAAACCACCAAGCAGTGATAATAGATTCTATGACAATATCCCAAAAGGACAGTGTTGACTGGCGAAGTGCCATGAAAAATCCTACGCCACACCCTCGAGGTGCCGCTCGTGCCGGTCAGGTCAGCAACAGCAACACGACATCCAAAGCACCCATTGTGAAGTGACTTAAGTCTCCATTGCAGAAGACAGAACACATGAAAAAATATGAACAACAGCCCCAAATGATTAACCATGCTTTAGGGGATGAAGATCTACATACCCTCTGGTAATGACTAACATAATAGCGATTGAAAATTGCCATTTATCGTGAGTTTACCCATTAAACATGATGATTTTCCATAGTTATGTTAGTTTACCAGAGGGTATATGACGACCATTCACCGGGTTTTCTCGGCTTTCACAGCAAGGCTCTACAAGAGCCATGCCAATCTTCCCTGTGCGCTGCTGAGGGGTGACGCCCATGTTGTGCCAAAAGAGGCCCTCCGGAGCATACTTGCCTCAAGGATCGCTGGACCCATCATCCCAGGCCCCTGGCCTCTGAAGTTGTGGTTTTATGATATTTTGTGGCTACAAAAACAGGGTAAAGTCAGGTACCATTCTGCAACTTGAAGGTGGAAGACCATATTTTCCCGGGTGCAGATCAACTCACGTTTCAGATCCTCATTACATACCGAGTCCATTCCAGAAAATTAAACGCCCGGTGTCCCTTCAAGCCAGCGAAAATGAACCTGGCAGTGATATGGGTGTGTCTGAGAATAAGGTACCCCCAAATTTCGTGGCCGGCAAGTGGTTTAACAGCGTCATTTTGCTCATTCAAATTGTATACTGTGGGTAAAACAATGTCATAAACCACCCATGACTCGGAATGGTTTATAGCATCCATAAAAATGGTGATGACTGGGGGATGGTTTATTACATTGTTTTACCCACATTACGAAAAAATCCCGCTACCATGGACATTCCCATCAACGCCAAGTGACAAGGGGTCAGTTTGCAAGCAACATGGTCCACCGCCACGCCCGAAGTAGCAACCTCATTACCAGCAACTCGGCGCAACTTAAAAAACTCGATGTTCTTCACGAGGAAATGGTTTGCTAGCCATTGTAGAAATGGTTAGCTAATGGCCTGATTTCACCAGTTTCCAGCTATCTGAAAAGATTGGTAATGTGAGACTGGCCAAGTTAGACGCCCCCATTCTGAAACAAGTCAAGGTGGTCATCTCTAGTACCCCCATTTCACCCAGAAATCCACATGCCACATATGTAATGGGGTCACCACCCGAGGCGGCGGTTTTTCAAGGGTTCTTCGAACTGCTGCGTGCCTTCATTGCCAGCATTTGACGTGTTGCGGATGTTGACATGTTGCAAATGTTTACATGTATGTTGCAGATGCTCTCGCATGTTCAAAGGGGATCAAAGGGGGGGTGTAATAACATCATCCCTGACGGCTTTAAGACGGTTGCACAGAAGGGTCAAATGTTCGTACGTTGCAACAGGTGGGATGTACGTTGGAGATGCTCGCTGATGTTCACCAGGGGGGTGTAAAACGAAGAATGGAAGCTGAAGAAAAAGAACCAAAGAAAAAATAAAAGCTTTGACAGCCGAAGTTGGCGCGCCGTTTTTAGTTTTTTGACATGTTGGTCTGTGGATGCTAAATGATGCTAAGATAAAGAACGCGTGTCACGCAGGCACAACTCACTGAAAATCGCAATATATTATGCTCATTCCCGATTCAAACTCCAAAACCACGATTAAAAAAACCTCCGCTCAAGGCGGTGGTTCCTTGTTAACTGTTAAAGTCCGAATCGGAGACGTAGCGGTTTCAAGACTGAATTCTTCAATCTGAGATATCTTACCGGTCACTTGTGGGGGAAATTGCATTGAACTGGCTTTCTGCAAAGATGTTTATTGAAAACAGCCACACTTTTGCGCAAACACTGCGCAAAAGCTGTGCAACCACTAGGGGTGGGTGGACGGCTGGGCATCGCTGAAAAGTCGGTGACCATCTACACCCGTGCGACAACGCACACGTCACTAGAAGTCAGTGGCAAGTGGTCCAACTTGTTGGAGGTCAGAAATTCCGTAGAAAATGGTCTCAAAAGGTACGATCAGCCACGACATCTACCGTTTTTTTGTCTTTGGTCCTTTAAAAAGTACCTCTCTTGATGATTCTTGATATACTTTTTGCGCCCCTAGGACCTTGAAAGGTACATATTTGGAAGTCGCATGTCTGATGCTGTTTGGCTAAAGGGATAAAATCGTGAGCAATCGCGAGCATCGCAAGCAATTGTGATGGACCTAAAAAATAAGGCACTAGGGACTCAAAGGACTCACAGGAGTTTTTTCGGCAAGCAAAATGCACATGTAGCAATCATATAGCGATAGAATCAGAAATCGTGAGCAATCGTGAGTGACCAGATCTTTAAAATCAACAGCACAAACTCGGCCGTAGAAGCTCAGCAATGCCAAAAAAAACCTCCGGCACACAAGTTTCCGAAGGACCTATTTTTTGAGGTCCCAAGACTTTTAGGGTATGTATTACACTATTAGATACTATTAGCATCTTTCCTTGTGACAGTAACAGTGACCACAAGAAAAATGGACAAAAGCTGCCGGGAATGGCATTTCTGACGATGGATGAATGCCCAAGTTGCGGCTGCCTGAATTTTTTCATCCGCTGCTCCCAAAAAGGAATATATACATATATCAATTGGCTTTTGGTGGTTGTTTATGTGAGCAGGCGGTCATCACTAACGGAAACCACGCTTTTGGGCACAAATAGAGACAACCGGGTCGCAAAAGCTGCGTTTTTGAGCGCAAAAAAAAGAGACATGTTCTTGTTTTTGAGCACAAAAAAAACACGACCAGGAGTGCAACGAGGCATGTTTTTTGAGCATGAAACACTAAAATCAAAGCAAAAGAACACCATGAGGGTCGCAAAAAGCATGTGTGTGAAGGTGTGTTTGAAGGTGACACGGGAACCCACACTTCAGGTCTGAACCTGAGTTTTAAGCAAATATGTGTGCCTACTGGGACTGGGAAGCGCCCAAAAACTGTATGTATAGATATGTAGAATATATATATACATATATATATATATATGTATATGTATATATATATATGTATATATATGTATATATATGTATATATATGTATATATATGTATATATATATATGTATGTGTGTAGTTTATATGCGTGTACATATACATATATATATATACCTACATATTCATATATGTAGATAGATAGATATAAATCATATGTATATATATATATACGTATTTATATATTTACATATTTATGTGCATATATGTATACCTACTTGTTGGATGCATATGTTGCCTAAATGTGTATATGCATACGTATATATGTATATTTGTAAAAAGATGTAAATATAAATATATATATATATATACATATGATTATATATGTATGTAATTGATTGTAATTGCATACATGTGTATTTATCTCAGCCACATTCTCCAAGCACACGGCTTTCAGGCGTCTTCACAGCTAGAAACGGCTTTGATGGCCTTTTGCTGTGCCTCCTGGTTTTTGAAGATCACAAAGGCACAGGATGCTGAGAATCTTGGGAAACCCCAAGGCCATCCCTCTTGGAAAAGGGACCCCAGGATACCCCAGGGATGCCGATGCCCTAGTTTTCACCATGTTTTAGCCATCTCTCGACACGGCCGTTAAATGTCAGACGTCAAAGCCGGAATTCCCGCAGAAGATTTACATCAACCATAGCTCTTGACATGTTTGAGACTCCCAAATTCGGAAGTAGCAGGGATAGCATTCTCTCATAAAACTGAGGTCCAATGGAGTCCAATGGAGTCCAATCAAACTAAAGCAGTTGTAGGAGGCTGAACTCTGACTTCTCATTTTTTGCCGAAAGACATCGAATTCAACAGGGACTTGGTCTCCTGAAGGTGCCAACAACGTATCAGAAACGATGGACTTTCCAGCCGGACTGTGGGGGTTTGCCCTGCCATTTTTAGGATCGAAACGACTGGGGGTTAGAAAAACAGTTGGAATCCCTAGAAAAACGATGAGAAAAATGGTGTTCCTTCGGTAGGGGCTGGTGTTCACATGGCAGGTGAAGGCCACATCATTCTTGTCGTTGGTCCAAGATCGCAAGGCTATTGGATAATGTAGATCGACACAATAGCCGCATAAGTCAAGAATCTCGGGCTCAAAGAATGATGGGAACATCGGCTCTTGCGAAATAGGTCCCTCCAAAGATGTCGTGTTCACGAAAAGATCTCGGGAAAACCAACACATGGGGGTTTCCATTTTATTTGGGGTATCTGCAGTTCATCAATTTCCTTCATACATGTAACCTGAGTTCAATACACCTGATGCCATATCTTGCTCAGGGGCCCCTCGAAGCCATTTGCATGGCCCGGAAAAGGCTGTGAGCGGCCTCATGTTTCCTTGCGTGTGAGCACGCAATCGGTGGTGACTTGGTTGGGAACGATACAGAGAAGATTAGCATTCCCCAGCTTGACACTGCACAAATCGAGAAGTATACCGTATCTACGGTTTAGATCCTATCAACAGATATCAGCTACCTGCATTGGTAGCGGAGCGCCATAGTGTGCGTCTCCAAGGGCTAGCTCCAATACCTTCTGCGCAAACACTCCGTGGTAGCCCATCTGTTTGATTTGGATATACGAGAAATTCATGTCGGCATCAAAAGATCGAACTGAGTCCTATGTGCCTTCATGGGATGGCTCCTCCAAGACATGGCGTAGATATGTGAAAGAGATTTCCTGGTATGTTGGCAGTACAAAGGTGAATCAACGGCAATACCTCGCCAGTAAGCTTATTAGTCGGTTGTCTGGGTCGGCACGGCTGTTAGCTATGTCATGGCATCAGAGGGATTTTGATGGTCCTGAAGGGGTAAATCTGTTGTTACAACGACTGTCAGCATCTCCACTGGTCTGACGTTCGCTTCCGAATGCAGCAGCGATCATGTCGGAGTACTTCTCATTCCGACGTCGACCAGGAGAAGGGATTTCACAGTTCTTGGTGAGAGAAAGTTTAGGGTTTGAAGAGTTTCAAGAAGCGTTGGTTCAGTTGAAAGAAGAAAAAGATGGAATAGATCCGAGTTCAAGGAATTTCGGCTTACCAGACATGTCTCCAAAAGGGGATGATGATGATCAATGGGGTGATTGGCGTCGATGGCGCCAATGGCAACCTCCTACAGAGGGTGGTGATGCTTCTGTTGACCAAGATGGGGATCATAGTCCAACAAGGGGTGAAGGGTATAGACCTGTTCCTACTGTTGAACCTGATTTGAGCCCTGCAGCGGCTTCAGTGCATGGTCGGACGGTTCCTCCAGCATCACAGCCTGGTTCTCCTACTCAGCATGGTTCTCCTATTCCTGGTGTTTTGGGTCCACTGGATTCTTTCATTTTGGAAGTGTTGCGTGGCTGGAGACTATTGGTTGCGGCATCCCTATCCAATGAAGAGTGGAGAGATGTTTTGGCTGCTACTGGCAACAAGCTAGACTATGTCAGCATTTCGAATTCCTTACAGACCTTGTGGGATGAACAACTGGGTTCTTCACGACATGCTATGATGGGACAACGTGCATACATGAACAACTGGCATGAGCAATGGGATGTTTCTTCTGATTGGCATGATACATGGAGTGATGATTGGTATTCATGGGCTTCACATGTGGCTGAACATGCATGGCCTGAAGCTGCCGCCGCTCAGGAAGAAACCTCCACTGCTGATCAAGCTGATGACCCAGCTGATCCTGACCTTCAAGAAGCCTTGGATGCAGAACGTCAGGCTGAAGCTTTGATGTCAGAGGCCAGACGAACTTGGTCTCAGGCTCAACAGGCGACGGCCATGTTGCGAAAAGATAGGGGTTTTGGAAAAGCATCTGGGAGTGCATCTACAACTGACAATAGGGGTTGCTTCATTTGTGGCAGTTTTCAACACTATTCACGAGATTGTCCAGATCGAGGTTTTCCCCAAAAAGGTCGTGGCAAGTATTTGTCTCCTGCAGAACTAGAATCCTATCTGGTAGCTGGCAAATCCAAAGGCAAGAAGGGTCAGCACAAATCAAAAGATGGCATGTGGATGGAAGATTATTCCTATGATGCATATCCATTGCAAAAGGGTAAGTCCGGAAAAGGGTATGGCAAACCAAAGGGCAAACCTTCCACTGTGAACATGTATAACATGGATTACTATGGTTTGGAGATGATGGATGATTTTCACATTGGTGATTTTACAATGGATTGTTTTCCCCTGGAACTCTATGCGGCTTCCGATTCCGTTCAACAATCAGTACCTACGATTCCTCTGGGTTCTGGTATGCTGGATTGTGGGGCGACGGCATCAGCGGGTCCTGAAGCCTCCATCAAAGCATTGTTGGGACATCTTCGTCAACAAGATCCAAATATTCTGGTTTCATTGAACTATGACAAGTGTCCATTTTTCAGGTATGGTAGCGGCAGTTGGGGACAAGCATTGCATCAGGTGACTATCACTTCATCATCCAATTCATCGAGGTTTTTCATGGCATATGCTTTACCCAATCCAAAGGACTACGGACAACCCTGGTTTCATGAAGGGATGCTGGTTCCGATATTGGTAGGAATGGACTTTCTCTCCAAGGTAGGCCTCATTCTTGACTTTTGTGATGGACATGCGGTACATGCCAAAGATCCAGATCCCACTCCATACTACATGCTCAAGAATGTAAAGGGTCACTTCATGGTGAACATTGCGGAGTACATCTGTGGTTCCACCGGCTCCGAGGCGTCCACTGGTCATCAAGAGCACTTCACTTTGGAGGCGACTCGACCGGTTGAGGACAGTGATGTGGGTTGGTTTGAACTTGGTCCCATGGAACTATGTGGCATGGATGATACAATGCATGAAGTTTCAATACATGATCAAGAACATGAGCATGGTGATGAAATGAAACCTCTTTTTCAGTACATGTTGAACCGAAGAATCAAGCTGAACCAGAACCAAGCTTCCTCTTCCAGAGATCTTTCCACTCAAGTTTCTCAGCGTGGCCAGCCGACAGCTTCCACGACTGCGAATGCCTCCAAAGACCTCTTCGACAAAGAGCTCCAAAGCAGCACCCTTGGATCACACCAAGGAGAAGGGATGGCATCATACAGATCCCCGTGGCGATCCCAATTCATGGCCTTGTTATGGAGAACACGGGATGTTTCAAGAAGGGTCGAACGCCTATGCAAAGTGGGCAGATTGCAAAGCCTGCGGACTGAGGCTGTCTTATGTCCCGAGAGAGGGCTACTCCGGCAGCACCAGCAAAGTGGAGGATCCGAAGGTGATCACCATGGCCTTGAACCTTCTCAAGCAGGATGTCAAAGCACAGCATTGCACAGCGCCGATGGTGAAGCTGGCAATGGAGATCTACAAAGACCAATCCAAGCTGGAAGCCATGGAGAAGCAATTCCACATGCTGCAGCAGCAGGTGACCCAGAACATGGCCAAGTACAAGATCATGACCAAGCAAGCTTGGGAAAGCCCTGCAACGAGCTCTACTACAAGTCTCAATGCGGAGGAGATCTTGAAGCAAATGTCCTCGGAGGAGATCCAACGCCTCCAGGAATTGGCTGCCCAGAGGAAAGCCGAAGCAGAGAGGGAGGAGGAGGAACCGGATATGGAGTTGGTTCAATCACGGAGCCAACCAGAGACAAGTTAGATCATGCCGAACATGAGACTCTCCAGATCGAGGCCAATACGAAGATGGTTGACTTCTCTGAGGAGTGCGATGTGATCGAAATGTCGTCAGTCGACAGCAGCCCAGGTTCAGAGAATGACCTTTCTCTGCAGCCTGATGACTTGCATGCCTACAGTGCCATCGAGATGATGCACTACCAGGCCTACACTTCCAAGAAGGATGGAAAGGCCACCAAACCAAAAATCCAAAAACCAAAGAAAAAGAATTTGACTTTCAAGCGGTCCAAGACTGACAAGCACAGATCGTCAGCTGAGGACTGGGAGACTGATGCTTTTTGCTCTTCTACCTCCACTACGAGCACTTTGCCGTGGAGAATTGCCAAGGCTCTCATGGCGATGATGACAATGATGATCGCCACCGCACACTCTGACTTCCGAGATTTGATCAGAGGTGAACAAGTGGATGTGTGGGAAATGTTTTGTGCCCCACAAAGCTGGCTCACAAGCGCCTGCCAAGAACAAGGCCTATGTTGTCAGCGGATCAACTTGGAGAACAATTTCGACGTGTATCGCAAGGAGACCTACTCTGCTTTGCGTGAGAAACGTGATCGTGAAAAACCAAAAAGGATGTGGTTATCAACAAGATGCACATACTGGTGTAGTTGGACAGCCCTGAACTACAACACTGAAGAGAAACGTGCCAAACTGGAAGCCTATCGACGGAAAGAGCGTGCCATGTTCCGTCAACTGGTTCCCTTCCTTGAGGAGTCTGTGATCCTGGATGAATCCTTAGAACTCTTTTGGGAATGGCCAACAAGATGTGCTGGTTGGGAAGAACCTATGTTTCTAAGGCTTCAAGCTTTTCTTCAGCGTTTGGGCAAGCCACTATACTTTCGTAGAGTGGATGGTTGTCGATATGGTTTACGGTCGTCAAATGGTGGTTTCTTGAAGAAGTCATGGACTATAGCCACAACATCGGAATCCTTCTACAACATCTACAAGACAAAGGTCTGTGTTGGATCCCATGAACATGATCATGTACAGGGCTTGGAAACCTCACGTTCTGCATACTATCCATGGAGAATGGTTGTCTCTTTTGCACAAACATGGCGATCAGAACTGTATCCTGATAAACGTCTTCATGCTCTACATGCTCCAGCTCCTCACATGTTGTCCTCTGTAGAGATGCATGAACAACTTGAACTGTTGGCTGGTGATGAAATAGTAGTAGATGATGAAGAACGTGAAGGTGATGTTGTACCAGCCGTTGAACCAACAGCAGCAGAAAAACGAAAATGGGAAGCACAACTTCAAAAATACCACCGTGCGGCAGGTCATCCAAACAACTTCAATTTGGCCAGAATCTTGAAGGACGCTGGCATGCCCCGATGGAAGATCGAAACTGCACTCCAGCTGAAGTGTGGAGATTGCTCGGCGTTGAAGTTGGGCGGCATATCCAGTGGAAAAATACCACCAGCTTCTCTGCGTCCTCTTCCACGTGCATGGGAGGTCGTAGGTCTTGACTGCACTGAGTGGATACCACCTGGCCTTGCCGACAAATACAAGATACTTGTCATGATGGACCTGGCGACAAAGTTCAAAAACACCGTGGTATTGATGAAGTACGGTCCCAAGGAGATGAAAACAGAGTCTCAAGATCAGATTCTTGATGCCTTTTGCAAGCACTGGCTGGCAACAAAGCCGAAGCCTCAAGTGCTGATTCCTGACAATGCCAAGACGATGGTCGGCGAGAAATGTCGCATGATCTTCTCCGACCTCAATATCCATTTAGACCCTCTAGCTGTGAAGGAGTCCTGGGCACATGGCCTTATGGAACGAGCTGTGCAAGAGACCAAGAATGTGGCTTCGAAGGTGCACTTATCCAATCCTTCACTGGCACCTGAGACTTCACTAGCACTTGCAACTCATGCCATGAATGCTACAGAACATGTAAGTGGTTATACTCCTTTGCAATGGGCCTATGGTCAACAGTTTTCCTTCAGCGATGAGGATCAGAGCACTATGTCACGGCTGATGCCTACGGCAAAAGACCGAGACTTCACTCAGCTCATGGCCAATCGCTCCAGTGCTGAGGACATTGCGCGAAAGGTGCGAGCTCAGTCTGCATTGGGGAAGTTGCGTAACAGTAAGGCAAGGCAACCTCTTCAAGTTTTTCATCCTATGGAATTGGTGAAGGTATGGAGAAAATATGCAGCTGAACAAGGCCCTAGAGGTGGCATGCACAAAACTTTTCGAGCGCAATGGCTTGGTCCTGGTCGTGTTGTTTTCCATGAAGTTTTACAGGGCCAAAGACCTGAAGATCAGCGTAGACATATAGTGTGGGTTGTGATTGGTGGTACTATGCATCGCTGCAGTGTTCATAGCGTTCGCAAAGTGACTGAACGTGAACGTTTGGAGTTTGAGATTCATGCGCCAGAACAACCAGAAACCTGGCAAAGTCTCAAGACATTCTCCCAAAGCGTTCTTATGTAGATGTCACTGCAGAGGAACCCACCGAAGATGATGAGGATGCCCCAAATTTACCATTTCGACCGGATCAGTCCACTATGTCTTTCAAGCCCAAATTCCGGCACAATATGAAATCTGGTCCATATGTTGGTGAATTAGGTGATCGTGCTGCGTCTTCACAGCAACCGGCTCAAGCTCTTCCTCCAGTTCCTGAAGATGATGATCTTAATTTGAAAGCACCCGTCAATGAGTACTCTCCTGGTACTCCACTGCCTGATGATGTTGAAATTGATGATGATGTTGAAGACAAAGATGAAGGTTTAGGCAGTGGTCTTCCAACTTTAGAAGAACGTGCAACGGGTCAGCCTTCAGCTTTTCGTTTGTTAGAGGAGTCCAGCAAACGTATGAGCTCAGCAGGTGATGAAGCTGATTCCAAACGACCAAAACTGGAAGATGCGGAAACTTTGCTTTTCAACTGTTTAGATGTTTGCGAAGCAGCCTATGTTTTGACGGTGGAGCTTGACCTTACCTCCAACCGAGAAAAGAAGAAGCTGCTTCATCATCCTTCACTTTTTCTGGCTCAAAAACTTCGAGATTGTGAAGTTCGGTATGAAAAGCTGCGTCCTGAGCATCGTGTTTTGTTCGATCGAGCGAAAACCAAAGAGGTCAACTCTTTTCTGGCAAATCAAGCGGTCAGACGTTGCCTCAACAACAACGAAGAGCTCGAGGCCAAGCAGAGCGGACGTCTGATGAGATGTCGTTGGGTTCTGACTTGGAAGCCAACTCCTGTAGAATCTCTGGAAGAAGCTCAACGTGAACTGGCTGAAAATCCAACAAATACAACACTCACTCAAGATGCCAAGAAGAAAGCGAAGGCACGTATCGTGCTCCTAGGCTTTGAACACCCTGATCTCCTCACTGGTGAACATCAAACTGCCTCTCCTGTTCAAGCAGTCATCACAAGGAATGTCTCCTACCAGTTCATCATGGAACAAGGTTGGGACGTTGAGGGCATTGACATGAGCACAGCGTTTTTGCAGACTCTCCCCACTGAGGAATCAAAGCGTCTCTGGACTTCTGGCGTGCGAGAATTGCGAGAAGCCCTGCAGGTTCCTGAAGGTGGTGTGCTCCGAATCCTGAAGGACTTCTTTGGAAGCACTACAGCTCCAAAGAATTTGTTTCAGAACGTTGATAGTTCCCTCAAAGGTTTAGGTGCTGTTAAGATCAAGGGTGATGCATGTTTTTGGTTGTGGGTTGAAAAAGAAAAGAACCCTGAGTCCCAAAAGCGACAATGGAAGCCAATAGGGTTCATGGCTGGTCATGTTGATGATTTCCATAGAGCGGGAGATAGAACAAATGAAAGATGGAATGAAATCAGAAGGAAAATAGATGCACTCTACAAATGGGGTTCGATCAAAACCAACCAGTATAGACATGCTGGCACAGATCTTTCGATGCACTCTGATTCTGTCTATGGACGAACCTTGGTGGTGGATCAGCAATACTACATCGAGACCCTGCAAGATGTTCAGATAGATCCTCAGCGTTTCTCTCAAGGTCATCTGGAAATGACGGCCAAAGAGGTCACTGAGTGCAGAGCGTCTTTAGGTGCAGTTCAGTGGGTGGCAGTTCAAACTCAGCCTTTAGCTTGCGCTCGCTGCAATCTTTTACTGACTGAACTCACTACTGATCCGAAGATGAGTGTAGCACAAGAAATCCAAGAAATCATTCGTGAGCTTCGAAAATCTGCGACTGTTCTCAAATTTTTTAAACTGCCTGGTGTGAGTAGTTGGTTTGATTTAGTCGTAGTAGGCTTGGGCGATCAAGCACATTTAAATCGTCCCAAATGTGGCTCAACGGGTGGCATGCTCATTTTCTTGTGCGGCCCAGCCATTTGCAGAGGTGCACCAAATCCAATGATTCTGGTCCATTGGAAGTCGTGGAAATTAAAGCGCAAATCCATTGGAACCAATGATGCTGAAGTGCAAGCTTTGGTAGAAACCGAGGACTCTCTTTTTAGGACTCGTTTGTTGTGGGCTGAGATGAATGGTGCTGGAGCCCATGACACTTCACGAAACCTTTTAGAAGCCTCGCTGGACGAAGTCCAAAATGTACCTGGTTTGCTAGGAACAGATAGCAAGGGTGGTTATGATAGCATCATAGTGAATGAGTCACCTCTCCTCGGATTGTCAAACACCCGTGCTGCCTTGCAAGCGTTTCAACTGAAAGAGTCACTCCCACGTTGTGCGACTAAACTCATTTGGTTAGCCTCTGATTGGAACTTGTCTGATGCCCTGACAAAGAAGAAACGGGAGTGCCGAGAGTCCTTGGAATTTTTCTTGAAGAGCCGAGTGTGGATGTTGCGATTTGATCCACAATTCATAAGATCTGCTCGTAAGGAAAGACAGATCAAAGGGAGCCCGCAAAAGCAACTCAGTACAGAGGTTGACGGTGTCTTGAACTCACAAGAATTTTGGGGTTATGCAGTTCATCAATTTCCTTCATACATGTAACCTGAGTTCAATACACCTGATGCCATATCTTGCTCAGGGGCCCCTTGAAGCCATTTGCATGGCCCGGAAAAGGCTGTGAGCGGCCTCATGTTTCCTTGCGTGTGAGCACGCAATCGGTGGTGACTTGGTTGGGAACGATACAGAGAAGATTAGCATTCCCCAGCTTGACACTGCACAAATCGAGAAGTATATCGTATCTACGGTTTAGATCCTATCAACAGATATCAGCTACCTGCAGTATCCCAATAGCTGGATGGTTTATAAGGGAAGATCCTTTTAAAATGGATGGCTCATCCCCATTTATGGAAACCCCCACATATCAATGGCCATTCCAGGAACCTAAATTGGAGGTACCTACCATATATAAGGCCTATGTAAGGGAATATTCCCCCAAAATATGGCCTTATATGGTACAGTACCTCCATTTTAGGATCCTGAAATTCCCATTGAACATAATTTGTAGACTTGTTTTGTGCTGCTATGACCTGCAATATGGCACATCCTCCAACTTTTGACCACCAAGCATTTTTACGGGTCCTGTTCACTGATGTGGTGGTGTTCCAAGTGCACGTGCCAGGCATGTAGCACCTGCAACTCACCAAAATACCCAGGAGAGAAGGGGAAATCTTGAGCAAATGTACACATATACAGACCTACATCTACGTCTACATCTATACTCCATATAAATATAAATGTATTTAGTACATATGTGTGTCATCTTATATGTATACAGAATATGATATATATATATACATATAGAGAGAGAGAGATTCACATACATAAGTCTAAGTCTACGTGGAAAATATGCTAAGCAACATTTGTGTACATTTATAAACATATGGGAATTGGATTTCCTGACCGAAAAGAAGGGGCACCGGACCGAAGGACTATCCTATCCACACTTTGATGCTAACTCTTCAATGGTAGGGCCAATTGCTTTGACCCACCGGATATTTTATGATCTGACATGACGGACATGATATGCTATGAATTGCCATGATGTGATTAAAAAAAGAAAAGCATCATATTGCGCTATATCACTGACCCTTGCGTTATGTCTGCTGTCCTCCCGGTTTCAGCACCAGTCTGACTTGTGGTCCGCACTGACTGGGGGTATATACCTCGATATTTCAGCAACTTTCATGAGACAAATGATGAAAAATACCATCAGACCTTGGGTTTTCCCAATCATTTTTCAGCCACATGAAATCAGGACGTCCTCGGTCACCGTCTTTGAACCCATCCCAAAAAAAAGGCATAATCTATATATATATATCAATCTACCAATCTACGCATGTCAAGACAGATGTAAAATATATAAAAGGCACACACGTCCAACATAGGTTGGCGTCTGAAGATTGGGTGCCCCATTCCATTGATGAGAATCATCATGTTCCCTATCATTTAATGATTGCTCCATTGCCATTTGGAGAGTAGTTTCCTTATCTTCAGACACAAATTGGATATAGCTGGTGAATGTTGGTTGTAATATATAAATATATATACCATTTATGTTTGTAATGTATATATGTTCATGAATATTCCCATCAATACGAAGGAATTGCACAGGGTCAAAATTCTGTACATCCCAAATTGAGGGCTATCAGCTATCAACAAACCCATCTTTACATAGTCATATGTAATCTTATTCATATATATATATGTTTATCCCATTACATTCCCACTAATATTCCCCTTACATTCCAATTAAATGGCACCAATATTCCTATTCCCAAAGACTTCCATTGATTCCCACATGAAATCCCATGAAATCTCATGAATTTTGGTTCTGCGCCTGGTACTTTCACCCCGGCGTAACCAAAAACAACGTAAACATCTCTCAACTCTCCCGTGAACCAGTGAGAATTGCATATCTGATACAAGTTTGTCGCCAGATTGAATATATATATATATATTATATTATATATATTATATTATATATATATTATATATATTATATTATATATATTATATTATATATATTATATTATATATATTATATTATATATATTATATTATATATATTATATTATATATATTATATTATATATATATTATATATTATATTATATATATTATATTATATATATTATATTATATATATTATATTATATATATTATATTATATAATATTATATATATTATATTATATATATATCACATCCTTCCAAGTACAGTAATCAAAAAAAAAACTTAACATATCTCAATATTTCAGCATGAAATCAGTGAGATCTCCACATGAAATGCCCATGGAAATCACGAAGAAAGCGTCACGCGGCCTGGTCCGTGGCCCAGGTTTCAGCCTTGGCAATGAGTCCCGTGGGAGGCGGCTCGTCTCCATGTGCCTGACACGCAAAGTAGATCTGATATAATAGATATATGTGAGATATATATATATGATATGTATATATATATGGTAATATCATTTAAATATATATATATATATCATATAATATATATATATACCTTGTCGTAAAAATATGATTCGCCAGGCGAGATTCGCATGAGATTCACATGTTGGAAACTAAGTTGACTCTGAGAAATTACCATCTGGTTATGACTAACAGTTCGCCATGGAAAATCACCATCTATTTCGATTAGGGCCATCTATACCATGGCTATGTTAAATAACCAGAGGGCACCATAAAAATCAACAAAATACAATCTAATCTAATACAGTTTTATCATATTTTATATGCATAATAGCTGAACTGCTCCACGATGTTTCACTTCAATTTGGACCAGTTGTGTCTCGCAACTCGCTCCTCTGCCTCAGGCTCTTCCATCTCCTGGCGAAGTCTGTAAGCTTAATGGCTGTTGGTGTCCCAAAGCAACACACAACTGGTGTTTCCATGGCTAAAAAGATGGAACAAAACGTTGCTCCGAAAAAAGCTAGTTGGGGCACTGTGGGTCACTGTTGGTCACTGTGAAGCAATGGTGAGGTGCTTTTCACATGGTACAATTAAGTCGACTCAGCCAGGTTCAAATAGCAGCAGCAAATGGAAACCTTGTAGTTTAAGGCTGATACCGAGGGCTATACACGCATTCTTTAAATCGCGCCGCATGGTGGGAATTTTCATGAATATCGAATGCGGTCAAATCCAACTTCGAAATCGAGATTAGCTCTTAGCACTTCCACTTCGAAATCTCAGTACACAAATCGGCACAAAATCTGCACGGCAGCAACTCTGCAGATCTGCACGGCTCCTGTTCTAAGATCGTTTCGATGGTCTTCTTGCAATCACCATAGTCCCAAGCCACACTCACTGCAACTGGTTCGTGGCCCGTTGCCGCAGTGACGGCCGTCTTGACTTTTTCCTGAGCGAATAAAGTGGTTTTTTTGTACCACATAAAAACAGGTGCTAGTCAAAATTTTCTTTCATCAATAAAGACACTTGATCTTTATATCTGTATAATTCTTTATATCATTTTCTAACTGTCTATCCTTTTATTTAAAGTATACGTGTGCAACCCGGGCTGACCCCGACCTCCACCTGTTGCGCCCCGGGAAGTGGGGGAAGACCTTCCAGCTTCGCCGCAAAGCTGGCCATGGTCGCCTGCCGCAAGGTTTCAATGGGGGATCCCCAATCGCTGGATGATGGAATTCATGGAAAACTCTATGAATATTATATGGAGTGTGTCAAAACCTTGTACCCCTTTTTTGTTCACATCAAAATTTAGCTGGGATTTATGGATGTGAATAACCCACTAAAAATGGTATGTATAGGTATTGATCCATACCCATATCATATGGATGGAAAAGGTATGAAAACATGCTGTAGAGTGCTGAGTAGACCAGTGCCCGGATCGATTAAGTATAAGTATCTATAAGACTGTATAAGTAATATATGGCAGTGTGTCAAAACCTGGAAAACCCCTTTTTTGTTCACATCAAAATTTAGCTGGGATTTATGGATGTTCATCCCACTAACAAATGGTATGTATAGCTATTGATCCATAGCCATATCATATGGATGGATTGGATGGGTTAGGGGATACCCCCATTTTTGGAAACCTCCATATGACTCTCCAAGTAGCCATATTTTTTGATGGTGCTTTAAATGATAGGGAGACTGTACCAGCTCACCATGAAAAATCCGTTGGGATGTCCCAGCTCGGCAATTGGTTACCGGAGGGTATCTCCATGGATATCTCATGATATCTCTGAAAAAAATGGAGCAAAGAAAACGGCGCAAGTTTCATTGGACACACCAAAAAACACATCCAATCAAAAAACCAATCTCCAAGGGGACTTGATGACTTGATGACTTGTTGCTCCCGTCCCGTCTTGTTTCATGATGGCCGTCATGACCAGTCGACCAGTCGACCAGTCCCGATGCCAGTCCCCCCCTTCAGGGGAACCTCTTGTAGGTTTGCCCTCACAAAAAGTTTGGTCTGCTGCACCGCATAGAAGATGGCTCCAGCGAAGGAGAAAACATAGGCAAAGCAAAGCCAAGACACCTGCGCCGGATCTGGATCACTGGAAATCCAAACCCTGAATCGATTCAAGACATTGGCCAAAAGTCCATGGTTGTCAACAACAACCAAAAAGATGACTCCAACACGGGGAAAATGAATGAAAATGATGATCATGTTCAACTTGGAAATTCATCCCACGAATCATCATAACTGCTTAGCAAATGTTAGTAACCATAGTGACCAGCAAAAAAAGTAAGTCCCCTTACTAAATGGCTTATCCCACATATTTTCATGGCGAAAAAAGTATGGAAAGTCTCTGCGCAGAAACGCGAGTCCTGGGATGATCCTCCACTGATCTTTGAGAAAGAATTCGCGACTCAGTAGCTGACACAATCCATCATACCCGAAATGGTAAACATACAAAAAACTATAGAAAATAACCATCTAACTTTCATAGAGGCAAATTCCTACTATTTCTAAATTGGCCATGTTCAATAGCAAACTGTAAACGTTTACCGGAGGCTAATTCAGGAGCTGGGTGTCCCCAGCTCCAAATCAGTTCGGATTCTGTTATGTCAAATCAGAGGGTCATCCCAGCACCTGTGTAGTAAATACCCTCTGGTTATTTAACATAGCCATGGAAAATCCCTTCTAAATGGAGGTTTTAATGGGAAGATCATCTATAAATGGACCATTTTCCATGGCTATGTTAAATTACCAGAGGGTATCCTCCAACTTGGGATTCCAAAATGATCAAATCTAAGACTCAACCAGGGTTTCTAGGTATCAAATCTTAAATATGTGTGTGGGGATTCAATCGCGCAAGCTCACTGACAAACTCATGGCTATCCAACTCACCAGTTCAATGATCAACTGTAAACTCTGTAGATTACAGTACAGACTCATTTACTAACTTTAATTCTAAGCTTACTGATTCACCGTGCACGTGCGGCTTCACTTAGCAGCTCCACATGACATACCTCCGGCCGTTGAGGTGCAGGCTGCAGTTGTCCCTTTGGCCAGGATGACTATCGAGTTTTGATGACGGCCACTAGCGGAAAACAAACTTTATGGCCAAAACACAGACAAATGAAAGCTGGATATATATATATATATATGTATATATACATATATATATATTATATATATATATATGATCAATTGATATAAATTCATATAAATCACTATGATCTCAGCAGTTCCAAGCAAGTGGAGTACAGCTTCAGTGGTCCAAAATGGTGGTAATTGTTTTGTGTATTCGATGCGCTGCCGCAGCGATGGAAACCTGGCATCTATCCTTGTCTTGGATCTCGGATCATTCCATCATGCATTGATGCACAAAAAATTCTCATAGAATCCCTGGATCATGATGGATCATGATTCCAGAAAACATCTGAAAAACCACTCATTTTTTCACTCTTGGATTACTGAAAAGTGAATCAATTTCAAAATCACCAGCCATGAAAAGTCACTCTATCAATACCGTTTCACGAAAAAACTGACTGACTTGCTCCAGTCCCAAACAAGTTAAAGACATGGCAAACCGTTTTTGGACTTTGCAAAAGTTTAGAAAAAACTTCCACCCCACTTCCACCCCACTTCCACCCCGGCCGCGCAAAAGGCACCTTGGTCCAGATCAAGTCCATCTGTCTGTGATGGCCCCATTCGATGATGGCACACAACATCTGTGGTGACTCTGCTGCGCGATTCCCTGCCCCCACAACGTGGTGGTTGTTCGGCGTTGAAAAGGGCTCCGGTCAGCTGAAAAAAAACAAAACATTGGTTCACCGCCATTTATGGTCATTTATAGGTCATTCATAGGCGATAAACCACCATAAATAGGTTTTATATAGTTTCTATACCCATAGGATCCATGGTGCTGCTATATATGGTAACATGGATCCCATCAATATACATCAATATACCCCAGTCATGTTAGCATATATACCAGCACCATGGATCCGTCATGGGATGTATATATATATAATGGTACATCTATATATAGTTAACCATATATATATAACCATATATATATAGTCATTTATATATATATATAGTCATATAGTCATTTATATATATAGTCATTTATATATATATAATATATATATATATATATTCACCACCATATATATAACCACCTTCATGGATAGTCATTTAAAAAGGCGACCGTTATCCCTGGATAGTTCCCATTCAAATCTCCGAAATCGCCGAAAATCGGATGCCTAAAATGAGAAGGTCCGAGCTCACGAAGAGGACGAAGCCAAACCACACCTGCAGGGCCCAGTCAAACTGATAGCAAGATGATACAGGCTATATAGATATAGTACAGTTTGATATAGTTTGATATATAGTATGATATCTATAGTATGATATACTGATAACTATATGATATAGATTCTAGATATAGATTGATATAAATATAGTATAGATACAGGCTATATAGGCTATAGTTATAGTATGATATAGATATGGTATGATAATAGATATAGTATGATTCATGATATAGTAATTCGATGTAATGCGCATGTTACAGCAAGCAATCCAACATGTTAAGATATAGTATAGATATAGAATGATATAGATATGGTAGCAGCATGACTAGTACATACTAGTACAATAGTGTTTTTGCAAGAAAAAAAGATGTAGGCAGAACAAAAGGCTAGCCCCAAGACAGGAGTCCAAATCATCCCATGCTTCGACGAGATGCCAACAACAGAGTGCTTGCCCAAACCAGGAGGGCGAATTGATATCCTGAGGCATAACAGCCACGGCAGCTGTAAAAGGCAAACAGCCACCAGATGATTTTGGAGATTTCGCTGACAAAGTCTTCGATGAACTCAAGTGATAGGTTTTATCTATATCAACAATAATTCCAGAGAACATTCCACATATCCCACCAAAAATCGTCCAAAATCCACCCGCAAACATACCTCGGCCGATAAAAAGAAACGAAAAAAAAGGGAAAAACCGCCCCCAGTCGCCGGACGACATCCCAAGGCTCGGAAGAGTGCTGTGGTGCCGGGTCCGGCGACGTTGCACTGCAGCAGATTTGTACTTAGAGGATACCTCGAAACATCTCTAAAGCCACCCAGCTGAGCTTCCCTGCATCATGATCATCATGCCATGCCATGCTGGCGCTGCTTAGTTCTGTCTGATGATTTCTGTTTGATGTGTGTTTGATCTATGACTTCTATGGCGTTCTAGATTCTAAGATGGGTGAACTTGGGTGAGGGGGTTGGGATCAAGTGATATCAACTGAGCTGCACATTGCCCGTGCTTCCTTCCGTCAGCCGCATGCGATCACGACATTCAAAGCCATAAGCCACGCCTGGGCGGGGTGGGGCGAACGGGGTCGCTGGAAAGGCCACATTTAAAATCTCAACGACTTGGAAAGAAATGGATTTTGGTGATAGTCTCCATCTGCACGGTCCCAGGTGTAGCTTGCTGATTGCCACAGGATGATTTCTGGCACCTTCGGGGTTCACGCAAGGCTTTGAAGCCACTCGGACGTACCAAACAATCACCAGGATGACAGCCACCACTGCCACAACCTCATGCAAGAACTCATCAGTACTGGCCAGACAAGAACCACAATTCTCGGGGTTTCCCACCCTTTTCGGGGGCTATCAAACCTTTTCCAATGATGAATCACTCCAACTGAACCACCAACTGACTGGATGGATTTATATGGATTTATGGGTTCTCTAAGCACTGAAAAAGAGTCGAGGCAAAGAGGTGGATCAAACTGGCTCTTTTACATGTGCCACACATTGCCACAGGCACTCCATGTAACTCACAAGTTCTTGAGAATTTGCTCTGCTTCAAGCATCTATGAGTGCTGCGAAAACAAGCCCGGGCGGGGAGTCAATTGAACGAGAGCCAAGTAGCAGCTACTGCAATGTAACATGAGCAATGTTCATTATGTTATGGGGGGTCCTAAAATCAGGGGTACTGCTCAATTATCCAGTGTAATTGGATTTTCCACTATAACTCCCTTATAACCCATCCATTTTCGGGATCCCCCATATTAGTATCATAGTGCATGGATATGTTCATGGCATAACACCAATTTGGACACCTACTTTTGTTCAAGGGCCGAGCAGCAGCCGTGCCCACAAAGAATCCTAAGCCCTGCATCTCACATTCACCCTCCTCAGTCAAAGAATAGCCCGGCATACCTCGGAATCGATATCGATGGATATCGATGCCCGCTTCCCAGAAAAAACCATGTCTTCGCTCCCATCTCAGGAGCCGCATCTCCGTTCAAACATGAATTTCCGTGTCAATATGTATCAATTACAATAATTGCATTCGCCATGTGCAATCTGCATCTCCTTAAAACCCTGGCAGTGCGATCCAGTTGCATTGTCGGCAATGCTCCAGCTTCTCCCCTTTCTGCCCGGGGGCTGCAGGTACACAATGCAAGCAACCCTCCACGTTGCAGTGGCGACATACCATCAACCTGCGAGGCTTGTGGTACTCTTCACCGCTTGGGGTTCACCACAGTATTGGTTCTGGGTGGCTTTGGATTTCATGTGAGATCGCTGCTGTCACGTTGGATGATTCAAGATGATTCAGTGAGAGAGCGCTGCGAAACTCAGGAATGTCAACATTATTAACACATTTCATTGCACATTTCATACACATTTCCACAGATCTCCACGAGAGACAGAAACTGTGACTGGAGGCATATGGGATCGCATATGGCGTCTCTACATTGGGCTCATTTCATCTGATCTCAAGAGGTTTCGGTCGACCATCGTCGACCCACGGTCCAGGTGTGCCCTATGCCGATCACGTGTTGGGGATGGGTTTAGGCCGTGACAGTCCTCATCATCCTCATCCCTACCACAGTTGTAGCTAGTGCATCTCATCCCATTCAAAGACTTGCCTGGAAGTGGAGTTCCAGAAGTGGATGCATTGCCATATATGTCCATAGTATTCCATAGTTATTGTATATTAGGATTACATTCCAACTTATGGGGCTTCACAACCATGACTAGTTCACCCGAGTTTTCACCTATCTGTAACCTCAAAGGAGCAGGTGGTCGGACCATATCGAACCTGTCATCCGGAATGGTGGCATTCTCCACAGTGCCAAGCAAACCACACTCCTGAGTGCCCCCTTCGGCTCCAAAGGTCGGAAAGCATCAAACCCACCAGGTAGATCCAGGTCGCCAAAAAAATTGACCACGCATCCAACAGATCCAACACATCCAAGGACATAGGATTGCTACTACCCTCTGGTGAACCTACAAAAAGCAATGGAAAATGGCTATAGAAATAGTGGATTTTCCCAGCTATAAAATGGGTGGATCTTTCCATTGCTATGTTAGTTCACCAGAGGGTATATCCCATTAAATCCCATTAAATCCCATTAAACCACCATTTTCCTATATATGTCAGTTTATTTTTAAGGCTTTATTGATGCCCTGGGAGGACCTGGCCCTCGATATCGCCGCGTTCCGTGGGTCCTGCTTTTTCACACAGCGGAAGTGGCAAAACCTGGGCGCTTTGCCGCGAAATCTCCGCACCAGGCAGGGTGACGAGACTGGGATTCCTATGAAACACTGTAAAGAATGGGACAATCTATAGTGGGATTGTAAATTATATGTATAAGGGGATTTTGCCCATCTATCAATTGGTGCAGGATTTCGCAACCATAGTATGTCAACTGCCAGCTGGGTAGTGTTGGATATGAACCACCAACAAAAAAACCTCTGGTGTCCTCAAACATGGCTAGCTGCAAAATCTGCGAACTACATGGAGGTTTGTAGCTCAATCATATACAGGTTGTGGGTTTTCCATTGCCACGTTTGATTACCAGAGGGTAGTCATCCTATACGTACATGTAATATGCATCATGATATTTATATTTATATCGCTATGTATGTATGCATGTACGTAATGTGTATATAAAGCATTACAAGATTTGGAGTCGGAAGTAGCCACTTTGTCTATGGGCCGAAATCCATCTGGGAAACATTTATGAAGAAAATAAGTCTGAATCTCAAAGGCTAGTCTTGGCAGCTACCTGATCGCACAACAGGCTTTCCTGCTTGTTCGTGCGAACAATCGGCGCCATACAGTTGGAATTCGGATCAGCTCAAAATGCTAAAAGGAAACATCAAAAGCACAACAAGATGGCACGGATTTTGGCGCGCGCTAGTCATGTGATCATGTTTTTCCAAAAAGAGCTTTACGAAGACAATCCACCCTAACCATGGATCAATCATGTTGCAAATTTACGGAAATCGGAAAAAAAAAACTTGCTGGGACATCTGGCCTCCATGAGGTGCCAGAAAGGCTTTGAGAGAGAAAGAAATTTCCCAAGTGATTGGAGTCAAAATATCGTTCAAGATAAAGATGTGCTGAAAGGGGTGTAAAAATTTTGAATGGCAAAATATCCGTCATTTGCAGTCACGGGTGGCCTCTGACGTGATTTTTCCAAAGGTTACCTGTGACTCCGACGCAAACATCAAATGCTATCTGAAAATTGGGTGATATGCCAACATTGGCATCGGCTATTCATCCAATATGTCTGTGTGTGTGTTGTTCATCAAAATTGAGGAGAAATCCACATCATGATTAGTGTAGCACGAACCGTTCGATGCTCGCAGAACACCGGGAGCTGTTCATCAAGATGCTCGTCTTTCATCTCAGCCGCATATGGGCAACCAGCTGGACACAGTTCAGGCCGGGCGAAGATGTCCTATGGCGGCTGTGTTTGATGCAAAAACAGATGGCCGGTAAAACCATGGTAAAACCATGGTAAAACCATGGTATAACGGTATAGCATGGCATAACCATGGTGAAAATGGTTGAAAAATCATCCCTTGGGAATCCTTGGTGCCATGTACCCACACTTTTGGAGCATCAGGGGGACCTGCTCTTCACATGCTAAACCTGAGAATCCACTGGTTCATCATCATAATCCCTATGAAAATGGCAATGAGTTGGAGCATGTGAGTTGCCCAATCTGAAACAAACACGCCCCAAATGCTTAGAGTCGCCAGTTGCCATGGTAGGGCCTAGGGACTGCAAGCTATCAACATGTATAAAAACCATCTGTTCGGCCAGTTGGTAATAAAAAAATCATCATCGTTTCAGAAATCATCCATCCTCCTCGCACAGGCTCGTGTCTTTGCTCTGAACCTCTTCAGGCCTCTCAAGGGATCTTCGTGGTGCGAAGGATGGAAAATGACGAAGCCACAACCGGGTCTGCAGGATTCTATCTGCTTCTTGACTGAAAAATCCATTCAAATAAAGATCAACGGGGGTTTAGCATGTTAAAAAAATGATGTGCTGGAAAAACAAGCAAAAATTGAACATACTGACTGTCAATTCGGGCAATCACTTGATTGATCACTACGTGCCAGCACTACTCTGGAACTCTTCTAACGGATCCCAATCTGGGCCACTTGACTTGTTATCCAACAGATATTCATGCTTAATTTCCCAAGAATGAAATGCTACATTGTCTTTCATTCTACTTGCCCATACCGAAGCCAATAGTTCGTATTCATTGCCCGTAAAGAGAACACGATGAAAATGATGAAAGTTAACGGCACGGCACTAGTTCAAGTGTTGTTTCGTTGTCCAACTCCGAGTTGCCAATCGGACGTGTTAGTTTCTCATTGATTTTCTGCAGTGATTTTTTGTTCATCATTCAGCATCAGAATCGACCGTTGAACCACTTGGGATAACTATGGCCTATGGGATCCTGGCCAAATTTTATCGAAGCAGCCAATTTCAGAAAGTAGTGGTGATAAATCACGGGTTCTACCGTAATTTGGGGTTACTGTATTTTTTAAAAAAACTGATGTGTTCCATCATCTTCAAATCATATCAGAGCTTTACGAGACCAAATCCGACCACAAGACTGCCTTTCTTCCGGATTGAAATCCACGAGCCCGTGAAGCCTGGCTCTGATCAGATGACAGATTGGAAAAGGCTAGTGGCAAAAAGGACGCCATGGGCCGCCCTGAAAAGTCGCTGGTTCTTGGAACGCACGACACATTGGAAGACATGAAGGGGTCACGGGTCAGTGAATAAATGAGAGAGAATGAATGAACGAACGGACGAATGAACATTCTTCTCCCAGCTACTTCCACTCCAAGCAGCCAAGTCTTCCCTGTGTAACTTCTTACTGAGCTACTTGTTCGCTGATCTGCCTCTTCTCTCTCTGACCTGCCGCTTCTCTGAGCCTCTTCTCTGAGCTGCTTCCTCTCTGGCTACCTCTGTGATTCCCACCATGTCAAACATCCTAAAACATCCTAAAACTCTCCTTCTCGCAGCACTGCAGCACTGCTTCTAAAAAAGCAACCTCCAGCAGCCCCGCATAGCATCGCATAGCATCGCATAGCATCGCATAGCCGTGTTTCAACACGTGTTTCGCCACCTCCAGCTGCAATCACCCCCGAGGCCCAACCCCGTTGCCAAAACCAGTCTCCTCAGTCTCCTCTCTGCTTAAACTCACACACAATCCCCGACTCTTACAATGATCTACTGATTATCTAATGTCTCACTGCCTGCTGACCACGTTGGTACATTTGTACTGCATGCCTGCCATGGTGTGCAAACTCTTGACAATTGTCCACAACTCGGAGGTTTGGTGACTAGACTTCCTTTGATTGCATAGCTGCATAGTACTACGAGTACCATTTTGGGGGGATATAATGGGGATAGAATGGCATACAAATGGGATATATAGACCCTGGTCGGTTAATCCTCATGGACATGTCATTTAACATATAAACAAACCACCATTTAAAGGGTGGTGAACTTCCAAAAATGCCGATATTTTTTTTCTAAATCATGGCAATTCCTATGAAAACCAAGCACCAACTGACGAGTTTGCAGAAGGTAAACTTGTTCCACGGCTCCATGTAAGGGAACTAACTGATGAACATCGGATTTAGGGGAATCAGTTGATCCCCAAAATACTGAGGATTGACTTGAGTTGATTATCAGGTCACCCAAATGCCGGGCACCCTGCTTGGAGGATCCAAAGAAAAAGAACTGCGTCTTTGGGGGGTCTGTCAACTCTGTTACCATCTAGAATCTAGAGTTATGACTAACAGTTCGCCATGGAAAATCACCATGCCATTTTCATAGGTAAACCCAGGTAAACCATCTAGTTCTATGGGCCATCTATATCATGGCGAACTGTTAGTCATAACCAGAGGGTATATCCATGTATATCCCATTAAACCACCATTAAATCACCATTAAACCACCATTAATTAAATCCCATTAAATCCCATGAAATCCCATTAAATCACCATTAAACCACCAGTAAGCCACCATTAATATCCATTAATTAAATCCCATTAAATCCCATTAAATCACCATTAAACCACCAGTAAACCACCATTAATTAAATCCCATTAAATCCCATGAAATCCCATTAAACCACCAGTAAACCACCATTAATTAAATCCCATTAAATCCCATGAAATCCCATTAAATCACCATTAAACCACCAGTAAACCACCATTAATTAAATCCCATGAAATCCCATGAAATCCCATTAAATCACCATTAAACCACCAGTAAACCACCATTAATATCCATTAATTAAATCCCATTAAATCCCATTAAATCACCATTAAACCACCAGTAAACCACCATTAATATCCATTAATTAAATCCCATGAAATCCCATTAAATCACCATTAAACCACCAGTAAACCACCATTAAATCACCATTGAATCACCGTTAGTCATAACCAGAGGCTGAACATCCTGGGATTCCCTGGAATGATCCGCCTAGGACCGTGCAGGAACTCCTGGGGAAGCCACGACTTTGGAAGAAAAAGATGCCAAATTTGTGGTCCAACTGGCTATGGATCAATACCTATAGATACAGTTTATCAGGGGATGAACATCCATTTACCAGCTATTTTGATGTTCACCTTGGCCCATCCCCAACTGAAGAATTTTGACCTTTTCAATGGCCATTCATTGCAGGATCCGATTGATTGGAGGTACATGGACCATACATAAGGCCTATTTTTGAGGCCTATGTAAGGGAATATCCCCAGAAATTTTGGCCTTATATGGTACAGTACCTCCATTTTAGGATCCTGACATTCCCATTGATCTTTGTTGTAAGTCAGAAACGGATCGCTGAATATCGCTTCAAAGTCATTGTTTGAAAGCACATGTTCAGCCTCTTCACCCTGTTCCTCATATGAATCAGTACGAATCTGGCTGTCTCAGATGTGTTTGGCTCTGTCAAAAAAACTCTGCAGCTCGGTTCCTCGGAAGACACCAAAGTTGTGGCAGCCTTCTGCTGCAACAAACTTCTCTCACGCTCTGCTTGTCCTGACGGAAAGCCAAGAAACATGGAGATACCTGAGATACGAAGGAGGCACGTAAGCCAAGACCTACCAAGACCTACCTAGACTCCTAGACCTACCTTGATGACGCGATTTTTTTCTGTGCGGCCATCAAGTCTCAAGGTCGCCAAGCGACTGATGGCCTTTATCATGCTGTGATGTTAAAAAACCCGGATGCATTGACAAGAAGTGGCTGGGAGGAACCCTGAAATTCTGGATGTAGTTCAGTAGGTTAAAATGACCATCCGCAGTGTCAAATGTTCACTTAAGGACTGGATGACTGGATCAAGAGCGGATGCCCCCAATGACCCCTTTGAGTCAACTTTCTCGAACAGGCTGACGATAAATGTGTTCTTAACTCAATGTGTTCTTTCTCATTCTTCATCAACTGCGAAAACTGGAACCATACAACTTTCAACTACAGCAATGATTGATCATATGTATGTAATAATATAATTATATACTTAACCACTACGAATCATCATTAACCATTACTAACCACTACTCACCATGATTAACCACTATTAACTTCTTTTAATATCTCGTTTCACACATCCCTTATTTCAAAAATTCCAGAAACGTCGACTCCCCGGAAAGACGCCTGGCTCGCAAGTTTCACGCGCAGCTCCTTGGCCTTTTGGCCGTTCAGAAAAAATGTTTCCCCACAGCTGTAGGCCATAATCAAATTGGGATTTTATGGTGGTTTAATAGGATTTTATGGAATTTAGTTGGGACTTTATGGTGGTTTAATGGGATTTAATGGGACTTACCCTCTGGTAAACATACAAAAAACCATGGAAAATCACCATTTTCAATGGGTAAATCCACTATTTCTATGGACCATTTTCAATAGCAAACTGTTAAATTACCAGATGGTATATATTGTGTCTGTAGTTGTGGGATTGCCTAATGTTTGCACAAAACATAAAATCCCAAAAAACCTGCAAAAAGGCCAAGAAGGATCAATAAGGCCATGTGGGTCTGAAAATTGGGTATGGTATTCCAAGTACATCCTCATTATAGCCCCCATAGCCCCATTATATGGGGATGGGTCAAAACCTTGTACCCCTAGTGAACCCCAAAATAGCTGGGATTTATGGATGTTCATCCCACTAAAAATGGTATCTATAGGTATTGACCCATACCATCCCATACCCATATCGAAATTATCGAATGATTCTGTTCCATTCTGTCCCGCAAACTACCCATCTCGTTAACTCAGCACGGTCGTCATTGAAATCCGCCCAGTGGCCAAAGCTGAGGAAGACCTGGACATTGCGGCAATTTTGGGGGGTGTCAAATGGATTCAAATGGGGGATTCACCGGGATTGCCCAAGAGTTATGGCTCTCTCAATGGGAAAAAAGTGGAACTTTACGTGGAAAAATATGGAAAAATGATACAAAGAGCATGAAATGTTGGGGTACCATGGCATCCTTTATTTTCAGACCAAGCCAAATGTGTGTGTCAGCAGTGGTGAAACCGTGAAACACCACCGCTGGTTTTGGGTGTTCCAAGATCCAACTTCACCTTCTCGGATGCCCAACCACCTATAGGAAATACAGAAGGCGTCATTTCAGACCATGTGTAGGAAAATCATCTTAGGTAAGAATGGCATTTACAGATGTTTGTTGAATCTACTGAAGAATCTTAACAGCCAAAAGTGGATGGATCAAGTGGGTGCCCTGCAGACTTGACCCTGAATCCCTGTGGAACGGATGGAAGGCCGGAGACAAAGCCCAAAAGCTTTGTACACCACCTCACCCGCCCAAAAACCCACTGCCATCAAGTCCAAGTCACTGCAAAGCTGGTCAGGAACATCATTCTCATAGAAACAAGTTGCCACTGCACCAGATGTGCACGCGGTATGGGATGGTAAGATACACAGGAGCTGCAGTGAGCTGCGGCGAAGGCAAGGTTTTTGGTGAGAGTTTCAATCAATGAAGGCATCCGAATTTTTGTCGAGATATACAAACCAAACGTTGTTCATTGATCTTTACAAACCATACCCCATAGGATCCATGTATGCCATATATGGTAACATTTACCATCAATATACCCCCAATGTTAGCATATATACCATACATGGATCCTATGGATACTGTAACCATGTAATTCAATTCTACTTAGCGCTTCCACCCTGCTCTCTCTCTCTCTCTCTTTCTCTTTTGTTGGGCCCCGATAGAAGGTCAGTTCATGAGTTGACCTTTGTTGAACATCGGCGACTGCGATGACAGCCCCTGGTACCTCGAGTAGCTACAGATTTTAATAGAAAAAGATCAGGGAAATATCCAAATCACACACTAGAAGTCACTGGATTTTCAGTAAGATTGATTGGATCTTAATAGTAATCTATATGGATTTCGATTCCAAATCTGGGTTTCCATTTCCAAATCACACAAAATCTGAACTGCTTCCGACCTTCCGCTTCTTCCACGGCTTCCTGACAGGGCAGTTGTCCGGAGTCAAAGGCTCGGCATGTCCCTTGTCATCCTGTAATATTCATATGCACATTTGGATATACATAATATATATACTCCGGGTTGAAAATGGATGGCGCGGATTCTTGAAATGCGCCATCTATAGACCACTTGAGGGATGGGGTGTTTTGCGCCATCTATAGGTTCCCGACACACGTTGTTGAAAACAACCTGTTTTCCTCTAGGTTAGTTTAAACTTAGTATTAAGATCTGGGGTTTATTTTTTTTGGAAAACCATAATTGTGGATTGCGCCATCTATAGGTTCCCAAAGGAGGAGGGAAAGGAGAAAGGAGAAAGGAGAGGGAGAAAGGGAAAAGAGAAAGGAGAAAGGAAAAAAGGAAAGGAAAAGGGAAATGGAAAGGATAAAGGAGAAAGGAGAAAGGAGAAAGGGAAAGGGAAAGGGGAAAGGAGAAAGGGAAAAGGGAAAAGGGGAAAGAATCCAAAGAAAAAGAAAGCAATCGCTATTTACCAAAAATAGCGATGCTATTCGGGGTCGCGCCATCTGCCAAAAATAGCGATTTTACGGCCAGGCTGCGCCATCTACCGTCGGTATTTTTTTTTGTTTGCGCCATCTACTTTCACAATGGTGTATATACATACATACATTACATTACATTACAGTACAGTACAGTACATTGCATTACATTACATTACATTACAGTACAGTACATTGCATTACATTACATTACATTACATTACATACATACATAGATACATACATACATACATTACATTACATTACATTACATTACATTACATTACATTACATTACATTACATTACATTACATTACATACATACATTACATACATTACATACATTACATACATTACATACATTACATACATACATAAATACATACATTACATTACATTACATTACATTACATTACATTACATTACATTACATTACATTACATTACATACATACATCCATCCATCCATCCATCCATCCATGCATACATACATACATACATACATATATTTTATATTTATATATGGTGTCAACATAAACATATGTGTAAGTATATATGCTTATGTAAATATGTATATATATATTGCGTGTGTATGCTAAGCTGGCCGCGACGGTGCATGCCATCGATGCCTTGCAGGCCGCGACTTTTGCACGGATCTCTGCCATGACCTTCGCCGCGGATCACACCGGGGCTTTGCTTTCGGGATCTTCAGATCTCCAAAAAAAAGAACATGAAATCTGCTCAGATGTTCATCACTTTCAGTAAAAATGCTCAGAAATCCCAGGTCCCAGAAAAAATCTGCAGTCTTTTTCTGGTGTTTTGAAAAAGATGCCGAAAAGTTGCCGATCCGAAAATCGATTTTTCGATCGACTCAGGGAATCGGAAAACCACCGTCTCCGGCCTCCTCGATATCACGAGTCTCCAGAAGCGTTTGGACCTTGCGCCAAAGAAAAGTGGCTGAAAGCCACTAATATTGTCATGAACTATGTTACTTGTGAAAAAAGGATTCCTAGTTAATGATGATCATCCCCAATACATATACATATACATATACATATATATATATATATAAGTAAAAAATGAATCAGTAAATATCCACCAAACTGATCATCAACCACCAGGGGTAGATCGCAGCCACTGTTCACTTGGAGGCTGGGAGGCTTGAAAAAAGATGGCTTGCAATGACATCTATGATGTATGACTTGCAGTGACCAAAAGCAACAGAAACCACCAAGAGACAATAATCTCATATATGTGTGTACATATAGTGTAATGAAATATGCTATTACATCTGAGTCCCATATGTGTGTATATATATATATATATAGTGTAATGAAATATGCTATTACATCTGTCTATACACTATACAGTAATATGTTGAAATTCAACATCATCGGCAATGCCGCCCCACCACAGAAAGGAAGAATACACATAGCCACATTCACTGAAGGTGCTAGAAGCTAGCAGTATGGTTCATTGGATTGGTTTTGTTGGGAAATCTACAGGAAAACTCCATACTTACTGGTAAAATCCATGGTTTCCGATTAGGATTTTCCTGAAACCAATCCAATGAATGGTAGAAGCCACCACATAATTCACTGCCCTGAGGCCCTGTGCCTTCATGCGGAGGCTCACCGTTTTTTCCTTCGGAGCCTTCTTGGGTTTTTCCTGGCGTCAACATTCTCGCGTCAACATTGAGTGACATATAGATGGGAATGGGTCCAAACTTGTAGCCCTGTAGTTCACATCAGCGATTTATGGATGTTCATCCCCTTAAAAATGCTATTTATAGGTACTGATCCATAGCCATATCTTAGAAATTCTTCAAATCTATGGTTTACATTATTGGCTCATGTGAATAATGTGACTAATGACCATCTGTGAGGCTATCAGTGGGATCGGAACACAGCCCAAAACGCTTCCCAAAAAGACGGGTCCACCAAGTCCACCGAATAGGACAGGCGCCGGACAAAACGGCAGACTGAATCCAAGTTGGCTGTTATAGTTGGAAAATAGTTGGAAAATAGTTGGAAAACCATGGAAGACATGGGAAAACATTGGAAACCTATCAAGTAAACATTCAAAAACAATCAAAAACCTGTACATAGTTCTTCCTTTGGACCAAGAGATTTCAGAGGAATTCCACCGAGGAAAAACCGCTGGCTACATCTATATCAACCCGAGTCTCGTAGAAGATCAAAACCCAGAGCCATGGAAGTTCCAGGAATACTTGGAAGGGCACTTCCAGTTGTGGATAAATTTCACCATAGTTATAGGCTATTAGGGGTTGTATCCCAATTTATCGGGGGTTACCATGGTTACCCTCTGGTAAACGTTTACAGTTTGCTATTGAAAATGGCCATAGAAATAGTTGATTTACCAATGAATAGCATGGTGATTTTCCATAGTTTCTTGTATGTTTAACAGAAAGTAAATCCCATTAAATCCCATAAAATCCCATCAAACCACAATAAAATCCCATTAAACCACCATAAAACCCCATTAAATCCCATGAAACCACCATTAAATCCCATTAAATCCCATTAAATCCCATTAAATCCCATTAAACCACAATTAAATCCCATTAAATCCCATTAAATACCCTCAACTTTACCCCCAAGTATCTCACACTTCGCGGAAATTGCTAAGCACCTGGGCTTCATCGCCTTCAGCCTGACAGTCAAAGTCACATGGTAGAGCTGTACCAAGCATGTACATATATATATATACAATTACATATATACTTTACATATATATATATATACACATTAAGACACTATATATATATACATGAAAACACAGTGTGTATATATAATTATATATGCATATCGCATCACAACATTGCTGGATTCCTTGCCACACTGTTAAAGAAACATTGCAGCGTTTGCCACCTTGTTCTCAGGGGACGTCGTCACCGGCAATAAGATTTCCAAAAAAGAGTCTTTAGTTTAGAGCAGTTGATTGCATGACTTTTATAAATACATATGTATATATGTATATGTATATATATATATATGTATATATATATATTATTAAATATGTGTATATATATATTATTATTATTATGTATATATATTATTATTATTATTATTATTATATATATATATATTATTATTATGTATATATATATATGTATATATATATAAATATATATTATATATTATTTTATATTATTATACATATATTATAATTTTACAGGCTCTTTAGCGGGAACCTACCTAGGCACTTTTCTGCACAGAACCCTTTTGTGCAAACTGCCTTTTGGAAGAGTAAGCCTAACCCTTAGTCGAGGATTTTTTAGGATCGCAAAGTTGTTTTACGAAACGTACTTTGTTGACACGAAAATCAAATATTTTAAAAGGAAACTCTCCTCTGAAGAAGTCTTGCCCCTAGGGCCAGCCAGCACGCTCGAAATCCTTGTTTCTGGAGATGACTTTGCGCTAGCAACGTCTCTTAAAATGATCTTAGTCCCAAAAAACTTACTTTTCAAGGTCACCCAAAACGCGCATATAAACATGGAACACTTCTAGAATGCAGAAACATGGAATACTTGAATACTTGGTCTTGATCGCTCCTCATGGGCTCTCAGGCATGGAAAAAATGAGCACTTGAGCAGTGGCTGCTAAACTTCTTGCATGTCGTCCCTTGATACTGGAAGGTTCTTCCAGGATTTCCATGGCTTTCTCACAATGGATCTTGATAATCCATGATAATCCCCAATATTGTGGGATAGTGGGCAGTGAAACCCCCGGACCTTCTTGAACCACACGTGCCATGATCAAAGTGGTCAAAGCACAAACACCTCTAATCGGAGTGGTCACTGGTCACGCAATGCTTCCTGGAGTTCTTCTTTACTTTGGCTTGCTAAAATAATCGGAGTGGTCACTGGTCACGCAATGCTTCCTGGAGTTCTTCTTTACTTTGGCTTGCTAAAATCTAACTCGTTTCCTCAGCTCATCCACTTGATTAAAGTGATTCGCCTTAACAGCAAAGGTCCACAGTTTTCCCTGTCAAAATCACCCCAGCGCCCAAGGTTTACCTTGGCTTTGGCTTTGGCTTTTGCCTTGGCCTTACCTTTTGCTTTTGCCTTAGCCTCCGGCTGCAGAAATTTGGAGCCGCCCTTCGCAATCCCATGCTCACACAAGTCGCAAGTCCTATTCTGAATCTCTGGGTTCGCTCCATTTGAAACTATAAAATTCGATGATCACACAAGTTGCTATGTCCATTGTTGTTGTTTTTGCTGTTGCAAATGGACAGAGCCTTTCCGAGAAGAACCAGATGATGATGCTGGCAGTCTGGGTACGGTATATCTGGGTTTGAACTGGGGGCTGTTGGTTGGGGTGCCAACTTCTTTGATCCAGCAACCCTTTCCCATGTCAAATCTGCTAGAAAGATTGAAAGACTAACCATTGATCGATTGGAGGTTTCAGGATCTGTGCTCCTTGATCTCCTTGCTGTCCTGCCACTGTCCATTAAAACACGGATTCATCCGAAATCCCCAGAAACATCGAAACATCCTGCTGAAGCATCTAAATAAAATCTAAATACTACCTGTCACATCCTTTCACAGCATCATATGGAGGTTTCCTAAAATGGGGATACCCACAAATCAATCCAAATCATCCCCATGAAAAAATTGGACTTTCCATGAATTCAACCATCCAGCTAGTGGGGTACCCCCATTCATGGAAACCCCCATATGGATGCACCCTCTGGTTATTTAACATAGCCATGGAAAATGGCCCATAGAAATAGATGATTTTCCCAGCTAGAAACCCTCCATTTATAAGGAATTTTCCATGGCTATGTAACATACCCAGATGGTAAGTCCAAATTGGGTACCCCAAACATTCCGAAAATCGCTGGTCCTAGTGGCCTTGGAAGCTGCCTTCGCCTTGCCTTTGGCTTTGGCCTGGCACGTCCATGCTGCTGTTCCTGTTCCCGAAACGACAGCCTGAACCAGTGGGAAAACCATCAGGAAACTGTTAAAGAAAGCACTGAAATTTGGGTATGGATCAATACCTATTAATACCATTTTTAGTGGGATGAACATCCATTTACCAGCTATTTTGATGTGAACTACAGGGGTACAAGGTTTTGACACACTGCCATTTCACTTTGGCGCCATAATTCTGCGCCATTGGAATGTCATGAATTGATAAAAAGCGTTGCGCATTGCGGCAATAAATTCAGAGCTGAAACCAGTGAGGCAATTTCAGGCATACAAGGTGGTGGTGGGTGGTGGGAACAACTCGAGCAACACAGCAGTTTGTTTCCGTAACAAGCTCTGGCTATGCCACATCCGATGACGAGATCGATCAACCATATCAAATCTACTGGTTTGAGAGAGAATTATTGCACATTAGAAATTCTCGCAGGAAGTTTACAAGTCAAACTTCCGACTTACCCGCCATACAGAATCATCACCATGTCCGAAGTCAAAAAGACGAGCATTTCACAAAACGAGACTTTCGACCCTTTCATTACGTCGTCCAAGTTCACCAAACACTGCGCCTGCCACACAAAATGACCTCCAAAACCACCTCTCATGTTGGCCCACTCCTGCCAACGAAAGTGCCACGCCTGCCATGCGGATGAAAACGTGCCGGATGTCCTGCACCCATCACGCCAAACTATGTTTTAGATCTCAAAATGTCCCGGATGTCCCACGCCTGCCACACGAAATGGACATAGCTCAAAAAACGAGCACGGCGCGCTAGTTTTATACGATACCTTCGGAAAGGGAAAAACTTAGGCCGACATCTTGTAAGAGCCTGCGCAGTCGGAATGCACGAGAATTTACAGCAAAAATGCCGCGCCCCAGAGACCTTACCCATGATCTAATCCCGGCCTTTACTCTTGCCGTAAGAACCCTTCAGTCTGGACACACTGTTTGGGGAACAAACCGAACACACCTTAAATAGATCCTAAATACCCTAACAAAACCCTAAATAATCTTAAACCTACCCGAAATAGAGCCTATACAAAATAAACCCTACATCGCCCCTAAACCAACCACTAATAAACCCTAAGCCAGCCTTTAATAATTCCTCAAACCAACCGTAAATAAACACTAAACCAACCCTTGATAAACCTTAACCCAACCCTCCATGCCCTCCCCCCAGCTACGAAATCTGACCTTGCTGCCATGCTGGAGGTGGGTTGGGACCCCCCTTTACCCTGAAACATGTGAGCTGCGGGGTGATGGACCTCCTTGTGAATACCTGTATGGACCTCCCTCATGAATACCTGCAATGACAGAGCTGGGGGGCGGTGAACCTCCTCCCCTTCCCATCGATAGGTCTCTGGGCCTTGGCTTTTGCCTTTGCTTTTCCAGCAGCCTGAGCCGATCGGATCCAAGATTCTGAGATCCACCAATTCCCTTCCAGCATTGACATGCACTGACTGCCCACCTCCAGGAGATCCGCCGGATAGGGTACATCCTGTCTCTAACATCTGTTGGACATCCTCCGATATCCGCAGTCCAGCCTTGGCCTTTGCTTTTGCCTTTGCTGGCTTCTTCTCCTCCTCCGCCTCCTCCGGCACCGTGTCTTCCACCTAAGGGAAAGCAAAACGAGCCAATGGCTGTTGATCACTGTTGTGTTGATGGCGCTTCTCATGGTCAATTCTATGATTACATCTGCAAGACTTGGGACCTGACAAAGTACAGCCAAATGGGTCAGATCAGGTCAAATGGGTCACTAAAATGCTTCGCATAATTGGGAGTTGAAAGCTACAAGCGCACAGCTTGAGAAATGTCCCAGACCCCAAGCATGTTCCAGATGAAATGCCAATGGTAAAATGTCTAATATATTCTAATATGTGGGTAAAACAATGTCATAAACCATCCCCCAGTCATCACCATAAATATAAACTATTCCCAGTCATGGGTGGTCTGCATGACGTTGTTTTAACCCCCTTTGTTATCAAATCCCAGTGGAGATTCAGACATTGCCTGTGTCAGCAGATAGGACAAAAAAAAGGATAACAACTGATTGTTAGCAACCCCTTACAATATATATATATATATACCCTCTGGTGAACTAACATAGCAATGGAAAATCACCATGTTTAATGGGAAAATCCACTATAAATAGCCATTTTCCATTGCTATGTTAGTTCACCAGAGGGTATATATAATACCACTAAAATAGTGGCAATTACCTTTATATCTTTTTGGGGGCTTACTGTAATTACTATGTTTTTTCTCAAATATTATGATAGACTCACAACACGAGCCGCAGTCCACCCAAGTTTGCCTGCCTCCATGGTGAGCCAGATAGACCCGGAACCGGTCGCGTGCTGCAAACAAAATGGCGCTGAATGCGGAGGCATCACCATTGCAGCAATGGTGACATGGTGACATCGTCATACATCGTCATACTCGATTTGACTCGACGACTACGAAATTGGATGCTTTTCTGAGAGCTGCTCGTCCAAACAGTTGGATCTACATGGTCTAATTCGATTTCTTGAATGCTATTGGTGTCCGAAATATCAGAATATCCCTTGCTGAGGCATTGACACCTGCTCCCACGATCCTCTCAACTTTCTTCACTCTAATTCCATTCTTCCAGGCTCCACCACTATGACTTGTCTCCAAAAATCATCCAGCCTACAGCCTATCGCTACTCCGCCATTGACTGTTTCCATCTTTTTCCATCGTTGAAGCGATTTTCATTCACTGAAATCAACCCATTGAGATCGTTCCATTTGGCTGAAGGACCGAATGTGCTCAAACCATCGAGCAGTGTGAGGCGCAGGCGCGCTTCCACTCTGTAAAGGGCCAGAAAGATTTGACTTCCTCAGTTCATCCGTCTTTCCAAACGCTTTGGAATCCCAGGCATGTCAGGATTAGATGATAAGATTTTTCGGGAATGCCAGTGGCATCTAATCAAAAGCCCCTGAAGCTGTTTGGAATTGGGAATAGCCCGACGGCTAGATCTTCCCATAGGCGCTCAAGGGACACGTTTCACACCCAAAAAAACTCGCCAGCGGAAGTGCTCCAAGTGCCTAATCCAAGGTTCTGCATAGCCTCAAAGTGCTTCGCATCTTTGGCAGAAGGTGTGAACCTTGAAACAATGGCTGCTGGGAGGTGGCAGCGGCAGAAACAAAAGAAATCAAATCACCAGGGGACCAGCTTGACAACTTGAAGCAAAAATCCTCAAGGGCTCAAGGGGGTCCATGCCCATGCTTGAACGCTGATCAATTTTGGGAGTTTTATTCCTTGATAGATTCAAAAGAGCCTTTCCGACCCAACCTCCTCATGAGGCTTTACTGACTCCTCTCCCAGCTTTGTCTGAACTGTCTCTACTTCGTTCCCAACATGGTCATTGCTTCAAAGTAAATTCAAGCCGAAAAAAACAGACAAGTCAAACCAAGTGTTTCCCTGTCACTCATCAGACAATACCAGTGTCGCTTTTGGCGACTCAATTTTTGAGACGTGTTGAGTAGTCGCATAAGACAATCATCACATCATCACTTCGATGCAAGGCGGTGATAGGCGGTGTGACTGAATGATCTTTGGAAGAGCTGCCAGCCCCAACAAATTCCAACAAAACATGCACTGGATCATCCAAGCAACCCACCCAAATATGGTTGCTGCGCCAAAATCGTCTCCAAGGACTCCGCTGACTCCGCAGATGTCTTGGCTGTCTTGGCTGGCTTGACTGTCTCTGTCGTCCCCTTCGGGGTGGCTGTGCTTTTGGGCGTTGCCGAGGGCGTTGAGGTCTCGGGGGACTTCGAGGTCTCGGGGTTTGAGACCAGCTCAACAGTCACAGGTCCATCATTGCACAGCTCCACCTGAGGCAACAGACTGGGCAGGATCCCAAGTGAGGTTCTATGAGGTTCTAGTGATTTCATCCGCCACAAACAAGCGAAACAAGTACTACACTGTTACTACACTGTTACTACACTGTTACTACACTGTTACTACACTGTTACTACACTGTTGCTACACTGTTACTACACTATGAGTCTCGAAAGATCAATGCAGATAGGTCAACACATTCAGCTGTCAAGTTGTACTGCCACAAATCAAGCGATTCGTCATCCATTTCAGAGTCGTTTCCGAAGTTGTTTCCCAGGGGAGGAAGGTGAAAGAAGCTTCAAATGATCAATGGGGTCAATAGATGTCAAAAGGGAGCTAGCCCTACCAGTAGCTGCTAGCTAGTGGCAGCTAGAATAACAGTCATATCTGTTCCTTCACCTACAGTAAATCGTGAGTTTTGACCAGCTATCCGTCCAAAAATTGCCAACCCTGGGCCCGCCAGGGCCCTGGGCCCTGGCCTGCATCAGGGCTCCAAAAACACCTGTGGCCACTGCTTTGGGCCCATCGCTCGCAGCCAGTTTCTTGATGAAAGCCTCATAGAGCTGTTGGGCCTGGTCTCCTCCCATGGCTTGATGGAAGTCCGGCTTTGGCTTCCTGGGCACAGCAGGATACACAGCAGGGGATCCATCCGCGCATGGGATGCGGACTGGCACCGAGCATGGGGACTGGCACTTTACTGGCTTAGCCTCCAAACATGGCAAGCTCCGAAATTTGCCATTGATGCTTTTCCAAGCTATCTCCCTTTACTTTGGAGATTTAGCAGCTAGCCAAGCTTAAGGACCCCGGTGAGTAGAGTCAGTGATGCCATTCCACCAATTCCACCAGCACCAAATCCTCGCAAGAAGATCTTATCAATTCCCCAAAATAGCACGCATCATATATCCAGGTGAAAAACACGTGAATGATTCAGATTCAATTCGATTCAAGGATTTATTGGAGAAAGAATGTATGTATGTATGTATGTATGTATGTATGTACGTCTTTGTATGTAAGTAATATATCATATATAGTATATAATATATGATATAATATATATATAATATGCAAATAATACATACTATATAATATAATATATATATATATATTATGTATTACATACAATATATAATATAATAATATATATAATATATTAAGTATTATATATTATATATAATAAATAATATATAAGATATAATATAAAATATATAATATATAATATATAATATATAATATATGGTGTATAATATATGATATATGATATATGATATATAATATATAATATACAATATATAATATACAATATATAATATTTAGTATTTAATATACAATATATGTATATATTACAATATATATATAATATAATACAATATATATATATGATATATGTGATATATATGATATAATATATATATATATAACAAAATATATAATAATACACATATATGATATATACAATATCATCATATGTATATATATATATATGTATAATCATGTCTATATATAATATATCTCTTCGAGGAACCCCCACCCAGGCAGAGTGCCAGGATGTGCCAAGATGTGCCAAGTGTCTTGAAGGTGGCAAAAAGGGTAAATTGACTCACAACCAGCAGTTCCTGGGGCCAGCAATCTGCCACTGTAAAAGTGAACCCATGGCTATGCATGGCTATGCATGGCTATGCATGGCTTATCCTGCAAGCCGTTTTTTTTGGAGGTGACAAGCCCCTCAGAACAGCCCCGGAATCCGTGGTTTTCGGGCGGTAATCAGTGGATTCTTTGCAATTTCAAAGCCAGCCAACTGGCGCCATGTTGAGGATTGAACCCAGCCCCAAAATCGATGGTTAATAAGGCCTACAATAAACATGGTTCGGAAAGGTGGTTTAGCCCCCATGGTCAGCCCTTACTATTCTTGCCCGGACACCTCGGACAGGGGGCTTGACTCTCCATCAACCAGACATGCTTTGCCAGAGGCCTTGCCTGATTCATGAAAGAATGATTAAAAGCAACAAGTGATCCAGTTGATCCAATTCCCAAAGCTCAGCAGAAAACTCACGTTACAAAATATCATATGAAACACCCAACAGGGTCATCCATGTTCCCACTGTCTCACCTGTCCAAGCTGCGAATCCATTGTCCACCACCGAGGAGGCCCATTGCTTCCCCGGCTCCTTCAGATCTGGCCACAAACGCAGTTTTAGCAGCTTGGGAGCCAGATAATTCACCTGATCCATAGCATCCTGCGCCGCGTTTAACAAAAACAAAGCAGTGTACCCTCTGGTAAACTAACATAGCTATTGAAAATGGCCATTTATAATGGATTTTCCCATTAAAAATGGTGATTTTCCATAATTATGTTAGTTTACCAGAGGGTAGTTGCTGTAGATGTTTATGCAGCTAGAATTAGGTACTGTAAACCATTTTTTTGGAAAACATTGAATGCAGGTGCAGCTCAAACATTGTGTAACGTGGTTCCTGAATAAACAAAATGTGTCTGGGATGTTTGATGCGCTTGGGAGTGCACTTCCACTTTGTTGCCTGGGTAAAAAAGGCCAAGTTTTAGGGCCTATTTCCCAACTCGAAGATCATTTTCACATATGTTCACTATGGTTCTACCATGTATACAATATATATATATATATATAGATAATAATATATTTGATATGATATATAACATCATATATATATACACTTTATATATATAGTATAATATCTATTATATATATTAGCCATAGAAGTCACTCGAACTGCACCAAGTACCCCCAAGTGCCCTGACAAAGAGAGTCACCGCCATGGTCGAGCCACTCCCTGCTCAATGCCCATGAGTACCAGTAAACCACGACCAATTTCCGAGCAAACGTTCCTCAAGCAGCCGTGGTTTTTTGTTCATAAGGGAACCAACCACATATATTGATCAATACATATATTTATATACAACCAAATATATACAGTAGTATGGTGTGGTATAATATATGATATAGTATAATATAATTAATATAATACAATGAAATATAATATGGTGTCATGTCAATAAACTACAGTATAAACTACACTTTAATAGTATTATACATGTTTGATCTTATATAGTGTAGTATAATAAAATATGATATGAATTGATATTACATGATATTGTTATAATGTCATATATATAATATAGTATGATATAGAATTTCAATAACATAATAAAATATAATATAATATAGTATAATATAATATAGTATAGTATAATATAGTATAATATATAGTATAATATAGTATAATATAGCATAATATAGTATAATATACTATAATATAGTATAATATGGGATAATATAATATAGCATAATTTAGTATAAAATATGATAATATAGTATAATACTGTATAATCGTATAATTAATATAATACAGTCTAATTAATGTAATTAAATATTGATATCGTTGTCATGTTTTATTCTTCTTCATATGCATATTCATATCGATATTGATATCAATACGAATTTTTAAAAAAATGCATAACATAAAGTAGTGTAATAAAACATGTATATATATATATACAGTATAGTTTTGTTTACATTATATGTTGTATCATACTGAATCTATATTTTATCATATGACATGCGAGGCCCCAACTGACACATCGAAGTGTCCCGTCCACCTTCACACTGGCGCTGGTCACGCGTTGTATTACCAGCTTCATGGCACCAGCGCGTGTGTCGCGTTGCGCGTTGCAACTGAGAACAGCCTGTGATTCCGCTGATTGATCATCTGGGATATTGATGGTTGGTATAATATATTATGGGAATTAATAGAATCATTCATTAATATAAAAATGATTAATGATGATTAATGATGATTAATAATAATAATGATTAATTGATGGTTAATATCCCAACGGTTCTAATCATTACAGCCTGTGACAAATTCATGGTCAAACCTCGACCCAACTGCTGAGATTTGCTCAGTCATGGGCTGCGATGAGCAATTCGAATCTCGGCCGAAAATAAAACACTGCTCGAAAAAAAACAGAAAAGTGAGCCACTTGAAATTACCCTCTGGTAATTTAACAGTTTGCTATTGAAAATGACCCTTTATAGTGGATTTTCCCATTAAAAATTGTGATTTTCCATAGTTATGTTAGTTTACCAGAGGGTACTCACAATGATGCTGAAATTATGGGCAATTACGCCTCGAAAAGTGAAGACACTGTTCAAGAAACTTGTAAAGCAGAATCACCGGCGCCATGCCGGGAAACATCAGAAGGGACTCTTGTTTACACCGGCGGGGACACCGCCTATGGAGTCCCCAGAGGCATGTTTTCTACAAGCGATGGACTCGACAAAGTGATATGAAAAAGTGATATGGAGCTCGGTTTGGAGATAAAATGAAGTCAATCTCCCAGTCACCATTAAGACATATTAAGACTAGATCATGGGGTGAAAATATTGAAGACATCGAAATGATGCTGTCTCGAAATGGTCCATCCTGTCCCTTTGCATCTATTAAAACAAACTAGCGTACCAATACATTACAGAATGCCACAAGCTGAACATTCTCCACTGACCAACTGGCCAACTCAAACCAGCACCCAATGATGTCTCTTTGAGGAAAAAATAAGGGGTGGAGTTAAGCTCAAACAAACGAATTGGATGCTATGGTTTTTTTGACCCCGAAAAAATTGGGATCTCCCCTATAGCTATGGTTATTATATAATATACTGTATATATATGTACACATATATCCACTATCCCCCTTATAATTAGACCCAGAACCCGGGTACCGCCAGTTTATTGAAAAAAATACCCCCAAAAAGCGGTGCCCTGGTTCCGGTGGTGTTTCTTAGGGATATTAAGAGGGGGATTATCCACTTATAACTGGAGCTACACTTCCAAGTAGCGTCATGAAGGCTCTGCTACAAATTGGTGCCCCCCATTTGCGTTCCTGGCCGCCTTTTCTTGGGCTCGCCAGGTCGTTAACTTTGGGACCGAACATGGCAGTTGTCACAGTTGCGACGCAACATGTTTTTGTTTCTGCAGAGGTTTCACCAGCTTTCTTTCCCAAAAAGCTGCCCATATTTAAGAAATGAAACATTGCAAGATGATGCAAAATGTGGATAGAGCATGATCAATCTCAGTCTCCGACTTGCACCTGCATTAAATATTCATGAAACCCATGCATATCCATGTTGTCGATGGTGAACCACCATGCAAAGTCCCAATCCGTAAGAGGATCTCTTCGGAAGCCGATTATTGTACATTTGTGCCCTGAGCTCAGCTGGCAGAAATTGTGTTTCACAAATGCTCCTTCTGAAAAATTCTCCATGAAACTCTTCGATTGTCGTATGCCCTAATTGGGTGATTGGGGACGCGGAAAAATAAGTATATGCAAACGCCGACACAACACGCACTATCCGGACCAAGTTCCTACATCAGCGGCCAACATCCAAGAAGTTCTCCAAACTCATCCCGGTCTGAAATGAGATCTGTATAGATCTCTATGAAACTACTAAATTGTAGGAAAGACCCGTTGGCATCAGTTGGCCATGTATGGCCATGTGGTATGAAACATTCTGAAACTATAGCTGCCAGCTTGGTTGGGCAATCTGCAGCCGGGCATGCCAGTCTGGGAGAAGGCGCTCCTGGTCCGAAATCGGCGAGACAAGGGATGGAACAAACATGTCCCCTACATAGGATTCATCAAGAATATAGGATGAACCAAAAAAAATACGAGCACCTTCACCACAATCAGAGGTACTATTGACTAATATGAGTATGATATATGTGATATACTAATAGTAATAAAGTAATAAGTATGGTATAAGTGATATCTCACATTACAATATGAGTCATATGAGGACAAGACAGGAGCCAAGATTGTCTTTTCGCCACGCTTTCGCTTGACTTGGGACACTTGTGGATGGCAGTTTTAAGGTGCCGGCACTGTTCATGTTCATGGCTACAGTCTAAAGTTGGGAATCGAAACTCTTCATCTCCAACGAGCCTTACCCTCTGGTTATGTCAAACATAGCTATTGAAAATGGCTATTTATAGTGGATTTTCCCATTAAAAATGGTGATTTTCCATCGTTTTTTGTATGTTTACCAGAGGGTACCTGGTTCAGTGGCCATATCAGTGCCCTCCAGCTATGGCATGCTACGAGACACGACACCTGGGTGCAGGGCGCGTGTTACACCCCAGCGCCCAGGCGTTTAGGGCAGCAGCGCTATGTAAAGCTTCGACCTGAGAGGATCCGAAAGATCCAGGCACTTGGAACCAGGTACCCGGCCTGGTCATTTAATGGGATTTTAATGGGATATTCATGGGATATTCATGGGATATACCCTCTGATAATGACTAACAGTTTGCGAACTTGAAAATGGCCCAATCGAAATAGTGGATGACTTCCCAGTCGAATAGCATGGTGATGTTCCGTAGTTTTTTGTTTGTATGTTTACCAGAGGGTAAGGCCCAGAACATCGACCAAAGCCCGCTGGGCAGAGGTAAACATGACTAGATGTGGGCATATGACTAAATATGACCAGTCATGAATTGTGGGTTTCCTAAAATGTGGGTTCCAATTATCCATTCATAGATAGATTCTCCATCCATTTATACACCATCCAGATCTATGCTGTCAGCCTGGCATGGGTGGCATCGTTTGCGGTGTAAAGCCAAGGCCTGGCACCGACAAGAAAAGGCCCCAAGGGAGGCGACCATGGGGAGCATGGGCTGACCGCGCCCCATGAAATGTCACGTGGCGCTCAATCATGTCTAAGGAAAATCACACACTGTGAAACAGCGAGTTGGTACCTTTCTCTTGCAAAGAATCTAGTGAATCAAGTGGTTTCCGAAAAGGCCGGCCACCAAACCATGTAACAAAATAGCATATCAAGGTGTCACTTGCCCGGGCGCCCAACTCTACATTTGTACGAGTACCAGAGTTTTGGAAAGTGCGCTCGAACTGTGCACAATTGGGGACAATTGTTGCATTCAAAAATCATCGGAATCTCAAAAACAGGTTCCGTATAGTTGCCTGAAACGTATGGGATTTGCTATGCCTTTTCATAAAATCCAGTAATAAATCCCGGTACTCTTTGTATGGTCGTCCAGCTGTGCCAATTCATTTGTTGCATGACCACATCAGGCAACATCCATGCGCCGTGGAAACTGCCAGCATTGCTGCAAATATTGACACCGGTTTCACAAATAAGGAAGGTTGTGCTGATAGTTCCACCTTGCTATCTTGTTTCGTATCGGCTCCAGACAAGAAACAGATGTTTTGGGCGGTATAAGCAAACTAAGGTCTTGCCATTGCAAATCACGGTTGTGGTTTCAGAATGCTCCGGCCACGGCGCTTCGTGATCGTTTTTTCCATATAGAATTTACTCGGTCCCATGGTTGGAGGTATCCCTTACCCCATCCCCACCCTGCCTGTCCCTTGCGCTACCGGCGCTACCGTCCTGACATGGCTTAAGCGAAAATGGGGATGGGCCGACGTATCTATGGCACTACTTCTTATTAAATTATATATTGAATTTTATATATATATATATATCTGTATAATTATATAATATACACATGGGAAAACGATGGAAAATGAAGTTTTAAATTTATTGGAATGGTGGAATGGGTTCCCAAGACCTTTTCAAGCCTGGAATGGATGTCAGAAGTGATCACTACAGCACGTCTATTCCGTTCAACTTCTGGGACTTGTTCCTCAATGGTTCTTCCCCGGAGAAGCTCCATCAGACTGCCATCGCAGGGATTTTTCAGTGTCAAGATATGTCAAGATGACTTTCATGCTGTTGCAGATCCGAAAGATCTGCAAGAATTGCCAAAAATGACCAGTCATCCACTCATCCAAATCATCCAAATCATCCAAAAATCATCCAATAGCCATAGCTGCCATAGCTGCCATAGCTGCCATAGCGTATCGAAAAACGTGTGCACCTTGGGAGGGACATCCTTCCAGCCACCGTAGCAACCTGCGAGAGGTGACGGCAATCACCGCGTTTTTCGGTGAGGATCCAGAGAAATGACGGAATCATCTGGTTATGACATTCACAGTTCGCCATGGAAAATCACCATGCTATTTTCATAGGTAAACCCAGGTAAACCATCTATTTCTATGGGCCATCTATACCATGGCTATGTTAAATAACCAGAGGATATCCATGTTTTAATATGTTTGACCAATCAACTCAACTGAGATCAATGGAATCACTGCACTGTAGACGCCAAGCCCTGATGTGACATGAAAGCGGCAAAGTCATGGGAAGAAAGGCTGGTTGTGCTGGTTGCCTTATACATCAGCAGTCCCAAGAGGGCAGTGTATCAATCCATGACTTCTGCTTTGATTTGGCCCAGTTAGAAATTCTCCGCTGAAGTTTGCAGAACAACCATAAATTCGTGCGCCTTCTGTCTAGGATGTCTAGACATAGAAAAACATGTACAAATTTGGAAAACCAAAAAACGCTGTGGCTCGGGGGACAACGGACGTCGGTCCCGTGAATTCGTTTTGGTCTATGAAAACTGTGTGGCATTTCAAGCCATTGGAGGCCTTTCCCATGGCCATGTAGAAACTTCTTAGTCTACCATGTGGATCGTCATACACGAAGAAAAACACATCAGTATTGCCACTGATCCAGACTTTCCGGCTTCATGTCCCAAAACCCGGTCGTTGCAACGCTGCCTTTTTTTTATTCCAAGATTTTCGAACGGAGGGTCCCCCGCTTTGAGCGAGGAATGACCTCCTGAATCAAGTCCACGGCGCGCTCTGCGCCACCCGAATCGCGGATCTCATCTGCCAACGCCTGTGCGTTCCAACGAAAGGCCCTTCTGCTCGTGCCAAGGAGCTCTTCCTCAGGCAATGGAAACCAATGGAAATCAATGGGATCTATAACCAGCAACCAACATGAATGAAACAACTCTAGAGTATAGTATATATGCCAATTTGAGAGTTGGATGTGTCTGAAATGTAGGGGTGAACCCATAAATTGACCAGTTCTGATGGGGAAAATGAAGGCTTAAACCACTGGATCTTGGGTTTCCCCAACATGTTCAGACAAAGAAATCACCAAAGGGGAGCCAAGGAATAAAAATGTCGGTCTCGATCCTATCTGATTCCAGCCAAGAAGTGAGCAAGCATAAAATGATCATCCAAATGATCCAATTTTCGATCTAAATGGAAGCTTTCCAAACATCAAAAATCATCAAAAATCATCCAAATCTTGAAATTCAGCAGGTTTTCCCAGGGTGATCACCGTTCTCACCAGGTCTCAAGGGCATCGCACACCGAGGCCTCAAAGGTTCCTATGGGCGATTCGATGTCGGTGAAAGACATGACAGATGGCACCGTCACTTGGACGGCAACGCCCAACCTGAGCCATGTCGTCCCGCGTTTCATGACCGCTATGACCCTCTGGTAAACGTTTACATAACTATGGAAAATCGCCATGCTATTCATGGGTAAATCCACTATTTCGACTGGGCCATGGCTTCAATAGCTATGTAAACGTTTACCAGAGGATACCATGGAAATCGCCCATCTGAAATTGAAATGTTCTTGTGTGACATGGTCCATGGAGACTTGTAGCCCGACCATGTGGAATCTAGCAATCAACTGCCACATCGTCCGCAAATATTCCAGCAGACTCAGCAAAACACATCAAAATTGTTTTCATCCATGCCCACTGCAAGATCAATACTAAATTCATGTCAGGATAGTGTCAAATGCCTGAGTTCAGTTCACAAATCTGGTGTGTCAAGATTGCCAGCCAACACTGTGCGAATAGAGCTGCCACGAACACAGTCGACAAAGCGCTGGGGCCAATAGGTTAACCTAGGCCTCCTAGCCATGTCCACCGAGGCGATATATCGGAATAAGAAAAAAACAGTTAAAACATGTTAAAACCTGGTTGCACTGTTTTTTACCGTCAAGCAGGGGACCGCAAAATATTCATCAAACCTGTTTCATCGTACGTTGATCCACGTGCTGTGAACACAGCACCCATGTGCATCGTAAGCCCCCAGTGCAACAGAAAGTCACCCCGTTTGGCTCTATGGACTGCAGTGATCAAAGCAAGGTTAGAAAGAAACGTCCGAGTTGCGGACACATGGAGCGTAGAGCTGCCACAGAAAACAGTAGAGAAGAGTGTCAAGGACCGTAGACGACGATCAAGAATAGTGTCAAGCACAGTATAGGGAACAGTAGAGCAAAGTGAAGTCCTCAAACCTCATTTTCTACAGTTCAAAACAAGCATGAACCGAGAAAAAATGCGAGCCATGCGTACCAAGAAGGCGCGGCTGAGAGGTGAATGATACAGCAAAGAATGATCGTGGCAGCATTGTTCTGAGAGCCGGAATGAAACGCGAAACAAAGAGAAGCTGGCGAACCGGAAAAAGCACCGAAAATTAGTGAAAGTAAAATCGGGTGCCAGACTAGCAGAAAGCCTTGATATGGGAGAACAGTAGAGAAGGGCGTCAAACACAGTAGAGAACACTAGAGGAACATCGGACAAGAGCACCACACGCAGTAGCGAAGAGTACAGAACAATGTCCACTACAGAAGAGGAGACAGAGTGCTTGGTGAAGCATAGTAAAGGAGCGTCAAGCACACTAGAGGACAGTACAAAAGCAGTAGAGGGCAGTGGGAACAAAGATGGACAAAGAACGTCAAGGACAAGAGAACAATAGGATGCCAAACACAATACAGGTAGGGACTGTGCTTAGCAGTAAGAGAAACAGGGCCGGCCATTGTGTGGATGCGGATGTGCCCGGCATTGATGAAAATCCACCCAAATCTCCCTTTTTTTGGAGTGCAACCCCTCAAACTGCAGCTTGGCACACGCCTGCCACACGCCGGAACGGCATGCATGTCAAATTGCGCCTGATGTTGAAAAGTCTCAAAATACATCCTTTTTTATTGTTGAATGAAAAAAGTTTTTCTACTTTTGACAACCCTCCAAATGTAGCGAATCAGTCTACTTTCTTGTTACAGAACGCACGCAAAATGCAATCTCTTGCAGCGTTAACAGGTGTGTGCGTCGGGGGTGCGATTGTGTTTTGCAACCGAAGGCTGCGAAAACGCATGGGAATGGTTGCGGAGATGGTGTTGGTGAAGTTGCTGCGCAGTTCTATGTTCAGCAACACTTGAGATCAAGATGGAAACAAGTAGCACAGACACATGAGCAGCATACAAAGAGTAATGATGTGTTTGGCTGGAAAAGGAACAATCAAAACAGGAAGGACTTGCGCGAAGGCAAGCGTCTCACTTGCGACTCGGAAAACCGCCCACTTTCGTCTCTGTCTCACTTGCGTCTCCTACAGTATGTCTCACTTGTATCTCGGAAAACCATTCGCTTCCGTCTCCCCATCATCATCATCATCATCATCATGATCATCATCAATGTCGGTGTGCAAGTACAAGAGAAGAGCTCATAGCGTAGCATATGTGTGCAAGTACAAGAGAAGATCTCTTGGCGTTAGGATGTAGTCCCTGCCCAGACACCAAGGGCATTATCACACACCACCCCAGACGAAACGATGATGATGATGATGATGATGATGATGATGATGATGATGATGATGAATGATGAATGATGAATGATGGATGATGATGATGATGATGATGATGATGATGATGATGATGATGATGATGATGATGATGATGATGATGATGATGATGATGATGAATGATGAATGATGAATGATGAATGATGAATGATGAATGATGAATGATGATCATTGCCCGGCGCACACGTCAATGGGACAGCGATCTCGTGCCTTCTCACGACGATTCGTGGATGACACAAACGTTGCCGGTTGAAACACGCAAATAGGCACCATCCTATGATCCCCAACGGTGCTTTTGTTCCTCGTGAAACGAGGTACTATGGTTCCATACAATGTTCCATGGGGTCACAGCTAAATATCCAATCGTGAACTCGGCCCAGCCACTCCGTTATCAGCTTGGTCTTGGCCATTTCTTCATGACATGGAACGATCATCATTGGACTTCCAACCTTCGTGCGCAAGGTTGGGGCCCAAGGGCCCAGGGGCCCAGGGGCCCAGAGAAAAGGGGATACTTTCTTCATGGGAAAACTGGGAAAACATGGGATTTTCTGGAACCAAATCAAGGTGGCGAAGATTTTCCAAATCAAAGTTGTGGCTATTCAGATCTCCAGATATCTCCGGCACTAAGTTAACCAACGGTTTGATAGCCTCCATTCCAAGATAACAAGCCAATAAAACAGTTCCTCAAAACATCAGATTTTGAGATTTTAGAGATAAGTGATTCACAGTCTCATAGTTCTTCGCCAACTTCGCCAAACTGGGGACTCGAAGGCTCACTCCACATCACCTTCCAACTATCTTCACACACGTGCACCCTTCCCATTACGTATAATCACAGACAAACAGTAGACCTGGCAGCCCTGGGAATTTGATGGGATTTTGGAGGCTTCTGCTTCCCAAAAAACAGCAACATCGAGCAACTGTTAAGGCGTCGATCAATGAATAGCCGTGGGCTCCATCGGTCACAAACAGGGCTGGCCGGGCTGCTTGTAGCACTTGCACCTCCGGAACCAAGGCCTCGGCAACGATGTAGCAATTCTCGGGAATCTCCAAGTCTAGGTCTTCTCAGGTCCCGTGTTTTCCAACGGTAAAGATCACCAGCGGTGTGGGACCCACTTTGGCCTTTCCCAGTTCCCGGAACATCACGCGATAAATGGCATGGCAGATCTGCTTTCCGGTGAGAAGATTGTCGCCAAAGGAGGCGTTCCAGCCGTGGCGGGGATCATCGCCAGTAATTTGCCCCATGGAGACATAAACAATGTCCGATCTGGTATACACTGCCTCCCTTATCTCATCCATCAACTCACTGCAAGTTTCTTCCGGAGAAAACGGATCTCTCAATGGCCCAAGAAATTCGAACTTGTTTCCTTGTGCGAAATAAACACATGCGTCCTTCTCGCTCAAAGGGTCTGCCAATGACTGTAGTGTTGCCACCAGATTCAGCTGCGTGTAGTTTTCATGGCACAAGGGTTCAAAGGTGTTCAATGAGAGGACTTTCTTCAACAAGGCCCGGATCCCTTCAACGGCCTGGATCATTTCCGATTTGAACATGATCGTAGTCATGTGGATGATCGTAGTCATGTAGATGTTTTGTTGAGCCAGGGAAACATGTTATTATGTATGTTTATGTCAAGACCAGGAAATTTCAGAAAGACACGTGATATTAAAAATATTGGAGTTCAAGTGCCAGATTGCTCAACATCAAGAAACATGCGCGTGTTCAAATTGAGTTGATCTTGTTGGCAACCCAGAAATAATGCCCTTAAAAAAAAAAAACATGACAATCCAAATTTCCAAAATTTCCAGTCCAGCCAAAAAATATCATAAAAAACATCACTCAAAAATATCATCCAAGTCATCGCCATTTTTTGAGAGAACAATGGCACTCTTTCTTCGCCATGTCTCACCTTGGCGTTGGCAGTATTGGATCGTATCCTTTCCGCCAGCTGCCCAGGCGTTTCTCCAAACTTGCGGACTTCACGGATCATCGAACCTGGTTTTTGAGGCGGGAAAAATCTGGCAAAGAAAGGTTGGAAAACGGAAAGCTGTAACAAGATGGGAACAACAATGAACAACAATCTGTTTTTTATTGTTCTTTGCTTTTGAGTTTTATGGCACCATCCTCTGTGCGGACAGTTTCCCACAACGCGCCAAGCTCATGACATGCCAAGTTTAAAACAAACAGTCCAGTGAATTCATCTGATAAATATGGTCCTATGAAAACAACGCAAAACTCTTTGTTGATGGACTGTTGACCCTCTGGTAATTTAACAGCAGCTATTGTTAAAATCACATAAAATCACCATTTTCAACGGGTAAATCAGCTCTAATAATTATAAATGGCCATGTTCAATAGCTATGTTACTTTAACCCATCCTGTTAAACCTATCCATGACTGAGGTGGCGATCTCTAGGGAATCGCCATGGGCTGGTGCAGGCTATGGCTGCAACTGCTGCACACTTTCTACAACTCGGAAGTTTCTAAAGTTCCCTTGATATGTACAATCAATTCACCTTCTTCCATGAGTATCAGCCCTTGTCTCTGAAAGTACTCAAATCATACCACATGCGCCTGGCATCACATGTGTCATTCAGTTTTTTGCTGCTCAATCATGCTCAATCAACCTATGGATGTTTCCTAAAATGGGGGTACCCCTAAATCATCCATTTTGATAGGATTTTCCATTATAAACCAACCATTTTAAGGGGTACTCCCACGACTCTGGAAACCCCCCAGAAATAGTCGTTCCAGGCCTCAAAACATGGAACAACTGAGGACCTCACTGTGTTGACCCTAAATTAGTATAGTGTCATCGTAAGCGTATGAATGCATACATACTCATTTATGTATATATATATTATATATTATATTATATTATATTATATTATATATTATATTATATTATATATTATATTATATATTATATTATATTATATTATATATTATATTATATATTATATTATATTATATTAAAATCTATTATATTATATATTATATTATATATTATATTATATTATATATTATATTATATTATATATTATATTATATATTATATTATATTATATATATATATATATATATATATATTATATTATATTATATATTATATTATATATTATATTATATATTATATTATATACCATATATTATATATTATATATTATATATTATGAATTATATATTATATATTATATATTATATATTATGAATTATATATTATATATTATATATTATATATTATATTATATTATATATTATATATTATATATTATATATTATATATTATATATTATATTATATTATATTATATATTATATATTATATTATATATTATATTATATTATATATTATATTATATTATATTATATTATATATTATATTATATATTATTATATTGTATTATATTATATTATATTGTATTATATTATATTATATTATATTATAATGCAACATAATGTAATGTCAATATAATATATAATATACATACATACATATATATATATATGTGTGTTATATATTATATGGTATATAATATGTCATATATAGATAATCAGATCAATTATTACAAATACATTGAAATATTATCTATTGTTCTGTTTGCCCGGAACTTTGTGACCTTGGAGCCTCTGGGTGTCCCGGACCATATGGGATTTCCCTGGCCTCTACAGCTACTCCATGATGGTTTGGTATCATTGAGGGGTACCCGGGGTACCCATTACCCCCATGTTCCCCTTTGTCTAAATCTTGCACCCGACCACATCCCGAAGGCTCAACGAAATCACACCATAGCTGAGCAACCAGGACCTGGCTCTGTCAGTAAGGACACATCTCGAATCCTAAGGACTTGTGAGGCGAAGTGAGCGTAGGGGCAGCGAATGGGACAGTACCTCGGGAGCGAATTGGGCAACCATCACTAAGCATCACTTTCAGCTGCTGAAGCTGCTGAAGCTGCTTAAGCTAGTTTGCTGACATGTTTTTGTGGGGCAAGCCTTACCATCGCAATAACCAGACTCGCGTTCAATGGGTCAAATGGGTCATGGTCAAACTGTCAGGGAAATTTCAATGAATCCCTGGGAAGGTCGCCGAAATTCTGAGGGAATATGTTGAACACAATGAGGTACATCCGCAGTGGAATATATCATGAAATTTCATTAAATACCAGTGACGTGGTAACCTTTGAAAGCACCTTTGAAGGTCCAAAAATACACTAAAGTATGACAAGTTCGCAAGGAGCCTACAGTGGCCTACAGTTGAAAAGCTTTGAGTTCAGGACTCTAGATGGTCTCAAACTGGGACGGCAAAGGTCAGATGAATAGGTTTTTCACTCACCAGAAACATGGTCACCAGAAAACTACCCAGTGCCGCCGTCCCGAATCTTGGCAAAGATTTTTCAAATATTGTTCAAACATGTGCAGTATCCTCCCGAAGAACATCTCACATGAACTTCGATTCCGCTTGCGGGACGATTGTTTTGTTAGCACACTAACAACTATAGATATATATATATATATGGGTAAATTATAATAATTCACTAACCTGAATTAAGGCCCCACGAACTTTCATCAGCCCTCCCCCAAGCTGCGCGAAGGGACCTGAATTAAGGCCATTTGGGGATGATTCCCCTTACTAACCATGATTTCCAGTGAGGTCGTAGTGAGGTCGTTATAATTTACCCAGATATATATATAATATTACATAATATTAAATATTCTCTCAGAAATTCGCAGCACTGGGGGACACATCCGAGATGCACAACGACCTTCGGAGACAGAGATCTGAAAAAGTCCAAGAACACCTTGGCTCTTTCTACGCCCACCAGCGTTTTTTGGGAAGTGACATGCTGGAAGATTCTGCTTGGAAGCTGATTTGGACTTCAAGTGAAATTGTTTGGGGATCTATATTCATGTATATGTATATATATATATTCTGACTACGAGTTTAAGATATTTTAAGATAGTTAAAGTGACACTGAAGTGGTGCTTGCGATGGCATGTTTCGCATGTTTTGACCTCTGTCATCTGCCTTCAGAGACTGGGCCCAATTTGCAGCCGGCCAAGGAAGAGACATCGTTGAACTACCTGGTTTTTCTGGTGTCTCATGGATTCTCTTTCTCATGCATCTCTACACCGTCTACACCTATCAGCCATATTCATCTATATTCAGCAATCCCAAATTCATCCTATTCGCGAAATCCAGACTCAACAGCCACGGTGCTGGAATCAATTTCTCCGTGGCAATGCTACCGAAGATGTTTCCCCAAGCTGGATCTCCAGAATTGTCCTCCGCATACTCAGCCAGGCAATCCACCAACATCTCTTTGAAGTTGATCCCATGCTCAGCACAAATATCTTCAACCTGGGGGCCGCAGACATGGCGGATTCAGGCATTGTTATGGACGATGTCCTCCTCAAGTATTATACGTTATACATATATATATATACATAGATATATACACGTAATTATACATATGTATATATATATATACATATATATATATATATATTGTAAATCCACATCATTGCAGTCAGAAAGAGATACAGCCGTTTGCATCCCTTCCACCAGCTCCTGAGGTCCACTAACAACTCCAAACATGTTTGCATGTATGTTAGCACACCGGCTCAGGGTTAGCCAATCATAGGTGCGGGCTAGGGAGGGATTCAGTGTGCCTTTGAAGCCATAGGATACTTGTTTGTTTGCAAGACGTGGACGTCTGCTTAAAGCCAGGGGCTTACAAAACTTGGACAGGCCGATCCAGGCCATTGCAATCTCAGCCAGCTCCTACGAGGAGACTCAGACTTTTGTGTGTGCCGCCGATCCGTGGAAAAGGAGCGGATCTTGGAGTTCAGTGACTTGTGCTGCCAGTGGGTTGAGCCATAGGCCAACTACACTGGTAGCGGAGCTACCGTTTGACCACGGAGGATCCAGGGAGTGACCACAGTCCTAGAGAAAACCCTGTTGCTCCACCAGTGCGTATGTCTGAAGCATCCGAAGGTTCCACCAATGTTCCAAATCAGTTAGCAATACTGGTGCCATCGTTTGATCCAAGTCGTGATGACTTGCAAGTGTACACCCAAAAGGTGATGCTGCTCTTGGAGGCGTGGCCATCCAACAAGTACACCGAGTTAGCCACCCGGCTAATCCTGAACTGCAGTGGATCAGCTTTCAAGAAACTCCAGTTGCATCAGTCTGAAGTGACACTGAATGACAAGAAATCCATACACCGGATCATCGAGTTGCTGGGAGGCCATTGGGGCCAGATTGATTTGGAACAGAAATATGAATATGCTGAACGGGCGCTCTACAAGTGCTCTCAGAAGTCTGATGAAACTGCCGACAGTTATCTTGCCAGGGCTGACATCATGTGGACTGAGCTGAACAGCCGAAAGTTTCAGCTCAGTGACCTCCAAGCATACGTCACCCTTAGGGGTTCAGTGCTGACAGCCGAAGACAAGAAGCGTGTCTTGCTTGATTCTGATGCCGCCAGCAAAGGCGATTTGACAGTAGCCAAGGTAAGTGCTGCAATTCGCATGTTAGGTGCCAGTTTCTTTCAAGAGATGACCACCGGTCGCCGTGTCTCCAAGCAGAAGACCTACGATCAGTCCACACTGTTGACGGAGGATTTGGAAGAGGCTGAATCCGACCAGCCTGTCATGTCCACTGAAGCTGTTGAGGATGATGATATCTGGGTAGATGTCTTGGTGCAAGAAGGTGACGAAGATGCGTCACTTGTTCAAGACTTCGAGGCCGCAGCCATGGAGGTTGTACAGACGGACGAAGAGCTAGCAGCAGCCTTCACAGCATACACAGATGCACGACGTAGGCTCAATGAGAAAGTTCGCAGCCGCGGATTTTGGCCAATTGGTCAGAAAGGCAAGAGCAAGGGATTCCAGAAAGGGGTCAAGGGCAAATTCAGCAAAAGCCATCCGTCCTCCAGAAAGTCACTACAGCAGCGCATACTCGAGTCTCGATGTAGGTTATGTGGCAAAGTAGGACACTGGAAAGCCGAATGCCCTTCCCGTGGTGACAGTACAGCAAGTGCCAACCGGCCACATCAAGCACCAACTTCGTTTGTGCAGGTGTCCACTGGTGCTTCCTCTGATGCTGATCAAGGTCTGCCATTGGAATTCCTGAATCTGCCGATGCATGAAGCCGCCAGCATTGATGTGTCTCAGCATGATCCTGTAGATGTTTTCATGATGGTTCATCAATCCCCAAGTAAGGATAGGTTGAGAAAATCCCTAAGCCAATGGAAATCCAGCCATGAACATCCTCCGGGGGTCGCCAGGAATGATGGTCTGTTGCCTACCTGGCGAATGCGCTTGATCCAGAAAGCCCGGCCTGATGACATCAAGCCTGAGACAACAGCCGTTGTCCTGCCTGAGCCTGAAGTTGCCTGTTTTGCATCGCATGGTAGCCATGGAATTGTGGATTTAGGAGCAACTAAAACTGTCATAGGGGGGAATTTAGTCAAGGGTCTTTTAGAAGGTCTTGATCCCAATCTCCGAAAACAAGTGTTTAGATGTCCTTGTGAAATCACTTTTCGTTTTGGCAATCATGGCGTGTTGCAAAGCCAACAAGCGTTGGTGATCCCGATACATGGCCTGCAATTAAAGGTAGCGATCGTTCCCGGGTCCACACCCTTTTTGCTGTCAAACACCTTGCTGAGGACTTTAGGTGCAACAATAGACACCGAAAACAAGACCATGTATTCCAAACGTTTGGACCGCAAGTTCCCACTCATGTTGACCAGCAAGGGTCTGTTTCTTCTGGATTTGAATGAGCTTGCCCAACAACCACCGGGCAACTCAAAATTCTCCGAACCTGCCGAGACTCATCAGATGGTCAGCGAAGACTTGCCATGTCCGACAGTTTGCAAAAGGGATTTCCCAGCCGCACCAGATGTATCTAATCAAGATGAAATGTTTTCGCATGGCCGTGATGGCCAGCAAGCTGATGCCGAGAACATGCATGTTGAAGAAGCCACCCGTTTTTCCAGCAGCAGTCCGAGGTCCAAAAGATTTCCCAAGAGTTTTCAGGTGTTAGCTAAGAAGAGCCATGTCCAGCCTTGCAGCTCGCCTTCAGCAGATCCAGATGCCAGCCAGCGAGATGCGCCCCGATATGACGCATTTGTCCCTCGACCAGCTGAGGAATCAGAAGATCACATTCGGCCGCACTCACACAGGCCGATCGTTCCAGCACATGTGGGACAACGAGCAGGGGTGGATCACATGGTTTGTGCAAAGGTACTCGGAATCCACCAAAGCCGAGCATCTCATTTTCCTTCGCTACGTCGAGCTGGAAGTGGAACGTGCAGAGCTAACAGGAACACAGGTGCCAGTGATCAACCTGAAGGACATCGAGAAGGCGATGACCACCTCCAACTCTCCGACCTTGCCGACGCCACGCACTCAGGTGCCCAAGGCCAAGGCCAAGAGCATGCCGATGAATCTTCCCGAAGTGAATGCCTGGGAGGAGGAAGAGGACCCAGAGTTGTTCGAAGTCATCCAATCAGAGCAGAATGCGACGGCCCAATCCAGCATCACGAATCTCGAGAATCGCATTCTGGGAATCGAGAATGCCCTGACGGCCATCATGCAGCACATCGAGAACCAGGGAAATCGTCACCCGACCGAGCAGTGAGAGACTCTGAGTGTCCGAGCGTGCAGGCATTTCAGACTGCAGGTGATCCGAGTGCTGACTGTTTTCACAATCATGATCAATCAACTTCCACTCAAACCAACAGTGAAAGAATCAAGTTCCAAAGATTAATTAATCAATACACTGAAGAACTTCACCAGATTCAAGTCAACACCAATGTCAGTACGAAGAGAACCGATGTTTTTGAAGTGTTTTGTGGAAATGAAAGTCAGCTGACCAAGCAGTCACAACAACTTGGTTTCAGAGCCGACCGTTTCAGTCGACAGCAGGGCGATCTTCAAACCACCGAAGGTCGACAATTGTTGTTTCAAAGGGTTTGCCACCAGAATCCCAAGAACATATGGTTCAGCCCCAGCTGTGGACCATGGAGTGGCTTCGCATGTCTGAACGGCAGCCGTTCCCTAGATGCCTGGAATGCACTGCAGCAGACCAGAATGCTGAGTGTAGAACAGATTGCATTAGGAGTTGTCCTGCTTAGACATCAGCGTAGTGGGGGAAACCATTTTCATTGGGAGCAACCAAGAGGGTCTTTGATGTTTAAGCTGCCGTATCTTCAGGAAGCTTTGCACTATCTTCTTGCAGTGGATGTTGATTTGTGTGTTGCAGGGGAACTCAAAGATCCCACCAACGGAAAATTGATCAAGAAGACCTTGACCATCTTGTCAACTTCCCGTAGGATGATTAATGCGTTAACAGGACTTCGGTGCCATCACCAACATGAACATCAGACCATTGAAGGACAAATTCAAGTGAATGGAGTGAACATGAATCGATCAACATTCACGGAGAACTATCCCCGAAAGTTTGCACGTCGTTTGGCCATCATCATGGGAAAAGTGCAATTTCCCCGTGAGGAGCCTTACAGGAATGAAATGTGGTCGATCCTTGCTGCAGAAGAGCATCCGGAGGCTCCTGCCTCAAAACGTCCCCGTCGGGAACGATACACGTCTCTCAAGCTCAGCCGCAGTCGAGAGGTGTCTCAGCTCCTTTGGGGTAAACGACAGAAATGTGTTGGTAAGACTACTCCAATAGATACCAATCAACAATGGCAAGAAATTTTCAATAAGGTTCATCAGGTGATTCCCAGGGTTGGTAAGATGGTAATCCAGGAACAGTCCATTATTTCCGCCATTCAATCCTTGATGACCGACAAGAAAGTTGAGACCATTGTAGCCTGTAGGGGTGCCAGCAGAACACTAGCACCACCCCTCGACCTGGTTAAGGGAGTGGCGCCCTTTCGACGAAGCATCTTTTCAGAAAGGGGAACAGGTGAACTCAGAGCAGAGGAAGAATGGGAAAATTGGGAGCAACTTGCCAAGAGGAATTTAATTAGACCTTCTCATGCCACGCGAATCAACATCACGGTGTTTGCGCAGAAAATCCCTGAAGCCAGGACCAATATTCCCGAAGCAGCGAGACCACCGACCAACCAAGAGGTCTCTGCAGAGAACCGAGACGCCTGCTCGGAACAACCCGGTAATTCAGAAGCTGTGCAATTCCCAGGTCAGCTTGAAACAGCCAACCCGGGTCAACCTCCCACCGAAGATCGACCGGCAATGTCAACGGGTCTCACCAGTTCCCAGCAAGTTGATAGTCTGGAGCAGTCCCAAGGGTCACGTTTCAAGGCTTTGCCCAGAGATGAACAAATTGCACTCATTCGTGCTCATAAGAATCTAGGACATCCAAGCCCAGAACGTCTCAGTACTATCCTCCGCTCACAGGGGTACAGGCCTGAAGTGTCCCAAGCAGCGTTGGAATTGCGATGTTCAGTATGTCAGGCCAAGACCATGCCAAAGCTGTCTCGACCTGGGGCCCTGAAGGATGACCTTGATTTCAATGACAGAATTTGCATAGATGGGTGTAATTGGACAAATAATCAGGGGAAAACCTTCCACATGTACCACATTGTGGATTGGGCCACCAATTTCCAAGTCGCCAGAATTGCACCCGACAAATCCACTCCAGCTGCCATCAATACCATCAGTGATATGTGGTTATCATGGGCGGGAAATCCCAGCGAGATGTTAGTAGATGCGGGGACGGAATTTAATTCTGAAGAATTTAGTATCTTTACCCAAAGCCATAACATTAAGCTGACCCCCATAAGCCCAGAAGCTCACTATCAAAATGGAAAAGCAGAACGACATGGAGCCATTCTCAAGACCATGCTATCAAAATATGACCTGGAACATCCCATAACCCAATATCAAGAACTATCACAGGCTATCTTTTGGTGTACCCAAGCAAAGAACTCAAGTAGTTTAAAACGGGGCTACGCACCAGAGGTTTTGGTTCTTGGTAAACACACCAGGCTTCCCGGAGCCGTATGTAGCGATGAGATGCTTCCAGCTCATTTGTTAGCAGACTCAGAGACAGCCCATGGGTAGCTTTCCGACGTCAGCTGGCCTATCGTGAAGCCGCACGAAAAGCCTTTGTCACTGCAGACAACGATGCAGCGCTACGGCGTGCCATGCTTCGCAGATCCCGTCCAGGGGGACAACACTACGCCCCAGGCGAATGGGTCATGTGCTGGCGCCAAGGTAAGGGTGCTCAAGAAGGATTTTGGGCAGGTCCAATGAAAATAGTTGTCCACGAAAATTCCCAAACTATATGGACCACACAAGTAAGCAAGCTGTTCAGGTGTGCACCAGAACATGTGAGACCAGTCTCCGCCATGGAAGCGAAAAACATTCCAATCACCCACAATGAACCCTCAGTATCAATAATCGCACAGCAAATTCCCCAGAGTAACTCCCAAGGAATCACTCGTGCCATCCCACTACCAACTGAAATACCCATAATCCCTCATGCTCATAATCCTCCTCAAATAAACCCAGAGTCACCACCAAGTATTAATCCCTCAGAAGGTCAACCGGATGTAGAACCAGAGGTTCCCTCCAACACGTCACAACCATCGACTCCAACACAAGAGATCCAACAAGAACATCACCCCATGCAATTGACAAACAACAGCAGGGAGATCACTGAAGAGGACCCAGCGGTCAACACACCTATACCAAATGACAATGCTGATGATGAACTCATTTGCGAGGGCCTACACTGTGTCGACCTGGACACCAATCCGTGTTTTGTTGCCGAGGAAACTGATCTTGCGTGGAGGTGTGAAGTACTGGTAACAGCCGATGACATACGTACGTGGCAGGAAGAAACTGACCCGTTAGAAATGGCATTTGTTGTGTCCGCCGCCAAGAAACAAAGATCTGAAGTAAAACTGTCAACACTCAATGCGCAAGAGAAAGAACAATTCCAAAAGGCAAAAGAAGCCGAAGTGCAAAATTGGCTCAAAACTGGAACGGTATCTAGAATCCTTAGGGATAAAGTACCCCACGAGCAAATTCTCCGATGCAGATGGATCCTAACTTGGAAGCCAGTTGATGATGACAAACAGTCTAAGACCGCTTCCCCCAACAAGGTCAAGGCGAAGGCAAGGTTGGTGATCTTAGGATATTTGGATCCCAAACTAGAGGAATTGCCCAGGGACTCTCCAACACTGGGTCGAAATGCCAAAATGTTGTTGCTTCAGTTGATTGCTTCAATGGGATGGCAATTACAGTCATTCGATATAAAGGCAGCCTTCCTGCAAGGCAAACCCCAAACAGATCGAGTACTGGCCATTGAACCCGTGAATGAACTCATACAAGCACTACAACTTAAAACGAATGAGGTGTGTAAACTCGAAAAAGGGGCATATGGATTGGTAGATGCACCGTTTCTTTGGTATTCAGCCATTTCCGAAGAACTAATTCGGTTAGGATTCAGCCAAAGTCCTTTCGACCCGTGCCAATTCATTTTGCGACACCCAAAGACAGGAAACCTCGAAGGTATCCTGGGCCTACATGTCGATGACGGCATCTGTGGAGGTAGTTCATTTTTCGATGAGAAGATTCGTCAACTTGAAATGAAGTATCCTTTCGGCAGCAAAAAGATCAAACAATTCACTTTCACTGGCATAGAAATGGATCAACTTTCAAATGGAAACATCACAATGAGACAAACCAAATATGTCAATGCAATCAATCCCATTCGAATACCTGCCGATCGGAAAACCAATGTTGACACGAAGGTCACCGAAGAAGAACGACAGATGCTGCGAGCACTTGTAGGAAGCCTTCAATATGCTGCAGTTCACACCCGGCCAGATCTAGCGAGTCGCCTCAGCCAACTTCAATCAGCCATTAATCATGCAACCATCAGTACACTCATCCTTGCAAATCAGACCCTTCATGAAGCCAAAAAGCACAGTGACACGACAATTCAAATACAAGCCATTCCCACAAAAGACTTTAGATTTCTGGCATTTTCCGATGCCTCATTTGCGTCTAAGGGAAATCCAAATTCCCATACTGGTAGTATAATTATGGGTACCCACCGTATGATCTCAGAAAATGTATCATGCCCAGTTAGTCCTCTAGCATGGGGTTGTAAGAAGATCCAACGTGTGGTGACCAGCACCTTGGCCGCAGAGACTGTATCCTTAAGCTCGGTATTAGATCATTTGTCATGGCTCCGTTTGTGCTGGGGATGGATGCTGGATTCAAATGTTGAGTGGAAGAAACCAAGTCAGGCACTTGAAAAGCTGCCGGAAACTTATTCCACTGCTACATATAAATCCCAGAACTTACCCGAAAGCATAGCGGCCACCGACTGTAAAAGTCTTTATGATCTAGTCACTAGGACAGCAGTTCCCAATTGTGCTGAATATCGTACCCAACTTAATGCCAGGTCCATAAAGGATTTCTTAGCAGAAGGGGTAAATCTACGATGGGTTCATTCCGGAGCTCAACTTGCAGACAGTTTAACCAAGATAATGGAGAATTCCTTCCTCAGGGAGACTCTTAGACTTGGGGCCTACAAACTGCATGATGAACTGGAAGTTCTCAAAAACCGTGCGTCATCCCGAAACCGAATCAAATGGTTGAAGGAGTCTTGCAAGCCAGAGAAGTCTCACGAAGGCTGCAATGATGAATGCATGTTGGCAATAAATGTTGGATTTTTGGGAGTGTAAATCCACATCATTGCAGTCAGAAAGAGATACAGCCGTTTGCATCCCTTCCACCAGCTCCTGAGGTCCACTAACAACTCCAAACATGTTTGCATGTATGTTAGCACACCGGCTCAGGGTTAGCCAATCATAGGTGCGGGCTAGGGAGGGATTCAGTGTGCCTTTGAAGCCATAGGATACTTGTTTGTTTGCAAGACGTGGACGTCTGCTTAAAGCCAGGGGCTTACAAAACTTGGACAGGCCGATCCAGGCCATTGCAATCTCAGCCAGCTCCTACGAGGAGACCCAGACTTTTGTGTGTGCCGCCGATCCGTGGAAAAGGAGCGGATCTTGGAGTTCAGTGACTTGTGCTGCCAGTGGGTTGAGCCATAGGCCAACTACAATATATATACATATATATATACATATACGATTCTATACATCTATTTCAAAATACATATATTCTGGCAGTCTATCTGTCTATCGGTCTTAAAAGTAACTTCCAATGTTACAAGATCGACCTGTGACTTTGCCCAATCTTCAGGTCCATCAAGTGCCAAGAGGCATCATGAAAAATTGCCCCAGTTTCCCGAATGGCATCTCTGAAAGCAGCATCACAGACATATTCCACTTGGAGATCCCTTTTCACCAACCCGCGGCACAGCGGGAGAGTTGGTTCTACATGATCAATTCGACCAGGGAAAACAAACGCAATGGTCGGCTTAGACGACATGGCGCTTGGCTGGAGATCTCTATAAAACTTGAGCCACACATCAATCAACTGTGCTTGGCAACAAAGTTAGAGCTATCTGATAGCCCCAGCAGTGATACGCAGAGAGTGTGTAGTTCGTAACTTCATGTAACTTCTGTGCGTTGTGTGAATTCGTGCCTTGTGTGTAGTTTGTACAGGCATGCGATGTGTGGATGCACAGTCTCACAAACATGTATGATCTTGGTACATCCATCTGATACGAGGCTACGCTTCTGGGCAAGTGCGAGTTTTGAAGAGGGACCAGCTTGTTTTCTTCTTTGTAAAACCCATTGGCCACTACAATAACTTGATATACCCCCTGGTGGCCTCAAACATGGCAATTCAAAATCAACCATTGGGTGATTTCCGATCGCTGGATACCAGAGGCTAACCAGAGATACAGCTTGATAAAAGTTGATATAGCTTGATTAATATGTTGATGCAACGTATATAACTGTGGATGGGCCAGCAAAATCCTGCACCAGTTGGGAACTCTGGGTAACTATAGTTCCCACTTTTATTATGGGGCGAAAAAGGGGGATAAACATGGATCAACTGCCTGCCCATCTACCAAATCTACCAACTGGTGATTTCGAAAAACTTCGCAACCATCCACAATGGAGGTTTCCAGAAAATAGGCTACCATGGGCTACCCCTAGTTATCATCCATTTTTCATGAGATTTTCCATGAAAACCATCCATCCATGGGGTACTGTGGCACCTGTGGCTGATAGCCAGGCGTCCACGGCGTCCACGGCGGCGACGATGCCCTCACCATGGCGGGCCCACAAATAGCCAGAGAGTAATGGATTTATACACCAAATCATATATAAATATATGTGTTATCATATATAATCATATATAATCATATATAATCATATATAAACATATATAAACATATATAATCATATTTATATATATATATGTCAATGTGGTTTATAAGGGAAATTCCATCTATAAATGGATGGAAAAAAAGGGGGTACCCCCATTTTAGCACACTTGCAAAAAACATATGGGCAAATTATAATGATTCACTAATCTGAAATGTTGGGCCATCTTGGGATGATTCCCCTTATTAACCATGATTCCGGTGAGGGAGAACAGTGAGGTCGTTATAATTTGCCCAGAAACATTGTTAGACCCTGACCAGATCGTTCCAGATGCCTCCAAGTCAGGCTTGAAGTTGCAGGGGCCACGGTGCCCATGGTACCCATGTTACCCATGGTGCCCATGGTGTTAGCTGCAGCGGAAGCCGCCGTGCCTGGACATGCTACAGGTTGGAGAAAAGAAGACCCATCTTGCCACATGTTGCCACTATTTCAGTGTAGGATTTTTCCGGTTCTATCTTTTTTGGGGGTGCTTTTTAACATGATAATAATATGCAGTTTTTTTCTGACCTTCCACAAGATTTTCTACGTTGTGCTTAGCCGCTTAGCCCCATGTCTTTAATGAACCCTATAGTTTCAACTGCCTTGAGGGGGTCCACATCTATGACTAACGCTCACAAAAAGGCAGTTTTTTTTGTTTTGCCAAGGCTTTTAGTCAAACCATCATGCCTGGCACAAGACAGTGTCAATATGTGAGGCCAGTATCCACTGGTGCCTGAGGTCGTCTTGACGCCCAAAGCACCAACAGGCAGCGTCAAGGGGCTGACTGCGGGACCTAGGCACTCGCTTCAAGTGTCTACCCACTTCTCAAGCTCAGGAAAATCGCAAATCAATTCTGCCGGTGTCAAGATGTCCTTAACATCCTTACCCTCTGATGATTGAACTTATGGAAGATAACCACTTTAATCGGTAAATCATCAGTCACCAGGTAAATCATCAATGATTTACCTATGATTACCCTCTGGTAAACTAACATAACTATGGAAAGATCCACCATTTTTAATGGGAAAATCCACTATTTAAATGGCCATTTTCAATAGCTATTTTGACATAACCAGAGGGTAATTAATGATGATTTATGATCATTTAACCTATCGAATCAATGGTTTTAATCCATCAAAAAATGGCGTCCATAGCTGGAAATCTTCCGCCTTGGACCGACTCCAAACGCTTTGCCTGACGGCAGCAACATGTGTTCCTGTTTTTTTCTCCTGGTTGAAGTTGTCACCCTTTGAAAGAAAATGGCTCTTGTAAAAAAAAACAAAAAAAATATTGGAATAGATTGAAATCAGCTACAACTGATGCCGACCGGCACTTGTCTGTCCTATCAGCAGAAATTGACAGCACTCCGTCAGACCTGTGTCACTTGCCTCAGCAAACCCAAATCAGACTCACCGGTGACAAGACTCTTTGTTGCTTCACATGGAGGGTGAAAAAAATATGAAAAAAATATATGAAGAAAAATTAATAACTTTTCGCAGAAATTGACTCTGATGTTCTCTCTTTCTTTTTTGCCGAGATTTTCAACATCCGCCTGGATGAGTGGTGCTGGCAGCTCCGTCTGAGGCCGCAGGGACCACCAAAACATGACAGGAAAATTCTTCCATTTTTACAGATGTTCCCAGCTATAAATCACCATTTATATCATTTATGGGAGACTTTCCTGGATCTGGATGTTTGAAGATGATTTTGTGAAGTGTGGCAGAAACTGGGGGTTCAGCATTGCATGAAGCAAAAAACAAGGCCATTCTAACATTGGAAGGCATGGAAAACAATGGGCGTACCATCCGCAAGCATGCGTTTTTTCTGGGAAGCGCCTTACTCCTTGGGAGTCTGTGTTCATTCAAACCCGGTACCATCGCTTTGAGCCGTTGAGTCTACAAACAACCATGACAGAACATGACAGAACGGTAGTAGAAGAAGAAGAAGAAAAAGAAGAAGAGGAAAAATACCTTCAGACCTGAACCTTTGCCTGAGAATTCGGAATATCTCGATGCCATTCGGATGGTGTTTTTGGCATGAAATGGAGCTCCCGCATCCTGGCCTTCACGGCCGCAACACTTGCTGCATCCTGGCGGCACCGGAAGGCTGACAGCGGTTGACACATCATCATGTTCCTATTTGGTGCACGGTTCATCACCTTTTTTGAGACATCGTTTTTGCGAGCCGGCGGATTTCTTCCCCTGTTTTCCAAAAAAAAACGCTCCGCTCTTCCCGTTTCTTCAGATACCTTCCATTTTTTGATGTCTTTATTCCTGCGTACCCTTTGTCTGATTCCCATGTTCTCTCGTGTCATTTTTACTGTTTCCCTTTCTTCCTGGTCCTTCGGTTTCCCATTGTTCCATACACTTTTTTTGAGGCATGTTTCTTCGGAGACAGTTTTTTTTTTCATCTCCCTTCTCCCTCCTTACTTCTTTCCCCTCCCCGTGTTCCGCCTTCCCCCTTTGTGTGATTCGTGTCTATCATTGTCGATCCGTGTCTTCGTGGAACCAGAAGGATCTGTTCCAATGAACGCAGAAAAAATATTCACCCAAGTGGTAGTAGTAGTGGCAGCATTTTACGTAAAAACTCGAAGAATTTCTTGTCCATCACACTGCCTCAGCAGGTTCCCAGTGCCTTGCAGCGAGTTCCGCATCTTCGACAATAAATGGCATCGCTTGGGACATTGGCACCACAGGAGGGACAAAGGTCCTGAAATTCTGAGGGTTCTGCAAAAGAATCGGGCCGCTCAGGAAATCCCGGAAATCCCTCCAACTGAGCTCATTGGTCTCTGGGAAACAAATCCAACCAATCGACCCCAGTTGCCCAGACTTTCAATTTTGAACGAAGTTCTTGTCCTTTCAGTGGCAACTAGTCACTACAAAGAACCCGGCTTGTCCGGGGGGGGGTAAACCGATGCCAACAAAATAGAAATAGTGATGAAGTGATGAGGTGATGAAGTGATGAAGTCATGAAGTGAGAAAGTGACAATGAAGTGATGATGATGACGATGATGATGATGATGATGATGACGATGATGACGATGACGATGGCGGTGACGATGGCGGTGACGATGGCGGTGACGATGGCGGTGACGATGGCGGTGACGATGGCGGTGACGATGGCGGTGACGATGGCGGTGACGATGACGGTGACGATGACGATGACAATGGCGGCAACCATAATGATAAACATTGACAAACATTGATGAACTGCATGTGGCATGACCTTTGGACAGTTTTGTGTGGATCAGGTGCAAACGCTTGTAGTTGATTGATGCTGATTCTACGCAGGAAATCGAGTCGGGAAGAACTACAGTACCTCATAGTTGTTGTATGAAATCAAGTCTAGACCCACATAAAGCCCAAACGAAATCCAATGGCGTGCCGTTGAGTCGTTGAGTTGAGATAACTCTGCCATTTGTGTCTCACTCAGCGAAGTCCTCTGTGGGCAAGGAGGCATCCAAACGTCTCACAGGGGTGGTCCACCTCGAGTCACGTCATCCCTACTAGTATTAGTTGAGGTTGATCCTAACCAGATTCCGCTAGAACTCAGGGTCTGAAGGTGTACAATGCTGTGGCAAATGTGGAAATTGATGTAAATTGATGTAAATTGATGTAAATTGGATTTCTCAGCCTCTGGAATAATTGTGAACCCTTTCCGAGTCTCCGCCGAAAAAGTGCCAAGTCAAACTCACGAGGAATCCATTTCTGATGCAATTCCAACTGTACTAGGGCTAGTTTTTTCAGGGTTTATCACTTTCATCTCAGCAAAAATGCTGAAGTTCTTCAACACATTTCCAAACTCCAAGGTTCTTCGCAAGTCTGCCTTCGAACTTCAGGAGTTCTTCAAGTAATCTCCAGCCAAGTCAGCTCTAGAATTTTGAGCAACTGGCGAGTTGAGGAAAGGTCACCAACATGACCCAATGAGGATAACTTGGTGAATGGGAAGAAATTGTTTAGCCGTTTAGCCGTTTAGCCCATCTGAACTGTGTTGTGTTTTTTAACAAACAAGTTGCTGATCTCATGTATTTGTTCGGAGCTTCATGGCCGCCACATTCTCCAATTCTCCATACCCCTGCGCGCCTTTCTTTGGGATCTGAACCTCTTCAAAACAGACCAGCGTGCCAGCGCTCACTCACCACTTTCCAACGAGAGCAGATTTCATTGAATTTGGATGTTGGATTGATTTCTTGGAAATCAACAGGAACTCAATGTGACCTCAATGTGACCAAGATTGACAAATGGCGCCTCCCCGGCTGGATCGTTGGGAAGAGACAGGAGTACCTCGGGTCGTTGGGAATTCCATTCGGCGGCCTTCGAACATCTGGCTGAACCCTAACGAGACAACGCGACAAGACTGTACCATTGGGATATCTGACGAGTATAGGGCTGGACTTGGAAGGCAAGTTGCTTGGGCAATTGAACAATTTCGACTGGTTTTCTTGTCGGCATAACATGAAGAGAATGTGCTCCCTCAACTGCTGGGGAGGGTTTCAATCAAACTGTTTCGGCGTCCGGGTTTGCCTTTCTAATGCTGGATTGGCCCTGATTCAAGCATCACAAGGCTTTTGCACGGTAAACCTAAATCGGGGCCTTCACCCGTCACATATGGTTGTTATATCACAATGTCGCAACCAAGAAGCGCTCTGTGGAAGCCTCAGTGGCCAACTGCGAAGTCCGTAGGTTGATGCAAGTTCGAGAAAAGCAAACATCCATGGCCCGGGTACCAACCAAGATCGTACTATATAATCTATGTTATATATATATATATAATCATTATTAGATATATAGTGTTATTATAACTATTTTCATCGTCATTCCTATCATTATTATGAGTAGTACTAGCGATAGTACTATTACTGGTAATATGATCAATATTGTTGTTATCATTAGTATTATATTACATGTCTATGTATATGACCATTGATATGTGTGTATACACGTAATGTATTATTACATCTATATTATACATTATACATATGTATATATATATATATTATATATATATATAAATACTGAACATGTGTTTGTATTACATATATGTAGTACACATGCATACATACATATATGTGTATGTTTATACATATATATACATACACATATGTACAGACAAAGATTTTAGTCACAGGAATTTTCTGGAATCACCATATTTAGTATGGGAGGACATCGATTTTCACCCCGTCACAGCAGGGTCACAGCAAACCTGTTTGAGCGGTCGGCTCTCCAAGAGTCATACCATGTCTTAGTGCATTTCGACCTCAACCCCTCAAGGGAAAACTGAGCAACTGTATTGCATGTGTCGATATATATATATATATATTACGTGTGTGTTTGTGTATATAAAATAATATTCCGTGTATGTATGTATATATATATGTATGTATGTATCGGTATATGTGTTTACATATATATATATATATGAATTATTCTCATTATTGCTATTATCATGATTTATTATGTGTTTTTGCTATTCTTACTCTTATTATTATTTTATTGTTATTTATTTTTATCTTGTTATTTTTGTATTATTACTACTATTATTATTACTATTATTAGTGTTATTATTACTATTATTAGTGTTATTATTATTATTAATTATTATTATTACTATTATTATTATTATTATTATATTACGTGTATACATATATATATATACTACATATATTTACTTGTGTATATATATATAACTATATGATAAGTTTCTATAATTATTTCAAATGATATATGCGTATGTTCTATAAATATATGTTAAATATGAGATATAATGATATATGCCTGATTACTTGAAGGCTTCACTTTGGCTTACCATTCAGAAGTTGCGTATTGCGCACTTCGATCCATCAACGTAGGTGCCAACGGGATCATGGTGAAGTTGGGAGCCCCGCTCCCTTTGGGCTAGTGTCGCTGGGACCCATGGCCACCTGTCGCACCAAAAATGGAGGTGTCCATAGTCATGGTGGTACCCCCATAGCTGGATGCTTTTTGATATGGAAAATTCATCAAAAAAAATGGATGATTCGGGGGGACCCATGACTCAGAAACCCCCATAAAAGTGTTTCGCAAATTCAACGGGAAAATGTATGTCACAATACCCTCTGGTAATGACTAACATAGCTATTGAAAATGGCCATTTATAGTGGATTTACCCATTAAAAATGGTGACTTTCCATAGTTATGTTAGTTTACCAGAGGGTATGTCACAATATGTCCAATACCTCAGTGATTGCCCTTCGCTTCGAGGTCCCAAGAAGCTTCGAACCTTCTGCACAGAAATGTTGCTCCGCAAAACAAACAAAAAGTACAGAAGCAATAAGTTTGATGAACTTTGTAGATTTGAAGAATGTGGATATCGAGTGACATGTTGGTTTTCGGACTCCCATGTTCCTCATGTTTCCTCATGTTCCCTCGCCTCTGCACCTTGGCGCACACTTTGGGGCACCGACGCCGGGTCCGGCTCCTGGCAAATGTCAGCTATGTCGGCTGCGTCGACCTGAATCGGTTTCTTTGTCGTCGCAGTGCAGTTGTTAAGTTGAGCGGCAAAAACGTTTCTGGTTTCTCTTTTGCCAATGGATCAATAATGATCAATACCTATACTGGTTGGTGGTATACCTACCCCTCTGAAAAATATGAGTTCGTCAGTTGGGATGATGACATTCCCAACTGAATGGAAACATGAAAGTCATGTTCCAAACCACCAATCAGCTATAGATACCATTTTTAGGGGAACATCCACTTCCCAGCGATTTTGATTCTCACCGGTCTCAAGGTGGGTCCCGGTCCTTAGCAAGGCAGCTCGGCAAAGGTGGCACCTCGGCTGCGGACCACATTCGAAATGTTGATCTCCGAATGGCAAGCCTCAAAGTCACAGAAAGTGACTATACACTAGTTAGATATGGTGTATATATATATAGAGAGTATAGTTACGTATAGTTACATGTAGTATACATGTATAGATGTGGGGTGTGTGTATATATATATATAGTATACACCCTATATATATATTATATATACTAGATATATACTATATATATACTATATATATATTATATATTATATACTAGACTATATATATATACTATATATATACTATACATATATATATACTATATACTATATATACTATACATGTATACCATCCCATGATGCCGTGTTATCCATCTCACCCGTCATTTTGGTGGCTCAGGATTTCACTGTGATCACCGAGGGCCTGGGATTTTCTGGACAGCTCTGCCTTGGAAAAAAAATCAACCGAGACTCGCAATGGCACAGGTATGCACAGGTCACTTTTTTTTGAAATGTGAGGAAGTATTTTCAGATAGTTTGAGATATTTTGAGAACATCTACATGAAAAATCATGAATTTCGGTCTCGATGAAGACTCTAAATTGCCATTGAGAATGGAGGCTGACATGAGCGGCACGGACTTTGAACAAATTTAAACTATTCAGAGCATCTTAGTGACTCTAATTATTGAAGTTGAAGGCAATTTGCCAAAGGAGATCTGAAGAAGACGAGAACCAAACTGAACCCAAGTGAAGCTAGCTATATCTAGCTATACCCTCTGGTAATTTAACATAACTATGGAAAATCATCATTTTTAATATGTAAATCTGTAAATCAACTATTTCGACTGGGCCATGTTCAACAGCAAACTGTTTTGACGTTTACCAAAGGTCACCCCCAACCCATCCAAACCCACCAATGTTCCCTTGTGTGCCAACTGCATTGGCTCGGATGAGGATAAGTGGACCTGAAATGCGACACGCAGAAAGCACCAGTGTTGAAGACTCAAACAAGTAAAGATCAATAGGGAGTCGATCTACCTCTCCAAGTAATCTTTTTAAGCAATCTTTAAGCATTTTGTGAATCTTCAATGCAACGCCCTGCAAATAATTCTGTTTGTGCTGCGCAGAATTGATACTTGTCTAATTTCCAATAAAACAAGCATATATATATACTTGTCTATATTGATAGATAATTGATACTTGTTTTTGCTGTTGGACAGATTCGTGTTTTCGGAAAATCTGTGGTGAACCAGCCTCCGGACCAGGACCTGCCACAGGGCCATGACGCTGTAAGGCCTGGTTTCGAATCTTCGGCCGAAGTTTTGGAACTCCCAAAATCAAACCCAGGAAATCGTCATATCGAGAACTGCAGGCTTTGAAGCAAGCTTGGGGAAATGTATGATATTATATATATTACATATATATATATGATATGTTATGTAAGTAACTATATATATAGAGAGAGAGAAGGAAAAAAAAAATAGAGTGATAGAGAGATAGATAGATAGGTAGATAGATAAATAAATAAATAAATATATATATAATATATATATATATTATAGAGATATAGATATAGATAGATATAGATAGACAAAGACATGTGGCCACACAGATTTTGGAGCGGCAAAGGTCACGCTGACCTGGTTGGTCAAGAAGCCGTGTCTTTGACGGTCTTGGTGCAGTATCTTAGCTGTAGACTGTGCGCAGCACCTGTCCCGTCACTTCAGGACTAATGTGTCGAATCAGAACTAGTGTCATACATGATATGGCAAGTCAACAAATCCCTGCCGAAGCGAAAGCTCCTGGTGTTACAAATTATAGCAGTGTCTCTCAGGTCATGATCTTCATCTTCATATCCTCGTCTGGCTCTTGTGCGGCACATTTCAAGAAAAACAACAGCACTTAAAAATGATCACTTTGGATCATGATCCACTCAAAGTGCTGAAAAATCCACTTGGTCAGCCACTGATCATCAGCCAAAAATGATCAAACACTGCAGTGGCTTTGGATTCTGCTTCCAGTCCCCTGGCTCTTGGTTGCGGCTTCCACTGGAATCTCAACTGCCCTGCTACCAAATCCCAGCCACAGAAAAGGCACGAGAAATGGCCGGCAGAAATCATGGCAAGTGTTCAACATTTGCCAGTGGTTAATGAAATTATGGATAATTATGGCATGTTTCCATGTTTCCAAAAATCATCAGATTTTTTTGATAAATCATGATAGATCCCAGTTGCCAGCGCACTGCGCACAGCTGCGCACCGCGCGCATCACTGAAGCTTCTTGCCACCCGCCATCTTCGATTTGGGCTTTCTCGGCTTGGGGGACGACCATGATGCACGACAGCAACACCACAGGCAACACTTCAGACCTTGGTCGACCAAGGAGCCAAGCCGAAGCCATGGATGGATGGCTTGGGCTGTGGTATCCATGGATTCTCCATGGATTCTCCACTAAGGGGGGCTACAGCTCTCCTGAGCTGAGCCGGAATGTCATATGTTGTGAAGTTTTGTGCACTTGCAGTCATGTGCCAGGAATGAAACAAATCGACCGTTTGTTTTGGATCTATTTCTTCATGTTGCAAAACTGGGTATTATTGATACCTGGTTTTTCCCATGCTATTCTGAGACAGCAAGAGATACCCATCATTGATGCTCACCTGCGAATATGAGCCCATCAATGGGAACTTGATTTGGGATCAAACACGTCCCTATTATATAAATGGCCTGGACAAAATTCAGGGAGCTGCGCTTGCAAAGTTTGGGGCCGAACAAAACATCTAACCACCCTGCTACCACTTGGGTTTTGTAAAGCTTTTATTGGGTCGAAATCGATCCACTCAGGATGTGTCGTTGAACATGAATCCAATCTTGACGTTTTCACACCAAGTAGCAGCATAAACAAGTGCAAAGGCTCATCAAGAAGCAAAAGCACGCAAACGCTGTGCTCAGCACCTGAATTTTGACCATCGAAAGCATCCAAAAACGGTATTCACCTACATAAATTGTGGTGCAAGTATTGAATCACTTCAATCTCTACAAACACATGCGTACTTAGAAAAATCAGGCGAAGTTGGAAAAAAATCCAAAAATCACAGCTCTCCAAAGTCCCAACTGTCCAGCTGGAGGCACAATCTCAACCTCGTGGGTTCTGTGAAGAAATGGGTCCACCTGCGTCCACATCGCCGGCAGCATTGGGTCTAATTCCCTGTGAAAAAGTCCTTGGATCTCTGCAATCTTTACCACAACGTTCAACTTTCATAAATTGGAATCGATCGGAACATACTGCTGCATACTCGATGTTGTCATACAGCTAGATAAGAAGCTGGAGGTCACAGGCGCGAGATTCAAATAGGTCTTTGAAAGATTGAAAAGTGTTGAAACCCATAAGGAAAGGAAAGGCTTTAGCAAAGGGTCACGTCGCTGAAGGTGGTACAGGGGTTGTGGCAAAAGCAAGCACATGCGCATCCGCAGCAAGAGGTTGCTTGGCTAAACCCAACGATTTTACTAAGAACACGGTCCATGTTCGTTTCCCACGTCTGTTCCCAGCATCCGTGTGACATGTCTGAGTCTACCTGGACATACCGTGACCATATTCGTCTAAAAAAAAGTTTACACTGACCCTCGTTTGCCTGGTGCTTGTCTGGCATCAAACTAGCAACTGCGACCTTTTGCTACAAAGAACTGAACCCCGGTCTAGCAGTCCACCTGATCCATTGCTTGACGGATTTCGGGCGGAGGCTCCAAATACCTGGCTCCCCAAAGCTCCCTGGGAACTTGCGAAGTTCCAGAGTTCTCGTGGTTCCCAGCTGTACAATGAGGTCCTCAATGCTGATTTTTTTTTTCAACCCCTGATTCTTGTTCACCCCTGGCCCACTGTGGTAAACCCAATCATAAACTACCAACCAATAAAAAGGGTCAATTTACATCATCCGAAGTAAGGCATACGTACCAATACTAAGCCCCATTTGGAGATGGTTTACGTCTACGTATTATTATTGGGGTTATCACATTATCTATTTTTATCCCACTACCGAAACCCATTTTGAGTGGTTTTTTCATCTTTTTTCACCATGGGAAAGCCATGGGACATTTGTTGGGACATTTTCACCGCGCCTTCCCTCAGCAGCTGCCTCGATGAGCTGCAAGCTTCGGTTCAAACCACCCAAACGTTTCAGCGCTGCTCCGAGTCGCTGCGCTTGGGCTGCGAAGCTCGGCTCCTGGAGCGGGGTCAGCTTCGTTCGTCGATGGAATCGGAAAACGGCGTTCAGATGTGACTTTTGAAGCTGCGAAGTGATAAAGAATGAGAAAAGTGTCCTTATCACCAGTTCATGAGTTTTCCCTTGTCCATTTCCAGCACATTATGAACCGAAGCTGCGTTTTTTTTTTGTGTCTTGAAAAGTCTCCCAAAATGAAGAGTCTTTTGTCGAAAATCGCCCCGCCGGGGGGGGAATTGAACGTGGCGGCGTTGCCATTTTGATGTTTGTGGATCCTGTGTCGTTTGGCGTTTTGCAGTGGATTTCATGTTTTTTTGTCAAGTTTGCGTCTCAATTCCATTGGTTTTATTGTTTTTCTGTGCGTTGGCCATCTAATATGGACATTTCATCCCAAGAAAAGTACTCTATTTTTGGTGGGTCATTTCGCAAAGTGACAGTGGGGCCATGGTTTTGGCACATGAAAGCGGTTTTTTTCTGCGCCAAGGTTTGGTCACATCTGTGCCAAGGTTTTGCCAGTCAGAGACATCAGAAAATCTCCGTGTTTGAGGGATTCCCAGCGCCATTGCCACGATCGGACATGCTTTGTTGATCTCTGACTGGTCTTTGGAACTGCACAAAGACGACGGAATGGTTTGCTTCGCAAGCTTCCAGCAACTGTCCACAGTGTCTGTGTCCAAGTAGAGAAGAAAGCAAAGTACTTGGAAGATGTCTTACAAGGGATGCTAACAAAGTTGGAAGTTGATAGAGAAGATAACAACGTATTTGGATGTATTTGGAAGATGTCCTACAAGGGATGCTAACGTAGTTGGAAGTTGATAGAGAAGATAACAACGTGGTTGGATGGTAACGTAGTTGGAAGTGGATAGAAAAGACAACAACCTAGTTGCACGAAGTCGGACAAGAGATGATAACGTAGTTGGAAGTTGCTAGAGAAGATAACAATGTACTTGGGAGATGTCGAACAAGAGATGTTCATGCAGTTGGAAGTTGATAGAGAAGAAAGCAAAGTACTTGGAACATGTCTTACAAGGGATGCTAACGTAGTTGGAAGTTGATAGAGAAGATAACAACGTAGTTGGAAGACGTTAATACACCACCCCGCCCCGTGCAAGATGTTAGAGACGTCAATAACGCAGTTGAAAGTTCTTACCACGCAGGACGTTGACGTAGTTGAAAGTTCTTACCACGCAGGACGTTAATACCCCACCTCACCCCACCCCAAGATGTTAGACAGTTTAAAAAAGTGACAACTACACGTTCGGTTGTCCACCCGTAGGCAAAATCGTGTTTGACACCATGCCCATGTGATTCGTACAATGATCATTTGCCGTCACAGAGGTGACTTGGACTGTCAAGATGCCAATCGATGGGATAAGGCTGAGATAAAACCATGCTGGTGATGATGATGATGATGATGATGAGGAAGAGGAGGAGGAGGATCATGATGATCATGATGATCATGATGATCATGATGATCATGATGATCATGATGATCATGACGATGACGATGACGATGACGATGACGATGATGATGACGATGATGATGATGATGATGATGCTGGTGATGGTGATGATGATGATGATGATGGTGATGATGATGATGATGCTGGTGATGGTGATGATGATGATGATGATGGTGATGGTGATGATGGTGATGGTGATGATGCTGGTGATGGTGATGGTGATGATGATGATGATGACGATGATGATGATGATGATGATGCTGGTGATGGTGATGGTGATGATGATGATGACGATGATGATGATGGTGATGGTGATGATGATGGTGATGATGATGATGATGATGACGGTGATGGTGATGGTGATGATGATGATGATGATGGTGATGCTGGTGATGGTGATGATGATGATGATGATGATGATGATGCTGGTGATGGTGATGATGCTGGTGATGGTGATGATGATGATGATGATGATGATGATGATGATGCTGGTGATGGTGATGATGGTGATGGTGATGATGGTGATGGTGACCACGTTTGCCATGATCGCACAAAACCCTCCGGTCTATCCAGATTGCAAATGTACAAAAACTCTGCTTCACCCAGCATGACATCGAAGCTTCAAGCTGTTTGTGTCGTGTGGTTCTCAGATTCAGCGGTTCAACACTTTGCCAAGCGCCCTGAAGGCGCCACAGTCCCTGACCTGGAGTATGCGGGCTGCGACCTGCCAAGGCCCATTTCTCGTGATTTCTCTGGACTCTTGGCCCATCCATAACCAGCCGGATATTTGAGATAAGGAGATACGGTCAGATACGGTGCAAATGACAAAAACATCCCGCGGGTTTTTGGGCGAGCATGTCACAATGCCCAAATGATGCCTGTGATGCCCAAATGGTGTAGCTGCCGGAATTTTACGTGGTGAAACCTGTAAAATCATAGCAGATCGTGTTTCTACCACCGTCCAAATCCCCACAGGAAGCCCAGGTAACAAAATCGCCTCTGGTAGGTTTCCAAAGTCTGGAATCACCAGGAGAGCAGCACCTGTGCGGCGTGCCTGGTGGGTGTTTTAGCATTGTAGTGCTGCTATGCTCACAAGTGTTGGGCCGGAGTATCTAGAGCGGTTTTTCGGCTTCAGCCCACCTGCGGAATCAAATAATGCATTGGCTCAGACAGGAATGAAATGTCAAGAAGTGAATGGTTTGTGGATAGATGTGAACGAAAACCAGCAGAAAAACAAGGACACGCCGCCCGCAATGACCCCGCGCAATTTCACCTTTTTTCCAGCAGCTCAGTCTTCAGTTTTGCAACCCTTCCAGGGTTTTGTGACATTCGCATTTTGACATGACTTGCATTTCCATTGGTATTTGCATGACTTTGTAGTCGTTTTCATGAATTTACAGTGGTCGAAGCATTCAATTTTTGTCCCCATACAAAAAAAACCGAAGTTTTTATATTTTTCACTTGCAAGTCTTTGCCAACGTGCCAAGTTCTTTCAATCTTGCAAGTCTTTCAATCCCCACACCATCAGCAACGTAACAACATGTGACGTAGCAACGATCCCAGAGATCTCTACAGCGTAGCAACATGAAATGTACGAAGTGCAAGGAACGTAAACATCCCACCCCACCCCACCCCACACCACCCCACACCATCAGCAACGTAACAACATGTGACGTAGCAACGATCCCAGAGATCTCTACAGCGTAGCAACATGAAATGTACGAAGTGCAAGGAACGTAAACATCCCCCCCCACCCCACCCCACACCACCCCACACCATCAGCAACGTAACAACATGTGACGTAGCAACGATCCCAGAGATCTCTACAGCGTAGCAACATGAAATGTACGAAGTGCAAGGAACGTAAACATCCCACCCCACCCCACCCCACCCCCCCACACCATCAGCAACGTAACAACATGTGACGTAGCAACGATCCCAGAGATCTCTACAGCGTAGCAACATGAAATGTACGAAGTGCAAGGAACGTAAACATCCCACCCCACCCCACCCCACCCCACCCCACACCATCAGCAACGTAACAACATGTGACGTAGCAACGATCCCAGAGATCTCTACAGCGTAGCAACATGAAATGTACGAAGTGCAAGGAACGTAAACATCCCACCCCACCCCACCCACCCCCCCACACCATCAGCAACGTAACAACATGTGACGTAGCAACGATCCCAGAGATCTCTACAGCGTAGCAACATGTAATGTACGAAGTGCAAGGAACGTTAACATCCCACCCCACCCCACCCACCCCCCCCACCCCCCCAAAAGAAAACACAACACGCACATGGCACATCAAAACACGCAAACCGCCTGGGGTCGTTAGAGGCGGCGTGAGCAAAAACAAATGCCTAAAGGGAGCTGACATCAAAAGCAACAACGAAACAGATCTCCTTTCTGTCATCCCATTTATACTGGTTGGTTGAAAGCTGGACTCCCAGTTTTTTGTGAATCCCCAATAAACCGTTGGCCGTTGTTCACCCGTCAATCAACATCAAGCGGCCCAATCTGCCCGGTCGCCTGCATCGCACAAGCGCTGTGCATTGCCCTTCTGGTCCGAGAAAGATGGATAGGCCAAGGTCGGAACACCTGCTGAGAGGCTGTCCTCGGGCTCCGAGGTGATGACAGCTATGTACAATGACAATATAAATGAAACATAGAACTATCCCAGTTGTCCCCCTTTGAGCGGGCCAGCTTTTGAGATATGCATTTTGACTTTGCGTTTGCATTTTGAATTTTGACATAGATATGTCAGAGCTATCTCCGAGGATCTGTTCCCAACTTTATTCAGCTTTGTCAAGTTTCTGTAACACCTCCCCAACCGCAATGGGAGAGGAACATTTTCACGGCCGGATGAGCTAAAACTTCTGGCTGTGGCGTGAACGCCTGGCGGAGTTCGAAATCTCCAAGTGGGACGGGACGATAAAAACATGGCCTTCAAACCACAAAGTCGCATCATTTGTATATGTTGATATATGTATATGCATGTACATATGCATATATATATACATACATAGTCACAATCGTACATCTATATATATATACAGGGAGAGAGGGAGAGGGAAAAAAAAAGAATGTATCTATGTATGTATGTATGTATGTATGTATGTATGTATATAGATATATACATATATATATATACATATATATATACATATATATATACATATATATATACATATATATATATACATATATATATACATATATATATTCATATATATATACCCCACGGTCCATTGTTGCTTAACGCTGCGACCGGTGCTGTCTTTGAATTCTAAAGATGGCAGTTCCTACTTCGCGAAGTCTGTGCCGAGATGTTTACTGTACGAAGCCAGATTCATGGCTGTCCATCTCTGTAAATCCTCCGGCGAAGGGGAAGCTTGTGCCGCCATCTCCATGCCGTCAAGGCCCTTGCGGATTGCAGTGGCCAATGCACCGCAAAAAGCGGGCGGGTATTCCTTCAGGAATCCCGTCTTCCAATTGCCCTCTTGGCTTAGACCTATCGCCTTGCCCTTTGGCAAAGTCGACCTAGTCATCCACCGTCTCAGCTCCAGCGCAAGGTCAGGAATGTTGATGACCAGGAGGTCCGTCGGCTTCGGCGACGGGGCGCCGAAGAGCCCTTGTGCCAGTCGACGCCTGGTCACACCAGGAGCCGCAAGGAGCGCCTGAACAAATGGAAGCTTCCAAATCGCGGCCGCCTGGTCTTCCTCAGGTTCCGCAGGGTGCTCCACAATGCCAAGGCCGCCCGTCTGCACCATCATCGACGCCAATAACAGAGTGAAGGTGAGCAACTCGTTACCAGTGGCAACCTGGACTAATTCCTTCAGAGCCAGGCTGGGAAGGCCCCAGAGGTGTTCCTCCGTCCTGACAATTCTTGGAGCATGCCGCTCCTTCTGTTGTCCTGCCACTTGTTTTCCGCGTGCTCTGGACCAAGTCTCCCAGGGAGGCCCTGCAATGAACCCTGCAATGAAGCCTTCCTGTGCCATACGTAGCCAGTACGTCCGCGTCTGAGTGGCAGTAGCGTCACCCCAGACAGGGTCAATCACTATGTCAACACTGACAACGTGAAGCACGTATGCACTCTTGTCAAGGTAAAATTGAAGGTCCCCTCGACGTCGGCGTCCTGCGAAAAGGTGAAGGAACACACGGTGCCGTCCAAACGCCCTTGGGATCGCAGGATGCATGCTCCAGTCTGTCACTGCAAAATCAATGCACTCACGCTCAAGAGCTGCTCTGGTCTCACTGATCTTGATCTCTTTGCGAAGCGGCTCATCAAGTCCCCACTCGCTCGGTTGTCGCAGAGTGCTCAGCTCATGCTTGACCTGCGCGATGGTGACCCTCCAGTGCTCAATGTCCGCGTCGTTCAGGGAGTCCTCGAAAAAGTGCAAAGTGCGCGTCCAGGTAGTCCAGGAGATAGCTCGTGCCCTCGCTTCATTCTGTATCTGATTCATAGCGTCCGTCATCGTAGGCGCATCAATACAGATTTCCATGATTGCCATGTGTAGGTCATTGTCAATGCCAGGGTCCTCCCTAAGCCGCGGAACAGGTTGCTGCGGACCTTCAAGGCGGAGAGGTGGAAGAAGTCGATCATGTTGGTTCTTCAACTTTTTGTCCCTGGCAGAACCTGTGCCTGGTTCTGGAGTGCAGGTGTAGTTGCGGCTTTGCAAGAGGCGTCTGCATCTTTTGGAGTAGTACAAATGTGCCGTTATCTTTTCCATGGTGTGGTACTCCTTGAGACAGGCTGGGCAGCTTGTCGAGTCCACCAAGCTCCGTCTGCTGGCATGGTGCTGGTGGACCTTGAACATGTGTGCTGCTTCGCCTGCGTGTGAACGACATCGTTTGCGACAGGCAAGACATCCAAATGTAACTCCAGTGTCTTCTGCTTCTTCCTCGTCATGTGGCACATAATCAAAGAAAGCTCTGAGTCCTTGCACCGCAAGCTGATGAAAGTGCAGGATATGCCACTCATTGCTTCGTTGAAGGATGGCATGTTCACACGCACGGCGAACAAGTTTCCTCCAGTACGTACGGTGGTGTAAAATCAGACCATGCCATTGTGCCCAATGATCTTGAGGCCGGCCAAGACTTGAGCAATTTTGAAGCTGCTTCCATACCCAGTTCATGTCTTCTTCGACCAGGAGGATCCACTGCCGATCTTGCTCAAGTAGTCCCCACTCTCGTCTCGGTCCGCTGTGCAGTAGCGTGGCCACATAGCGCAATCTCGCACGGCGAAGGAGTTCAATGGGGCTCGGGAGTTTGACCTGTGCTAAAACTTCAAGATCATGTAGATGCTGGTCATGAGGAACAGGGAGGAGTCTTCGATATAGTCTGATGGTGGCCGCATGGAAGTACTTTTCTGTCTTGTCATCAGTGACTATCCATGTGTCGGCTCCATAGAGCAATTTGCTCAAGATCAACGCCTCAAACAATTGTACCCGCTTCATCAAGGGGATTGACCAATTGCGGAATACAAGTTTGCTGTGTTGTGTCATTGCAGTATGAGCAATGGCAATGCGTCGTTTGATCTCGGCCTGTTGATCTGCCACATGATGAACCAGCCCTCCAAGATGACAGTACCTCGATGCGACAGGAACCTGAAAAGTGCCATATTCGCAGATGATTGGTAGGTGACCAGCCGCGTGTGTCCCGTAGAGCTCTTTCTTGTGCTGCCTCGACGCCTCTCCACGGAGAGAGAAGAGGATTTCGGTTTTGTTCGGCTGCAAATTCGGAGTCATACAATGCTCCATGCAGAGTTCAAGGAGGCGGCCCGTCGCCAGAGACGCTCTTGTAATGGTCTGCGCAGGACAATGTCCCTCCACGCAAACGCATAAGTCGTCCATCCAAGTTGGTCCGACAAATTGCTCATGGGTAGCTGCCTCTGGTGGGTCATCTGTGAAGAGCATCAACGTAGGTCTGGACGGAAATGCACTGAGGATGTTCTGCTGCTGCATGAAATCTTGCAACTTTTTCAACACCACAGCCCAGACATAGCTAAATATCACATCTGCGAACGGGTCACCAGGTCTGGAACCATGTGTAGTCTGAACCACATCATGCTGGTGGTGCATCCAGAAGAAGGTTTGCGAGTGCACCGCTCGGATGCTGCGTCTTTGCTGCGGGTTCATGCCTGCTTGTTCCAATGCACAAGGTCCACGTAGAAGTCTGTGGAGTTCCGTCATTGCATCTTCTGGCATCTTCAATCTCTGCATGAGCTGTGCAATCGCTTGATCAGTGACCGCACCCTCCATGCAAATCGGTCTGAAAATTCGATAGAAAGCTTCCTTAAGGTCGAGCATGATGAGGGCACATGAGTGACCATGATGTCGTGCTTGCCGATGAAATGCTCGAACCAAATGAACTCCATAGGTCACAGGCATGGCCCGACGGCCTCCCAGCTGTTGTGCCTGCAAAAACGTTTCGAAGATGCAAGCTTGTGAACATCTGATGGTACGATGCAAGGATTTCCCAATATGGCTGGAAATCAACAATGAACGGTAAGAGCTGCATGCAGTGGTCTGACCCTTGCCTTTGTACGCTTGTACAAGCAATCCACCTTTGTACCGTAGTGCTTCATGGCCAAACAGCAAGAGTTTCCAAAGTGAGGAGTACGTAGCTCGTGCACAGGCTGCAGGTGCCAAATGACATAGTTCACACGATCTGGTCCAGTCGCCTTGCCGACTGCAACTCGTCGATAGGCCAGTTCAAGGTCAGCCAAGGTAGGGAGTTCCTTCACCGAGATCTGGAACGGCTCAATCGGCTCATAGCGCAAGTCGTTCAGCCAATCAGCATGTAACTCCTCCATTGATTGTCTTTTGCCTCCCTCCATCTCGGCAAAAAACTTGATCCAAACCTGCAAAGCTTCTTCCGATGTTGTGCAAATCGTTCCATCATCCTTCTCAAGCATCGGCAGCGTTCCTTTCTTCTGCTTCTTTGGATTGGTAGGACCAATGAATCCTCGCAGGATGCGCAGGATGGAGGAGGCCGCAGTGTGCTCCGTGACCTTCTCCAAGCATTGCTCCATGTGCTTAACCTTGGCGCATTTGAGTTTTCGTCGAACTTTGCATCGTTGATCCCGGAACTTCGCAAGGAGAAGAAGTGCATCACATCTCAGAGTGGTGCCATAGTGGAAGTGCTCATGTATCAGCCGCGGCTGACTGCTTGTCCTCCATGCATTGAAAACAATCCACAACGACTCCCTGCCAATGCGATTGCGGACCTGTTTCAATCTCTTTTGAAGCGACAGCATCAAGTTCCGTGCCTCCCAGATTTCCTCATCAATGTAGCATTTTTTGGGTTTGTTCTTGCCACTTCTCTGGGAGCTCAGAATGCTGTCGATCTGTGTGCTGAGACTTGCTTCTTGCGTCTCGACGTCTGTGGTCCAATCAGGTACTTGAACTTTCTTCATATGGGCACGAACCTGCCGCTGAGTAGATTCCTGGTGCCAAGAGACCGTGTGGTTTGGTTTTTGTTTCGGTCTGCTTTCGCAAAGCTGCCACCATCGTAATTCGAGACCAACTGCTTGATGGTCACATCTCGTGGTAGCAAGGTCGAAATCTGAAAGTACCTCGGACCATGTGCAATGCATCTTCCATTCCTGCGAGACCGCAACATAGTCAATGCAGAAGGTTGCATCTCCGTCTGGCCTTGTCCATGTGTCACGACAACCTCTATGAACAGAAGATGTAGAGGGAAGGCACATGCCAAGCTGCTGAAGACATTCACGAAAGTAAATAGTGTTGGTTGATGTTCGAAGCCCTTTGCAAAAAACTGTCAGATCATCCCCTGGTCCTGGCTCCGCATTTGCATCGAGCATCCAAAAACAATTCTTCGTCGCACCATTGCCAGACAGGATCTCCGCAGTCTCAGTCCACCAGGTCTCTCGC